CTCTTTCCTGTATCAACTTTAGAGTTTGTGGTCTGATATTAAGATCCTTGATCCATTTTGAGTTAATATTGGTATAGTGTGATATACATGGATCTAGTTTCAGTTTTTTGCAGAGTGCTAACCAGTTTTCCCAGCAGTTTTTGTTGAAGAGGTTGTCTTTTCCTCCATCGTATATTTTTAGCACCTTTGTCAAAGACAAGTTGGTTATAGCTGTGTGGCTTCGTATCTGGGTCCTCTGTTCTGTTCCACTGATCTTCATGTCTGTTTTTGTGCCAGTACCATGCTGTTTTTATCATTATTTCTTTGTAATATAGTTTGAAGTCAGGTATTGTGATACCTCCAGCATTGATCTTTTGACTGAGTATTGCCTTGGCTATTCGTGGCCTCTTGTGTTTCCATATAAATTTAACAGTAGATTTTTCAATCTCTTTAATGAATGTCATTGGGATTTTGATGGGAATTGCATTAAACATGTAGATTACTTTTGGGAGGATAGACATTTTTACTATGTTGATTCTACCAATCCATGAGCATGGGAGATCTCTCCACTTTCTATAGTCTTCCTTGCTCTTTTAATTTTTTTTTCTTTCACTAAATGTTGCAGTTTATTGAGGGAGTGTCAGGCTTAAAGCAAAGAAAACAGTGCCTTGTGCTTTCAATCAAGTTATTCATTAATACACTGAATTCCTGGCTGCTGTTTCCCATGCCTGTTTTCCCCTGATCTATTCTACCTTGTGATGAAAATGTTCTTTATCTTGATTGCGGTGATGGTTACTCAGGTGTAAATGTAAGTAAAGAGTCACGCAGCTGTACATGTGCAAACTTGTGTTTTGTGTACGTGTTATACTCAATAGAAAAAAAAAATTTAAACGCCAGGAGTCTGCAGTTGGGATGGGAGCAGAGAACTAAAAAGTAAACTGATGGTTCAAAACTCTAGGAAAGTTCAGGCACCCCAAAAGGTGAAGGTGCAAATGAACTAAAACAGGAAGCGTGGCTGGAAGTTGGCAGGACAATAGTTCTTTAGTCACCTGCCAACGCCAGCAGAGGAGTAAAGACTGACCCTTTGAAGGGCACGAAGACTCCAGGCAACAGGCACGGTTGTAGAACCGTGGAAATCCATGTGCTGAAATGTGAGTGTCCACTCGACTTCTTTCCCCGCTTACCCTTGACAATGCTGGTGGCTACCTCACACCTCCCCTGCCACCACTGCCACCTCCACCAGGCAAGAGATCACAGAGTAAACCAACACTACTAGGCAATTGTACTACAGAGCTCTGGGTCCCACTCCAACCAAGCAACAATGATGTCCCTATTCAGGCAGGTGACACTGTGCCTGGCTTCCAGTGATCATCCAAATGCTTCACTCTTAAATGTGACAGATAGCCAGGATTGGTGAACATCTGAAGAAAGCTTCTAACATGACTGATGATTAAAACTCCAAACTGAATACTCATGGGAAACAGACAATGCAGGAAGCATTAGAAAATTTTAAAGAACTGTAATTGGTATGTTTGTCCAGATAAAAAGATGACACATCCATGAGGAAGAAAAGTGAGGGGTACCATGAAAAGGGGCATTCTGAGAATAGAAAGAACCCCTGTGAGTTAAAAATACAATAGCAGCTGAGCATTGGTGGCTATGTCTGTAATCCCAGCTTCTTGGGTGGCTGAGATTGGGAGGATCACAGTTCGATCTTTTTCTTTTTTGGCAATTTTGGGAATTTCATTTCCCTTTTAAAGCTGAATTATATTCATATATTACATTATTTATTTATTTACTCATTTATTTTGGCAGCACTGGGATTTGAACTCATGGCCTTATGCTTGATAGGAAGGTGCTCTACCACGTGAGCCACTCCTTCAGCTCAGGATCATAGTTCAAGACCAGCCTGGGCAAGTAGTTCATGAGACTACATCTCCAAATAACCAGAGCAAAATGCACTGGAAGTGTGGTTGCTTTGCAAGCATGAAGCTCTGAGTTCAAACCTCAGTCTCACAAAAAAATTACATATATATATGCACATATATATATATATACATATGCATTGGAGTCACAGGTGCACATCTATAATCCCAGTACTCAGGAGGCAGAGAGGTAGGAGGATTGAGGTTTGAAACAAGCCCGGGTAAATAGTTCATGAGACCCTATCTCGAAAAAAAAAATCACAAAAAAAGGGCTGGTGGAGTGCCTCAAGGAAAAGGCCCTGAGTTCAAACACCAATACCAAAAAAATAAATAAAGAAAAAATATATATAATCACAATAATACTGACCAAAAATTGTAATGAGATGGGGGAGTTGAGAGAGTATAGTGTAAAAGAACTGTGGAACAACCGAGAAATAATAACACAAGCATGTTATTTAGAAATATAGACAAATATCTAAAGAAACAACTAAAAGAGTTCAAAGCCATTGCTGTATGTTTATTTTGTAAAACTACTTGATCATTTAAAAATAAGTACACAAATAAGCTTGATCAAAATTAAAATTCAAACTTTAAAGAAAATTATTTGAAAATGTGGATGTTTTGTCCCTAGTAATAAATCACAGCACACATCACAACTAGTTGCCTTTCTCTCGTGTGTTGGGATCTGCTTCTGCAAACCACAGCTCAGAGGCAGTCTGGTCCCTGCAAATACTCAGTTCCAGGAGAGTCCAAGGCACCAGGAAATATTCACAGCACAGCGCTCGAAAGTTCTAGAGATGGTTCTGAAGCTCCCTTGCATCAGGGGAAATGTTCAACAGGTTCCTGAATGACATGATACCAGGCTGTGCCTACCTTTTCCAAAAGGTTGCCCAATGGATAAGGCAGGAGTTTTGCAGCCAATAGCCATCCAGTTGCCCAGTGAATTAGTAAGGATTTTTTGTAATTGCAAGTATCACAAACTAAACTCAAACTGGCTGAAGCAGAAAAGCAATTCATGGAGTAACTACAACCAAGAATTACCAAATAGATAAAGAAGGTAGGGTTCACGGAGACAAAACAAACCTACTCCAACGAGATCCTTCATAGAGCACTCAAAAAACATTGAAAATACGTACGCTAGTATCATCAGAGTTACAGGAGAGAAGCCTATGTGTGCAATGGCAAATAGTAGTTTTGGGAAAGATCTTGCTAGAGAACTTAACATGAAAAATGTGACAGCCAAAACCAAAAGTTAGGCAGAAAACCCCCAAAAGACAGGTAGAAAGAAAGAATGCAGATAAAGATTGTATTTGCAAACTAGGAAATCATGCAGTCCTCCAGAATACAGCACAATAAACGTTACAGTGTATGAAAGGAAAGTTTAGATATTAGAGACAGATACTCCTATTTCCACTTAATGGAAATTCCAGAGGCAATGAACAGAGGTTTATCTTTCTTTCCTTCCTCCTCCCTTCCTCCTTTCCATCATTCTCTCTCTCTCTCTGCCTCTTCCCCCCAGTCACACACTCAGCCACACACACACACACACAATGTAGCTCCCATGTGCTGGGATTACGGATGTAGCATGCCCAGACAAAGATGCCCAGACAAAGAGCAGTTTTGATGAAACTGGTAGGTAATTTCTTAGCGCTTCAAAAAAAGACATGAATCCAGAAACTGAAAGAGTTCACTGATAATTTTTTAAGTTCATGCTTTTAAAAAATCAAGCTTTTTTAAAATCAAAGGCAAAATCATAAAAGCTAAAGAAAGACAAATTATCCTCAACCAAATGAGAACACCAGAGCCAGATGCAACAGGCATTTAATATTGAGTAATATATGTTTGGATCAAGAATTCTCTTCTCATCCAGGCTGTATCATTCTTTTTTTGTCTGTGTGTGGTACTGGGGATTAAACTAAGGGCCTACGCCTCGAACCTCTCACCAGCCTTTTTTTTTTTTTTTTTTTTTCGAGATAGGGTCTCTTGAACTATTTGCCTGGGGCTAGTTTCTAACCGTGATCCTCCTGATCCCTGCCTCCTGAGTAGCTGGGATTGCAGGTGTGAGCCACTGGTACCTGGCCACATTATTCTTAAGTCGGGGCAAGAATAGCCAATTCCAGACAAATAAGGACTGGGAACATGTACCATCTGCAGACACTTCATTAAAGAATTAGTCAATTTTGTATTCCAACAAAACCAAATGCAAAAGGAAGAAGAGATCTGAGATGTGATGACAAGCAAATAAATCACTAAAATATACTTTATAGGGGGGCTGGCAGAATTGCTGAAGTGGTAGAGCACCTGCATGAGGCTGAGTTCAAACCCCAGTACCACCAAAAGACAAACATTGTACAGTGGAAACAAAATTCTCTTGTTTCAAGTTTTTAATATATTAGAAATAAAATTCCAGGTAGTTAGAAAATTTGGGTGGGTGGGTGCTTCGAGAATTTCCTGGGGAGATGTAAAAGAAATGTCTACCTCCAAACTGGGGTGATACTAACATCACAAAGAATGACTTGGATAAATCCAGCCTGCTGAGTGAAAGAGTTTTATTCGAGATTACTTAAGAGCAGTAGGTGAGGCCTCCCAGTGTCTAACTGAAAGAGAAATTGTGAGTTTGTCTACATGTGTTAGCATGTGTGTGTGTGGTGTCTACAGGGGGCAGGAGAAGGTGGGGACAAGGCTGTGGAGGTGGAATGGACAAGGCGGGCCTGGGCAGCATGGCTCTTCACAGGTCAGAAATCTGTTCTCACTGGAGAGGCTCTTGCTATTTGGAGGGTTCTAAGTGGATCAGGGTAAATGAGAAACAGACATGTCCAGGTCATCAGATGCAGGAACCCAGGTCAGGGCTCCCTCTCCCCCTTAACAGAGACAGTTTGCTCACCAGCCCATCCTCAGCAGGAACACGCACACATACACATTCAGGTACACATTCCTTCTGCCCCTGGTAATCGGATAGCCGATCTAGACACACCCATTTGGCACCTGAGAATCTGTATTTTTATTGGGTGGCAGTTGTACATGAGACCAGAGAATGTGGCCCAAGTTTTAGGAGCAAATCTAGGCTGGGCTATCATACCACAGGTTGAGCAGGGAAGGTGGTGACCTTTGGGGAGGGCCAAGAAAGGCCAGAGACAAAGGACAGCTGCTAGCAGGACAGAATCAGTGACATGCTGGCAACCCACATGGCCACTCTTTATTCTTTACAGCAATGAATCCAGGAACTCAAGGTGGAATCAGAGCTGGAGCCACTTTGCGGGAGGCATAGTTGGGCATCTCTGTGTCACATCCCAGTGTCAGTATAAGGAGGGAGTCTATAGCGTGGCGCTCACAGCCCCCACTCTGGTGAGGCTCTGAGTGTCTGGCCCTCGCAGAGCCTTCTGTGTGGGGTGAGACATACAGAGAGGCTGCTGCTAGTTGTCTCCCCACCCATTATAAAATAAGCAACATTGTCCTCTGACCTGCACCCCCCAGAAAGTCTAAAAAACTCTAAGAATCTCAGAGGAGGGCCCTGCCCCAAGTCACAGGCTGCACATCTGCAAGGATTTCCAGGCCTGGGAGAGACCTCAGGGTGGGTCTTGGAGAGAATCCCTTCAACTCTTCCCTAGACCCCCTAGACCCCCATGTCTCCTCCTTGCCACAGTCCTCCAACTCCCACGTGGTCAGTCCCCAGCCCTCTCCCCAGCCTGCCTCAAGTCCAGAGCCAGCCTGAGGGCGTGCCTTATGGTCTCCATGTTGTTCAGAACATTGTAGCGACTCAGGTTCACCAGCCGATTAAACTCCTTAGGCTCATAGGTGAAGTTCAACGTGCCATAGGGGGTGTCTGGCCCATTGATGGCAAAGTCCCCAAAGGCCTTCTCCTCTTCTGTTTGCCGTTCCACACCTGTGGGTGGAAATGGAGGCAGGGCTAGGCTGGGACACTCTGTGTAACTGGCTGGGAGCTGATGGCCCAGACACCTTCCTTGCCCCATAACACCTGGCCAGTTTCCCTGGGCCATATCTCAGTTTTCAGGACTATCACAGGGAGATGAACACTGAAATCCAGGCAGCAGAGGGCAACAGCAGCCAGTCTGGGCCCTCCAGGAGACCTGCTTGGATACACTGTCCAGGGGGTCCACTTGGGGACCACCCAACAGTACTCTATAGGTCAGATGCAGGGCGGAACGTCCCCTTACCTGGGGCCAGTTGTGTTCGAAAGGTACGGTTGACAAGGGGAAAGTGCAGCACGATGGGTGAGTAGGGGTCGTCTGCCTTGGTAAACAGATAGCACTCACGGGGCTCCTTCAAGTCCTCAGGGCCCAGCTCAATCCTGGGGAAGGGATCCTCGGTCCAGGCAGTACTTCTCCGTCATCTGTAAGACCTGGGCGGGGTAGTGAGTTTCTAGCCCTGTCTGCCCTGCAGGCTGGCCCTGCTCCCTACCTGGACGCAAACAGACCCCAAAATTCATGCCAGCTCTGCCTCTGAATAGCTGAGTGACTTTTCTGAGCCACATTCCTCATTTGTCAAATAAACATGGGAGTAACTGTCTTGTGAGAATGTACTGGATTAGCAGTGATCAATGGCCAATAATCAGTGAGCTAGTCCTTTAGATCTCATATGTCATCCTTATTCTCACCATCATTCCTCCCTGTCACATGGCCTTCCCTTCTCAGACCTCTCTCTGCTCCTGTTACTGGGGGCTGACTTCAATTCCAAATGGTTGATATGATGATCACCAGGTCAGCATTGGAGAGAGCTTTATAATCCTCCAATCCCAGGCTTTCACTGGACCCAAGAGGACAAGGAGGAGAACAAAGAGGGAAGGGCTGGTCCAGCGGCATCACTAGACATACATCTGTACGGTGGCATCTGTCTTCTGGCCTGCAGTTTTAGGGAGTCACTGCTGGAGTCTCCCTGAGGGGCCTTTGATGTTTTTTGTTACCATAGCAATAAAGGACAGCAGGCTCAGGCTCATTCTGGAGCACAGAACCCCATCATGAATGAGCAGGGACAGGACAGAGTCTAGAAGATACCTGAGGACCCCTCCCCCTCCCTCTCACGATCCCAGCAATTCTTCTCCAGTTGGGACACCTGGATGGCCAACAGCATTCAGAAGACACCTGCCACAAAGCAAAACCCAGGCCCACCAGCACAGTGACCCCTGAGTAGAACCCTCGTCCCTTCCCCCCCACCTTAGACCCCTTCCCCTTACCTCAAAAGGAGCTTCCAAGGAGTAGTCAAAGGACAGAATGAGGTCCACCGTCCGCTGGGGCACCAATATCAGTGGGAATGGTGAGTTGATTGCAAAGCCTCCGTCCACCAGGGACAGACAGTCCTGTGTGGGCATGAGCTGGTTGGGGAAGGCGTCCGGGTGTGTGTCTGCAAGGTGCACAGGACAAGGACAGTTGCTTCTGCTATCCACCCTTTTCTCAGGGCATCCTCAGCCTCGTTGTCTCTGTAGAGTTCTCCCTGCTTCTGACAGCCAAGGGATCTCCCATCCCACCCTTCTGCTCTGTCTTTCAACTTCCAGTGGGGTAATCAGACTCCTTCTCTGTCAGACCTCAGTCAGCAGGAGACCACAACTCAATCCCCAAATGCCCCAGGCCAAAGCCAGCACTGGCCCCAGTGAGGCACAAGTAGGAAGGGGGTCACCTCCTCCCCACCCCACCCACAGCAGTACCCACCTTTCCAGGCCACGAACTCCCTGCCAGCCACATAGTCCTTGTGCAGGCAGAGGCCCCGGGTGAAGTTGAAGCTCTGGGCAGAGGTAAAGCGGGAGGTGAATATGTCCAGCACAGCCTGGGAGAAGGGCCCCTGCGGGGTGAAGAGCCTGGTGCGCAGCCGGGTAGGGTCATGGAGGTGGAACTTGGTGCAGTCATCTAGATGGGCAGGGGGAGGCAGGAAGAGTGGTCTCTTTGTCCAGAGACCCCTACAGCTCAGGAGACCCCATCCTCCACACTTCACACCCTCCCTACAGCCCTCATCCCTCACTCCAGTCCTCTGACACTGCTTCACAGAATCCTTTTTAAATGATTTTCTTTTGTATTCCTACTGCTTTGGAAGTTGCCTATGACTGACTTTATTAAATAATTCACTTCCTGCCCTCTTGAAAATAAACAGTATATACAACTTTCAATCCCTTAAGCACTGAGCACCAGGCTGTGCGGTTGTGTGCCGGGTATGAGGATGCAAAGGTGCATACAGCCTGGCCTCACAGGACACATGGTGCACTTGGGTAGGGAGGGGGAGGTCATGTAAAGAGATATAAATCTTTCTTTCGTTTTCTTGAGACAGGTTCTCACTATGTAACCCAGGCTAGCCTTGAACTCTCCACCTTCCTGCTTCTTCCTCCCAAGTGCTGGGATTATAGGTGTGTACCATCATAGCTGGCAAGAAATAATAAACCTTAATGATGCCCTAAGTCAAGGCAATGATAAAGATGTGTACACAATCGTAAGGGAGCAGGGTGAATGAGCTGAAGCTTCATTTCTGGTGCTGGGACTAGAACCCAGGGCCTCCCACATGCTAGGCATCACTAAGCTCCACCCCCAGCCCCTGATCTGAATCAAAGTTATCTGGAGAAGAAAGGGGGAAAGGACTAGGCTGAAGGGGAGCCAGGGAAGGGGTGTAACCAGAGTATCAACCACAAACCCAAAGGCCCTGGGCTGAGTTGACCTAATTGGAGTCCGAGGCACAGAACTCTAAGCTGTGGCCCTGTCACTCCCAGGGCATCCACACACCCTAAACTAGGGAACTTCTCAGAAGTTCTCTGAATCCAATGGAAGAGCTAAGTTCATCACTATCTCCTCCCTTATGCTCCATCCCTCTGCCAAGGTCCTATTGCTGGCAAGTGGTGGTGGTGGGGTGGGGTGGGGTCTCTGTCCTCACCTGTGACATTTACGCTGCCTCTGTGCCAGTCCAGGAAGGCCAGCCCCGAGCCTGCGGTCTTCAGGAAGATCTCATCCAGGCTGGCTGCGAAGGCACTACCCCACATACCTAAGGACACAGGCAGGGCTCCCATATCAGGGCCTGGCCTAGGCCCTGCCTGGCCCCAGCCCCAAGCCTAGACTCACCCTGCAGGTAACAGATGCGGGGCTCAGGCCACAGCCGCAGCAACCGTCCCATGAAAAACTCACAGCCAAAGAGCTCAGTGGGGACATAAGCCCCATACTTGGGGAAGCCAACCTCATGGGGGGTGAACTCGCACCACTCTGGGGAAGAGAAAGTCACCAGGAGCTTCCCATCAGGGTCCAAGTAGGAATCTTGCCTTGCCAAGAGCAGGAGGCAGAAACCTCACTGTGCTGCAAGGCCCACATTTGTGACCACAGCCCACAGGTCCCTGATAACCCTGGCCTCCCCCATCCTCCCTCCACCATCTCCAATGTCTCCTTCCTTTGCCTCCACACCCAGGCACCTGCAAAGTCTTCCCCACTGATGTTGGTGCGGACATTGATGCCGGCATAGATGGGGTAAGGGTTCTGACCCTGGATGACTGCCTCCTGCTGGTCAGACAGCTTGGCAGGATTTTCCTGGGAAGAAGAGAAGGGAGGGAGGTTGGCCTTTTGTGGGACCCCCATTCTCCATCCCCACAGCCCCAGGTAAGCACCCCTTTGGCGGGTGGCACACCCACAAGAGAGATTGAGTTGCCAAGGCCAGGGCTGAAAAGCAGCTCTCTAGGGGACAAGCTCCAGGCTGCAGCAGAGGTAAGGCCACTGTGGGCTCCGTACAATTCCAGAAGCTATGGGAACACCTCCCTCCTCTTTCCCATTCAAGCAAGCAGATCAGAACACACGGGAGTCAGACTGACATTTTTTAAAGAATCATTGAAAATCCATCTAAGGTATTTAAAAATGTAGCTTTTTTATTTAATCTGGTGACATAATCCACAACTGACAGCCACATGCAGTGGGGTCAACTGCTCTGAGCTTTCTCATTACCCAGGACCTGCAGTTATAGAAGGAGCCACTAGGTGGAGAGAGTCAGCGCCGCACTGGCCAATGAGCAAGACTTTCAAAACCTAACTGTGCTGGGGCCCTGTGCCACGCCAGTAGCTTTAGAAGTGGGGCCCAGGCATGGGTTTGTTTGAAAAGCCCTGCAGGTGATTCCAATATGCGACAGAGCTGAGACCTGTGGGCTGACTCCCTCCCCAGGGCTTAGGAAGATGAAGTGGTATCAGCCCACCCTGGCGTCTCACCCCCTCCCCTGGGGCCTTAGCTCTAAGGGATAGCTTTGTACATCTCATGCCTTAGCTCGGGGATAAGGCAGGAACAAGCGTGTGGGTGGCGCAGAAAGAGTAGAGTACTTCTTGTTCTCTTACCTCCTGGTTGAGGAAATATTCAATGAGGAGGCCCCAGAGGTCAACGAGGGACACACTGTGGCCGCTGCTCTCCCGGGTCCTCAGTTCCTGGGTGTAGTATTGTAGTTGCTCCGTGGACATTGCCCCCAGCTTACTGCTGCACACCCGTGCCTGGGCGTGCTCAATGGGGCCCTGCAGCGCCATCTGGGACCAAGCAGGGTCCTTGTAGAGTGTGGAGATGCACCTGGGGATGAAAGGAGGGCTATGAGTTAGGAGCAGGGAGCACAGCAGCAGAGGAGGCGTACAGAGCGTGTGAGTGACCCTCCTCCCCATCATGTGCACCTGCTGTCCTGCACCTTCCCTTGCAGGAGCCATTGGGACACAGCCTCTTCTTGCACTTTCTAATACAGGCTCCCAGCCCTTCTCATGGTCACTGATCACCCCCTACCCCTCCAGCACTCCCTGAAAAGTCTGTTCCCTGCCCTGCCTCACTTACCAGGTGGACCCAGAGACCCCGCTCAGGTAGGTCACAGCGTCCAGGAGACCGAGCTCCTGAAGCCCTGCTAGGCTGCCATACAGGGAAGTCATGGCTCGAGTTCCGCCCCCAGAACCCAACACGGCCACCACAGGAACCTGGGTACAATGATAATGATGATAACAACCACGTCTACCACCACACTGCTATATTACTGCTTACCCTCATTAGGCACTGTTGTCAACACCTTGCCTACATGATCTCATTGAAGCTTCACAGTAACCCGCTGACACCCATGCTTTACAGATGAGAAAAGTGGTGTGCCGGAAGGTTAGATAACGCGCCCATTCACAATTAGTGAGTGGGGAGCTATCAGACCCGTGCAGTATGGCTCCAGGGATGGTTCTTAACCTTTATTCCAGGAAGGTATATTTTGATTCACCAAAAGCAGATAACACAGAGTTTCTCTGCCTTGGCAATATGGATATTTTGTCCTGGATAATTCTGTGTTGGGGGTGGGTATCCTATGTGTGCTAGGATGTTTAGTACCATCTCTGACCTTTACTCAGTAGATGTCACTAGTATCTCTCTACTCCCCACCCTAGCCATGACAACAAAACAAGTCTCTAGATACTGATACATGTACCCTGCAGATTGAGGGACAGAATTGTCCCCAGTTGAGAACCACTGAGCTAAAGTGACAAAGACTATTTAGACTTGCTCCCAGACATGAGAGGTCCTCAGGACCAGAGATCCTTAGGATCAGAGGTGCCTGGTGGGATCAAAGTCAAAGCCTTTTTTTTTTTTTTTTTTGGCAGTACTGGGGTTTGAACTTAGGGCTTCATGCTTGCTAAGCAGGCACTCAGAGCCACTCTGCCAGCCAGAGTCAAAGCTTTTTTGACAGATCAGCTTTTCCACAAAGGGTTGACTTGTTCCCCTAAACTTTTGGTTCCTTTTCCCATCTTGAAAATGTGCTCCCTGGCTTGCATACTTTTTTTTTTGTTGTCGTTCTTTTGTCTTTGGCTTGCATACTGAAGGCCCCATTATTTCTGAGACAGAGCAGACATCTGGCACCCAGTGGCCACACGTATTGACTAATGAACTATCTAGACTTAGCAGCTTGTTGGTTCTGGGCAAGGGATCCACCTCCTTGGTACACATGAAGCAAGGAGAAAGTCACAGCCCATGCCTCATGTACCACAGGTCTGACTCTCAGCGCTTCTTTCCACAGGCTGACCATCTCTTTGCCTGAGAGAACCCAAGGATTCTCTACCTTCAAATCCTTTAATCACTGTTAGGAGCTCAGTTGTGTTTTCCCCAAATTCATTTGTTGAAGCCCCACTCCCCCTAGCATGATTGCATTAGGAGACAGGACCTAGAAGGAAGTAATAAGGGTAAAGTGAGGTCAAAGGGTAGGGCCTCAATCTGATATGACTGGTGCCCTTATAAGAAGAGGAAGAGGGTCAGGCATATCTACAAGCCAGGAAGAGAGGCCTCATCAGAAATCAACTCTGATGACACCTTGATCTTGGACTTCCAGCCTTCAGAACTTTGAGAAAATTAATGTCTGTTGTTTAACCCAGCCAGTGTTTTGTTATGAAGCCCATGCTGATTAAGACATCCACCCTTGGCCAGGGCTGTTTAGTCCTTCTTCCAGTTCTCCTGAATTCTGATTGTTGGCTTAGGCAAACAGGCCTGCTTCCTTTCTCCTCTGCTCCCTGGGCTTCCTATCAGGGGAGAGGCTGGATTTAGTTCCAGCACCCCTGGGTCTAGCTCCTCCATCCCATACCTGATCACAGTGTGGAGCCTCACTCAATCCGAGAACCTGCTGCAGGGCCTTGGATACAACCTGCTTCCTCTTGTCCAGAAACTCCTGCTCCCCATCACAGAGGTCAAAGCCAAGGCGCAGATCCAGGTCTCCGGAGCTGCCTCGGATGGGTGGGTGGGGAACTGCATGACTGTTCAGTGCCTTAGGCCTGCCATTTGTCACGTGAGCAGACCCCCCACTCTGTGAAGGCCCTCAAAGACTCCAGGGGACTCCCCACCAGCACAACTGTCCATGGCCTGAACCAAGTGGGCAGGAGCGAAGAACGTACTGCCCAACCCCCCAAGGCCTCTGCCAAAAGTCCCACCTCACCTTATTTCTGCCTTCACACTCAAAGCCACCTCCTGGCCCTGAAAGAGACAGCAACCACATCCTGAGCGCACAAATCAGGACTCTCCCAGGGAAAAGCCTCCCACACAGTTGCCCCTAGCAACGGGTAACTTTGGTCCATATGAACTACATGGCTGAGTTCCAGGCTGGCCTGATCTTGCCCAATCCCCAGACCTCTCTTGGTGGTCACCTGGCAGGCAGGGTCCCCAGCACCCAGACACAGCCTTACCTCCCCTAGGACCACCAACAGTTGTTCCTCTTGATCCAGGGGCAAGGAAGAGAGCAGGATTCCCCTCTCACCCAGCTTGCTGGTCTGAGCCTCCAGCTCAGCACTTGGGCCACTCTGCACAGAACAGACCAAAGAACAGTGCAGACGGGAAGAAAACGTGCCATCTGGGAGCTCTGGAGCCTCCTCCAGGCTGACCCAATTCCATCATCCAGGCCTTTATGATGGCTCACTCACCTGCAGAACCCTGAGCTTTTCCTCCAGCTCCATGTCCAGGCTGGAGTCCAGCATGGGATTCACGTGGAAGGTAAAGGTGAGCGGGAGTCCTGGCTCCACTGGGGGCTGCAGGGGCAGGAGCTGTGGCTTCTCATAAGCCCCAGGCACTGCCAGCTGGATCTGCCTAGAGCCTGAGGACAGAGGGCCCAGGGAGCGATGAAAGCAGGTGGGCCTATGTGTGGCTCAGGACACAGCAGCTCCTCTTCCCTCCTCTTCCCCAGGAGCCCCAGCTCTCAGGCTTCCCACTCTCTCAGGCACTCTGACCATAAGAAAAGCATCTTGGAAGACTCCTGGGCTCCTGTAGCCTGCCTTGGTCAGAACTGGGACCCTGGGAGAGTGGGAAACACACAAATGCCTAGGGAAGGGGAAAAGTGGGGGGCAGGGAGGGAGGGAGGTGGCCCCTGCCCATAGCCTATGGAGCTAGTGACTTTTAGTAACTATAAATTGTATTAATTCTATTAACATATAACTATACAAATTATCTATGCATTATTATATTAATTACCAGCTTTCAACTGGTAGTTTTCCCCATCTCTTGCTTCCATTCAAGCTCGGTGCTCATTGTCTTGGGAGAGGCTTATGGCCAGATATAAAACGGAAATGGTCTACTAGTTGCTCTGCTTTAGTTCCTAAAAGTGGAAGACCTCAGGAGAATGCGGGGAGTCAGCAAAAGGCAGAATGGGATTCTGGGTACAGAGGATTACATCTTGGAGAAGGCCAAGGCCTGAGCAAAGAACCAGGCTTATGTGTCAAGAGGAGTGGGGCTGCTTGCTAGCTGCTTTGGGGGGCAGTGTAGATCCCAGAGAGAAATGGCTACACAGGATGTCCAGGCAGAGGGGACAAGGGATAGCCTTGCAGAAGAGTCTCAGACCCCAAGGACAGCAGACTCCTCAGAGGAAGAAGTTCAGATGGGGTCCCACTCCCTACAGCCTCTCCTTGCACTAAATGAGACCAGAGATTTGACAGGCCCTGGGGTGGGGGAGAATTAGAGAAATTCAGGAAAGGGCTATTTCATTGACACCAGATTATGTGGTTAAAAAGAAAACAGGCCATGGAGTATCTTCAACCTGGGTTTGTCCTGGTTCTCTTATTGACTGTGTGACCTTAGTAAGGTTCTTCTTTGAGCCTCTTGAATTAATAGAGGTTTATAATATTCCTTTTTTTTTTTTTTTTTTTTTTAGTGATACTGGTGATTGAACCTAGGACCTTGAGTTTGTTGGGCAAGCATTCTACCTCTTGAGCCACTTTTTGCTTTTAGTAGCTTTTCAGATACAGTCTCATGCTTTTGCCTGGGTTGGTCTCAGACTGTGATCTTCCTACCTTTGCTTCCCAAGTAGCTGGGATTATAGGCATGAGCCACCAGGCCCAGTCATGATAGTCCTACTTTATAGAGTTGCTATGAGGATTATACACCCAAGTGGATGTACAGTACTTAGCACCTGGCTCTGAATAAGTGCTCCATGTCACCTGAGCAGCACTCATCCCACAGGCCCAGACTCTCCACATGGGAATGGTCCAAAGCTGCCACAGACTCGGCTCCACTTCCACATCTGGATTTGTCCTCCTGAGCGGTCACCTCTGTGCTGTACTGATAGACCCAGTTTCTTCTCCCAGTACTCTCACTTTTTTCCATGTGACTCTGTTCTACTAAAGAGGCTGACTCATACTCCCTGCTCTCCAACTTTGAGTTCAGCTGTGTGACTTTGGCCAGTAACATGTTAGGGACCAGGATGGAGCCAAAGGCTTGAAAAGCACTTTCTCTTTTTGGTTTTTTTTGGGGGGTGGAGGGGGCAGCATTGGGATTTGAACTCAGGATCTCATGCTTGCTAGGCTAGTGCTCTTCCCTTGGGCTACTCCTCCAGCCCAAAAATCACTTTCTCAATTGGGCTTGCTCTCTTGCACCTCTGCTGAGGCCTTAAGAACATGTCCAGGTTGCTCTACAGGTCAGAGACGTGGAGGAGAGACACATGGAGCACAGGGAGCTCCCCCGTCCCTGACAAGCCCAGTCTCAGTCAGCAGAGCCCCCATCAACCACCACGTGTGAGCAAAGTGCATGCTTGTGTGCCACTGAGACTTTGTGAGTATTTCTGGCAGAGCAATAGTTGGACAGCTACCACCTCTATGCTTGAGACAAAGATCAACTACCTCAGGGGCAATTCATTCTAGTCTTAGTCATCTCGGAGCAGTGAAAAATTAACAACTTCCTGCCGGGCGCCAGTGGCTCGAGCCTATAATCCTAGCTACTCAGGAGGCAGAGACCAGAAGGATAGCAGTTCAAAGTCAGCCCAGGGCAAATAGTTTAGGAGACCCTATCTTAAAAATCCCATCAGATAAAAAGGGCTGGTGGAGTGACTCAAGTGATAAGACCGCCTGCCAGCAAGTGTGAAGCCCTGAGTTCAAACCCCAGCACTGCCAAAAAAAAAAAAACTTCCTGCCCCAGGCCCGCATCAGTTCCCCCACTCCCCACTTCTTACAAGTTCCCGGAAAGAGGCAAGAACTACAGTTGCTGACTGGACTCACCATACTGTTCATGTGAGGCTGGCCCATCTGTCTTGAGGGAACCCTGGATTCGCAAACAGGGCTGAGCCTAGAAAAGCAGAGGCTTTGGGAGCCAGGGAGTCTCCCGGGTCTGAACCATAATAGAGGGAGGGCAGAGGGAGAAGTATTTGGGGCAAGGTTCAAGAAACAGCTCTCTAAGGGCCTGTGCCTTATGGGCAGGGACCTTCCATGGCAACCCCAAGGCTGTTCCATGCCTCCCTTCCTGGACTCAGAGGAAGGGGACCCTGGTAGGAAATGGAGTATGGGCCTCTGAAAGACCCCTTTGGCCATCTCAGTAGCCAGGGGCCCAGGAAAACAATATGGCAGGCCTAAGACAGGAAGCCAGGGTCCTAGGCTGCCCACCCTGGCTAAAGGTCTTCTTGTTCTTCGTCTTCCTGGCACATCTCCACTCTAAGGAGGAGTTAAGTGTCCTTCAAAGACAAGTAGGCATCATGGACTCTGTCACGTACACCTCCCTGCTCCCCAGCCCAGGGGGCCCCAGCCCCATCTTCCCTACTCACCACCAGGACCCCATTGGTGATGACTTCAGATGGAAGCATTTGGCTGCAAAAGGTGAGGAGCTCATGGGCCACTTGGCCCCCGGCTAATGGCTATTACAATAAGGCAGTTGGAAAAAGCTGACAAGGTTGGACATGCATGGTCTACAATGGGTGTCCCCTCTACAAAGACAGGGCAGGACATGGTGACTGGCAACTAGCAATAAATGGGGGACAGGAGAGCATTAGCTCCACCTAGACTCACCTCTTCTCCAGAATAAATTCTACCTGCAGCTCTTGTGAATCCTACGAGGGAAGAAGGATGCCAGTTTTTAAAAGGCCCCAAAAGTCTCAGGACTGTCCCTATGCCCCAGCCCTGCTCAGCTCTAGGGACTAGAAGAGGAGACTGCATAGCTTCTCATGGGCATACGAGGGCTCCAGGCAGAAATGTGGCCAAGGATTCAGCAGCCACTGAGTCAGACAAAAGATGCTGCCCTCTGGGAGCCCACATTTACAGGAAATGTTACAGGGTTGGTGCCGATAGGATGCCCCTCCAGCAGGTGGCCCTGGGGGGCCTTCCCTCCTCCAGCCTGGCTTGCTGCTAGCTCATGTGGGGCTCACCTGCTGGTTGAGCAAGAAGGTGTGTCTGTGGGGCAGGCCTGGCTGGAGACTCCTCAGGTCAAACAGGAGCACAGAGAGTGCATCACTGCCCAGGACATTCTTGTCATAGAGAGTGAGCTCCAGGACATTCTGGGAACAGGCAGGCAGCGGTCAGCACCCTGGACGAGCCCCTTGCCCTCCACGGCTCCACCCTTGCTGGTCCACACCTTCACAGCACCGTGGATCTTGTAGTGGAAGGTCTGATTCCACTCGGGGTCACTGCAGTTAGCCACCGTCCTTGTCTGGGCATGGTTGGGGGATGCTGTGGGCAGCCACAGTTGCACATAGCAGTCGGCTTTAGACACTGCAAGAGGGTTGGGAGAGGGTCCTCAGCCTCAAGTTCATGTTGCAGATAAGGTTTTCTGGAGGAAGGTGGGCTGAGAGGTAAGAAGCAGGGGAGAGGAGGCTGCTGCCTGGGCGTGGGAGGTGTGGGGAGAGCTTTGGTGTCCTCTTCATCATCTTGACTAGTTACATCTCTGCAGCAGCCAGTTGAAAAGATCACTTGGCAGCACAGACTGTTGAATAATTTCTCCAAACTGCCTGACTCAGGCAATAAAATTGCCTCCCCCTTGTGAGTACCAGTGTGGAAAGCTCCTGGAAAGCAGGCACTGGCATGTGGTCACGGCGAGTCTTACACCCTCACAGGCCTGGATCTAGACACAACTCTCCCCTCCAGTGCCCTGGCCTGCCCACCCCAGGCCATGGCAGCCTCACTCAGTGGTCCACACCAGCCCCAACCCTATTCCAAGTATGCACACACACGCATGCACACACTCGCACACACAGGCACAACTTAAGGGGAGCTCTGGGGAGACTCTAGGGAAAGGAAGGGGAGAGGGTGGACAGGAGGGTCACTCACGCAGGTCTGTGCCCTGGATGTTTCTGGCCCTCAGCACTTTCACCTGGAGGTCATAGTATGGGTAGGTTTCCCGCTGCAACAACATAACTCCAGGGACTCAGTTCCAAGATGGTGGGGTGGAACCTGGTCTCCTCCCTCCCATGGTTTCTAGCTCTGGTTCCCCTTTGTCCCATCATGTAGTAGCCTTGCCCAGGGTCACTGATGTCACTGTGTCAGGAGCTGTGTAGCTGGGAGGACTTTGCAGGGTGCAGGTGTTGGGAGTTTGGCATTGGTGATGAGCCTGGGCCCTGGAACCTGCCAGGCCTGGGTTCAAATCTAAGCTCCACGATGAGCTAGCTGAACTGATTATGGCTTACCATGGCCATAGCCTGCAGCTCTCCTGAGACTTTAGTGCTCCCACTGTGGCTTTCGAGCCAGAGCAATGTGTTTAAGGTTAAATATTAAAAGAGAAAACTATGATCCACCACACCCATTAGCTCCCTGACCAAGGATGGAAGACTGACTACAGGCAGCAGGCAGACGAAGGGAAGCTGGGAGTTGCCTGGCTTGTACTGGTCTGATGAGTCACTTAGGAGATTGCAGCTTGGCTCAGGAGAGATAGTCAGCTGCAGCCTGTTGGAAGTGAAGCTACCCCTGATAATCCCAACAGACTCCTACTCCTCTCTCCACAATGGCTTCGTCAGCACAGTTTTGGCAATACCAACCAAAGGCCAGCGTCACATGACTTGCCCTCCATTTCTTGGAGGGAATTATTGTCAAGAGCCAAGGCCTTGGCCAACCTCTCTCTGTTTTTCCAGGTTGTCTGGAGTCAACAGGTCCCATCCACCCCAAATCAAAACCCAAGTGTGAAGGCTGGCTTAGTCCTCACAGGACACCATGAGGACCTGTCCATGTCTCTCAGATGAGACCAGTACATTACCCGCCACCGCCTCCACTGAGGTCCCCTCTTCTCTCTCTTCCACAGCAGCACTGCTCCCAGGAGGGGCAGCCCCTTGCCGGCCAGCCACCTTGGCCAGAGGACCCACAGCATGGCAGCAGCCTAGTTCCCAGCAGAGAGCCACCTGCTCTGTAGCTCAGGTCTGACAGGTAACACTGGGGTGGGGAGGGCGGAGCAGCCACTGTGTTCAGGACTCAGGGCAGGGTGGCCCACACTGGAGGTGGGGCTTGACATACTCCAGGAAGTGACTGAAGTCTGTTCTCAGGCAAGAAGCAGTTCAGTCCCTCTCTAAGAGACTCAGTCTCTGGTTAGCACAGCTTTCCCAACCCAGCCCCTAGTTATCATTGAACTAGTTGTAAAAAATAGACACCTGAGCCTCACCCCTATAGTCCCCACTAAAGAGTGGATGGGGAGTCCAGGCATTCCTGTTTCCAAGCAAGGCTGACACAGCCCACCCTTTGACAACATCCCAGAAGTGGTATAGCATGAACTAGCCTTCTCCAGCTACCAGGAAAATCTAAAACCAACCACTTAAGTCCCACTTTCTCCATAGCACTTAAGCAGAAAAAGGGAATCTCTGGATCAGTTTCATTTGAACTCAAAAATGTTTCACCTCTCTTGGCTTCCCTCAGTTATTCCCCAAACACTGAGAGCCTGTTGCCTGCCAGTTCTGTACTAGACCCAGGAATACAAAGATAAAGACGGGAAGCCATATCCTAAAGAAACTCACAGCCTCATGATTCCCTGTGGCTTTTCAGGCAGAGGCCTCTTTCTAGGTCAGTGGAAATACCTGGGTAGTTCAGAGGCAAGGATGTGATCAGGTGGTACAAATAAGAGCCTGTCCTTAAAGAGCTAGCATTGTAAGCCTCAGGAAGATGTGATATCTCCTTCCCTGTTGTCCATGATCATCTAGGTGGCTGAGGCAGTCACAGTCTCTGGGAAAAAGAAAGGATTTCTAGGGCAGTGAACCAAGCTCCAGTCATACAGCTGGGCATGGTGGCATGTGGTTGTAATCCCAGCACTCAAGAGGCTGAGGTGGGAGGATCACTCAAGTTTAGAAGTTCAAGACCAGCCTGGGCAACACAACCAGACCAAGATCCCTGTCTCAAACAAACAAACAAGTAAAAACACAATCCAGTGATCTCCACTCTCTTCTGCACGGCCTAGAGTTGGAGGCTGAAAGAACAAAAAGACGATTCAATTCTAAATCGAACCAAGCAGATTCAGACTAGAAACTCCTAGAGCCAAAGGAGATGTGACCACTGCCAATGGCCAGGGATCCAGGGAGGCCTGTTTCTGCTTAATGTAGACTGTGAAGCCAAAATGCTGAGAGGGGTTGGTGGGCTAGGGAATGGCAAATCCAGTCCCCCTGGTGATCTCTGGGGGGCACTGTAGGGTACTCCTGGATCCGAGCAGAGGAGCCTGAGGCCAGAGCAGAAGGAGTGCACAACTGGTAACAGAGCCAGTCTGGGGTCCAGGTTCCTGATTGACTTGAGTCCTCTCTGGAGGACCACGCTGTCTCCTGGAAGTCATCTGTCCCATACGTCAATAAAGTCACCACTTGTAGTTCCAGAGAACTTTCATTCTAGAGAAAATTTAGGATGGCCAGACAGCTCAAGGGGGGACAATACAGAGGGACTGAGTCACCTTTTTGGAGCTCACCAAAGAGTCCAACACTTCTCTACTTCTCAGACACTCGCATCCCTTCCTCCTGCCAACTGCACATCCTTGCACAACCCTGGGGTTGTAGGAAAAGCATGCAGTCCAGGTATGTGAAGAGAAGATGATGTGGGTCATCTAGAGTTCTGGGATGTCCTTCAGATTGTGACAATGGAAACATCCGTCCCTGTGCTGCCAACCCGTCAGCCCATAGCCACACTTGCTATATTTGCCGCACAGATCAACACATTCCTAAGAGAAGGGCTACTTGATTTTTCTTAGTTACCAAGTGGCTTATTCTTCTCTGTTCTTGGCTAAATGACTATCCATTCATTGTCACTTTCATCCAAGTCCACAGAAGAAGAAAAAAGAGACCCAAGAAGGTTTGGTTTCCTGCTTGATTACGTTTATTATGAGGAGCAGTTAAAGATCTTCACCAGTCCTTGGTTCAGAGCTCTTCTCTCCAGCCTTCTTCACACTGAGTGGGGAGTCAGGGAAGTAAGAACAGAATTTGGGAAAAGGAGTCACGTATGTATGTATGCCAGACAGGAGAAAACACATTCTTTACTCCACTGCTTCAGACAGCTCATTAGAGTGGAGGCATCAGCACAGGAGGCCAGGAAGGCAGGGCAGGTTCCTGCCTTGCTGGGAGGGCCAGCTTGATGCTCCACCACTGCTCATGGGGCCACTGACAGCACTGCCTCTTGTGCGTGGCTGTGGCTGTGGCTGTTAGGGACAGTGACTTTTCTTTCTCCATGTACTGCTCTATAGAACCCTCTTCAAGTGCTGCCCAGACTCACAGACCTGAGTGGAGTTCCCCACATCTGTAAATGGTGCTGACAGTACTCACTCCATCTCTTCAGACTCTTCCAGAGAGTGTGCATGGATGGAGCCTTGTCTACTTGTCACCAGCAAGTCATCCTACAACACAGAGCCCAACCCAGCACAAAGCTGCCATTCATAGGGCTATGGTATGTCAAGGACAGGCCACAAACACAATGTCAGTGTTAGGCACTGTCACTCACCCTCTCACTACCCTTAAAGACATTAGGGTAGTGACTGCAAAAGGGAGGACAGGATATAGGACCACTTTCCCATGTAGCCTGCAGTACTAGAAAGTCCATCCTGTACAGCTCTGGCAGGGTCCCCCTCCTGCCCCCACCCTCCTGCATCTCTCTCTGCTGTCCCCAAATACCTCACAAACACTCAAGCATCAGCCATTGTCAGTTCCTGATCTGATCACGCCCTGCATGCAGTACAGACCCACCTTTCTGGCTATCCAAGAGCAGTCCTACAACCCAACAGACTAAAACAGGGGAATGATGGCTAAGCTGGACTGGAAGGTGAGAGGATGGGAACTGGCTGGAGACAAGAAAGGCATCCAAAGCACAAATAGCTCACTCATAAAGACTGAACAACCTGCCTGCATGGTGCAGGAGCCTCTGTGGAGACCCCTGCCTTGGAGACCACATACCCAGGGTAGTGAGGCATCAAAGCCCCTTCCAAGGCAGAGAACAGCACTCTCTTAAGTTTCTGGGCAGAGGGCTTATGGCCAAAGAGGACTCACAATGTCCCTGACGGCTGATTACCAGTGTGCTCCTAGAGAGCCAGACTTCCTCTTGCTTCTTATTTTAAATACTGGCCATTCCCAAGCCCACAGAGTGGGAGAGAAAGCCTGGGTGGCACAGTGAGGGGAGATAAAGGGGCAAATTAAATAGAAAGAAAAGGAGATTGAAAAATTAATGAGACAAGCAGGGAGATTACGGGGTGACACAGGGCACAGCTCCTGTGGGGAATCATAGCTGTCTGGTCTTTGTGGCATGGAGTGGTCCTCCCATGGGACTCTCCAGGCAGTCACACTGAAGGGTCCTTGTGACGCTGTTCACTCATCTTAGTAGAAAACTTAATAAACAACCCTGTGGTACAAACAATTGAGAGAAGTGTCCTTGTTCAGCTGACTGGTATGCAAAGGCAAGACGGTGCATGTCCTCCTGTCCAAGACGATGTTAAATTCCCTGGAACTGCCCGCAACATAATGGTGTAAAGTATCACTAATCTCTTTTCCTATAAGGAGCTGGCAATGCCAGACCATGAGTCTAATTAATTCAGATATGTTCTAGGGCACAAGGTAGCCAGTAGTGTCCAAAGTGGGAGATGCCTGGTGGTGGCAGCCCCAGATTCCTAAGGCTGGCCATTCTTTCACTTCTCTGGGATAGCCGAGCTGTCCACTGCCGAGTTCATGGGACATGGGACTCAGGTATCTGCTGAGTTTACCTCTTTGGAACAGAAGTAATGCACCACCACTCCATTGGGGTATCTTGCAAATGCACTGCAAGAAAGAAGAATGGCTCAGGCAGGAGGACGGCCTCCAACACACTCTTCAAGTACCTGCAAGAGGCCCCTTCCCCAGGAGCCACCCTAGCCCAAAGAGCAGCCTGCCAAGGGTCTCTGCATTGCTGTACCCACCACTTCTATCAGACAACTATAAAGAGGATGAGTTACACAAAGCTCAAGTACATGGGGACATTTCCTGTTAAATAACCAATGTAAGGCTAGGAGTGGCAGAGCATCTGCCTAGCAGGCACGAGGCTCTGAGGTTGATCCCAGCACCCCAAAACCAAAAATAAATAAATAAACAAACCAGTGCAGAACATGTGGCCACAGTTCAGCACTGGCTTACTGAAGGTCGACGGTCAACACTGCTCATCAGAACAAGTTTCAGGCTAGTTCTAACAAGGGACAGTGAATTGGGTCTTTCTAAAGAAAACACTCTGCTTAGAAGGGGACTAACTACGGAACAACACACTGTGACTCTGGTGCAGGGGTCTGCGTGTCATGGAGCTGCAGCTTGAAAGATTTCTTTTTTTCTTCCTTCACAGACTCATTCTAAAAAATAAAGACTTTCTAGCGGGGCATGGTGGTGCTTCTCAAAAACAAAACAAAACTAACATAAAAATCTATTTTATAAAATAACCTTAAACATTGTTTACATAAAGATGGCTTGATATGGTAGTGTATACCTATAATCCCAGCACTCAGGCAGAATTTAATTTCTGGTTTTTAAATTCTCAAAGACCACCCCCAGACAGCAGGGCCTGCCCTATCAATGCCCAAGAAATCAAGGTATGGCAGAGGTGTGGCTCAGCCTTGCAAGAGTGAAACACTAAGCTCAAACCCCAGCACCATCAAAAGACAAAAAGTAGTCAGGATAGAGAGCAGATTTTCTCTTTGGCTGGAGGGCAAAAATCCATCCTGATCATTTCCCACCCCAGGGATCCCCCACCCAAGCTTGGATGCACTAAGGGTGGATGAGGCTTACCTGTTTCCAATCTTCTTCTTACACACCATGCACACCTTCTCCTCTGTGATGATGCACTTCACCTGCTGGTGCAAAATCCGCTCTTCCTGAACCTACAAGAGATGAAGGGAAAGTTCCATGTCCAGCACACAGAAACAGAATGCAGGGGTCAGCACTGTTCATCTCTTAGCCTTCACAGATACTCCTTGTCAAAACACTTGTAATGACATGTCATGTTGGCTGCTGGGACAGCTGGAGTTATACTGTACAAGTACATACAACTCTGCTTCAGTGGGAACCAACCACGTGGAAACCATCTCATACTGAAAACCAAGGTCACCCTAGACCCATACCCTCAGGAACTCAGCATGAAGAAGGTTCTTGAGCACTTGATTGAACCGTTTCTTTTGTGCATTTTCTTCCAAGACCTTTTCCAAAAAGATGCGTATGTCATTGATCTGAGTGTTTGCTGGCAGAAGGTTGATAGCCTAGGGACAGGAACAGAAATGAGAAAAGGCTGAGGCAGAACAGGAGTGAGACTGAGAAAACACTCGAGGCCAAGAGCTCTCAGACCCTAGTCCTTCCCCACTGCTCTTCTCATTCAGTGCTACATTTCCTTGGGGAGGACCGCTGACCTTGGTGGTGTCCAGTTTGCTGTGGTGCAGTTCCAAGACCTGCAAGGCAGCCTGGAGGTTGGCCTGTGGCTCTAGAAGTTCCAGCTTGATTGGCCCCAGGCAGTGAATGCTAGGGGGCGACAGGTACATCCGAAGCAGGGACAGATACACCTGTCTCAGATAGGCACAAGTCACTCATGTCAGGTTAGCAGCAAATCCCAGAGGCCCAGTACTAAGCAGTCCTAAAGATTAGACGGTGGAGAACATCATTCTGAGTGAGGTTAGCCTGGCCCAAAAGACCAAAAATCGTATGTTCTCCCTCATATGTGGACATTAGATCAAGGGCAAACACAAGGGGATTGGACTTTGAGTACATGATAAAAGCAAGAGCACACAAGGGAGGGGTGAGAATAGGTAAGACACCTAAAAAATTAGCTAGCATTTGTTGCCCTTAACGCAGAGAACCTAAAGCAGATACCTTAAAAGCAACTGAGGCCAATAGGAAAAGGGGACCAGGAACTAGCGAAAAGGTGAGATCAAAAAGAATTAACCTAGAAGGTAACACACACGCACAGGAAATTAATGTGAGTCAACTCCCTGTATAGCTATCCTTATCTCAACCAGCAAAAACCCTTGTTCCTTCCTATTATTGCTTATACTCTCTCTACAACAAAATTAGAAATAAGGGCAAAATAGTTTCTGCTGGGTATTGAGGGGGTAGGGGGGAGAGGGAGGGGGCAGAGTGGGTGGTAAGGGAGGGGGTGGCAGCAGGGGGGAGAAATGACCCAAGCCTTGTATGCACATATGAGTAATAAAAAAAAAAAAAAAAAGATTAGACGGGTTGGTCTATAGCAACCCATCCTCAGGGAGCATTTAAAACTCATTTTCACCTTTCAAAATTTGGTGAAGTCAAACAGTCAAATGAGAATGTTAATTAAAGAATCAAAGACTGCTTTTTCCCTGAGAGAAGAAACCAAGTGCCTGTGTTTATAAATTGCTAACACTGCAAAATAACTTAAAAACATCACTCATGTTCTTTGGCTTTGAAAACTGAGACCCTAGCCACATTTTGTCAGGTGGGGAGGAGCCCATGATGAGTTACCACATTATCTACTGGTACCAGCGCCATGGATTTCTCCAAATTTGGGGCCAGATCATTCCTTGTGGTTGGGGCTGTGCATCACTTAGCAGGATCTCTGGCCTCTACCCCTAGTTCTAGTAGCACCTCCACCCCCCAGTCACACAATCACAAATGTCCCCAGACACTGACAAAATGGTATGTATTCCAGACAGTACATCAGAGCCACCAGATGTTCCTCCTCAGTGGGCTGTGCTGAGCCACATTAATTTAGTACATGAATCAGGACTCTTGATAGGGACAGGGGACTGCTAATAAGCATGTGGAAAACAAACGCAAGCAAACCAAGGCATACAGTTGGCTTGCTTCTCCCTCAAGAGACACATGCAAAATCATTCGGTGCACCCACCCAAGCCCTGTCTCATTTAGCAGTCACACCAGTACCAATGTGGTTACACTGGATTGGGTAAGCTGAGTCTGCTAAAGGAGCAGGAAACATACATATGCTCCCTGTGTCAGGGCTATTACTTACATCTTTGTGGCCATCCTTGTTTTGGTCATAGTGTTTGTGGCAGTACCTGCAAGGGAGAAGGTGTGAGAGCAGGCAAGGGACTACATCCAGATGATATGCCATCCATGTGGCCTGCCTGAGCAGTCTAATGATAACCAAAACCAGGGGCCGGCATGGAGGGCGACTTGCCCTCCAGTAGTAGAGCACAGGTGATGAGCTTCTTGGCCTTCCTGACACTCATCTCTGGAAGGCTTGCTTGTTACTCCTTGGGAGGTGGGAGGACAGGGCTCACTTACTCCTCAGCCATCCTTGTATCCTTTAAGACGTGGACATAGATGAAGAGAGCTTGTTCATGTTTGCCCATGCGCCCCAGCAGGAGAGCTCGTTCTTCTAAGAGGCCTAGGAGGAAAGGGATATGCAAGCACAAGGTCAGGGACTAGGCTCCTAGAGGAATGAGCACAGGAGCAACACAAAATTTAAGAAAGGGCTGGGGGTGAAGCTCAGTGGTAGAATATGTGCCTGGGTTCAATTTCTAGCACCAAAATAGTAAAAATTAAAATAATAAGCCAGGTGTTGGTGGCTCATGCCTGAAATCCTAGTTACTTGGAAGGCTGGGATTAGAAGGGTCATGGTTTGAGGCCAGTGTGGGCAAATAGTTTGAGAGAACCCATCTTAATCAAATAGCTGGGCATGGTGGCTAGTGCCTGTCATCCCAAGCTACGAAGCTATGTGGAAGGCAGAGACTGGGAGGATCATGGTTTCAGGCCAGCCCAGACAGAAAAAAAAAAAAAAGTTTGTGAGATCTCAACTTGAAGGAAAAAAAGCTAGGTGTGATGGTGTGCACATGTCATCCCAGCCCTAACAGGAAGTGTAAAAATAGGATCATAGTCCAGGCTGGCCTGGGAAAAAGCAAGACCCTATCTCCAAAATAACCAGAGTAAAATGGGCTGGGGTATTGCTCAAGAGGTAGAGTAGCTGCCTAGCAAGCACAAAGCCCTGAGTTCAAACTCCAGTACTCACCCCTCCACACAAAATATATATATATATATAAAATGGAAGAAAATATCCTTATTTTTTCAAGGAGAAAAGTACTGACATTTTTAAAAGCAAAGGGAGTTATTTTAGAAGTTACTGTATCCTGTTTTTATGATCACTTCTAAAATGGGTAAGGGAACTCATGTAGCAGCAGGTATATAATAACATCTACACATCAAGCCAGGCGCTTCAGGGAAAGTAAGCAAACACTTGGGCTCAGTGCTCACAAACTTACTCATCAGACAAATTTGTCTTTTGCAAATGAATTTTTCCAGACTAAGAACAGTGCTCAACAATGAACTTGGCAAGGACATGTTGAAAAGCAGTAACAGGTTACAACCTATCAATTAATTAGCAGTGCTTTACAACCAGAAGAGGCTTCTCTCAGCTCTGGTAAAAAAGTGAATCTCCAGAAGGGATGAAGCAGGAGCACTGGACTGAAACCTAGGGTTCTTCCCAGGCCCACCTTTGTGGAAACAGTAAAAAGGGCAAGATTAGCTTTTGTACTATGTTCAGCTGAAGTGACTCTGGGCCTACGTCAGACACTCACCATCAAAAGGAAAGTCACAGATGAGCCGGCCTGGATCATAGTAGCTGGAAATCTCCAAGAACATGAGCAACTTTTGCCTGTATTCTCCCAGCTCACCCTCTTCCTCTCCAGCAGGGACTGGGGTTTTGCCTTGAAAGGAAACCAAGCTCGACGTGAAAGGATGCTGTCGGGAAGCAATGTGAGATCGTGGCTCATGTGGTAGAGTACTTGCCTAACAAGTGCAAAGCCCTGAGTTCAAACCCCAGTACTGCCAAAAAGGGGGCAAAAACTGGGGTGTTGGGGGGAAACGGAGCTCAATGGTGACACCACATGATCAGAAAGAGATGCCACAGGGGTTTCCAGGTAGAGTTCTTTTACTTTATGGTCTCTATGGCCACAAAACATCAGCTTATGGTTAAGAAAAGTAGGCTAAACAGAGAAATACTGGTAGGTCAACAGGTTTCTTATCAACACAGCTGTCATCTTGCAGACAGATCTGTTCCTTCTGTCCTCCCCTAGAGATGCCCAGACCTAGTTAATGGCTCTGGAGTCTCACATGCCCCTGGCTTTTGTAAGGTACTTTCCACCTCCTGGACATAGAACAGTAAGACCTGCTTTTCCAACCACACATGGCACCTGTCTGTCATGCCTCTAAGGACTGGACCAACCATCTTTCAGTGGGAACTGTACCTGCAGGGAAGGACAGGAGGTACTCCTTCATCAGACCTTGCACCTTCTCACAGTACAGCTGGATTAGGCAGTTGTGGAACCGGGAGCCTATCTCCTCCCACACGTGGATGATGTGCTCCTGAGGAGAGACGTAGGTCTGCTGGCTGATAACCTACAAGCTAGGAACTGGTCTCCCAGTCTCCTTCACATGTTTATAGCCCAACAGGTCCCACCCAGATTATTTCCTAATTAAACTGCAAAGATTACCCAGGAACAGCTCTTTTCTAATTTGTTTTTGGGGTTTTTTTGAGATGGGTCTCAATATGCAGCCCAGGCTGGCCTGAAACTCATGACCCTACTGCCTCTGCCTCCTGAGTGTTGGCATTACAGGCATGTGCCAGCATACCCAGTGAGGAACAGCTCTTCTAATACCATCAGGAAATTTCACAACACAACTCAGCAATCTCAGGAAGTACTTTTTTCCATTTCCAATTTAAACTCATTTTATTAACTTTGTCCTAGAGTCCTTCAAACTCTTATATTGGCCCACGTAATTAAGGTTAAATGTTTGTAATATGGTACATAAAACCTATTTGAAGTTGCAATGGTGACTGCTAAGTTTGCATAAAAATGAGATTGAGATTTTTTTTTTCCTTCTAAAATGTTATTCTTTTATTCCTCTGTACTTTACTAGACTCAGAAGGTATCATCAAGGTAGCATTTCCAGTTCGGTCTCCTGGGATTTCCTCCTTCAGAGGATGTTGAAATAACCTTTTTCTATTCATTTCCACCAAGCCCAAGTGTCACAACACCCCTCATAGCTGAACTGCCTGCTAACTGAACTGTGTAGACCTGGATCCTGGGTTGAAAGCTTTTTAGTGCAGACCAAAATATATCTTACCAGATAAGGAATAGCGAGACCCTTAAAATTCTCTATTAAGAAGCTAAGCACACGATCTCGTGGTAGAGATTCCACCTCTGGAAGATCTTCGGTAAATATCTGTCAGAACAAACTGAGTTTCAGCAGCAGAATCACTTGATTAGAGTTCTACCAAACACACATGTGTGCAAGCGCTGGGTCACACAGATACTTTTGGAGAGGAAGGGTATACAGGAAGGTTTCAGAAGCTGGATAGTGGATGGCATACTAGGCCACAGGACTCCTGGTCCCAGGGCAAGGCTTTTTCTACCATATACACTGTTGTCTCATGCATCCCACTTTATCCCAAGTCCAAAGGAATTGCATGAGTCCAGCCTCCTCCTGTATCCACTGCTGTCTTTCTAGGTACAGTCAGGACCAACTATGGCACCAGACAAATCCAAAAGGCTTCATGACCTACCTTCAGGCCATCTTCTGGGAAGTCTCTCAGCACCCACACTGAGTAGGAAAAAATTAAATGCAGGTTTTCTGTGCCTACAGGGAAAAATAAGATTTATCAGCAGTTGACAAAAGTAAGGCTTGCCTGATGGGACTGAAAGGCAGGTGTGCAGGAGGCCTCAGAATTCATTTGGTGGACAAGACAGCTTTGTTCAAGCGTTAGCCATTCAGGGATGCTTGGCTCCCCTGGGCTGGTCACCCCCCACTGAGTGACTTTTATGCCAAGTGGAGAAAGAATCTGATTGAACACAAGGGAAGAAGGAGATTGACCAGTCAGGCTCCTAAGTGGAAGGAGACCAGGAGCTGTCTCCAGTTTTCAAAAGGTGGGCTCACCCAGGTGCTGGAGATACTGCACAGTCCTCTCATGGCCTTTCAGTGGGGAGTTTGCTTTCTTGGACTGGTCCACCAGCACCTGCAGAGCTGACCACAAAGCCCAAGAACAAGATCATGAGCCTCTTCCCCATGGGAGACTTAACACATTCTATCAACATACAAAAGCCCCTCCTCCCATCACCTTTCTCATGGAGCCCCTTCTTCTCATACAGGATTATCAGCTCACTGTACTTATGAGCCTTCTTCAGCACATGCTCACTCTCCTCAATATGGCAGTGATTGTTCTCCAGGCGCAGCAAGGGGGCCACCAGGGCCACGTTCGTCTGTGGAGGGGGGAGGAGCAGGACTTCAGCAGAAACTGCTTCCTGGGAGCCACCCCACCCTTCCCTAGCCCAGGTCTGCTCTGGGCTGGAAGGCCAAGGATGTAATATAAGCACAAGAAAACAGGATGACAGGTAGGGGCTTTTGGAGCATTTATGCTCTTCTATACAATGTGTTTCACTTTCTGGGGGAGAAGAAGCCGAGACTTTCTTTGAGGAATTACTGTCCCTGTTGATCCTGTAGTGCTAACCTCAATCTTACTAGAAAAGAACAGCCAGCTGTAAGAAAGTTTCCCCAACCCCCGCCCTTTCATAGTACTGCTTGCTAGGCAGGTACCCTACCACTTGAGTTGTGCCCCAGCCTAGCTATAAGATTCTGGATCAGTAGCTTGCCTTATCCTCTTAATTCCAACAAACTCATTGGCATCAGGCAAAGGCTAGATGGTTCCTACCATTAACGACTTCATTCTTATTAGTGGCAGGTCCCCTAGAGTGTAGAGCTCCTTTCCATGTCCCCAAGCCAAGGGGAACAGAGTGTGCAGGCAACTCACATGTAGGTAGCACTTGAGCAGGGTGGTGTCAATGATTTGCAACAACTTCTTCTTGGATTTGATGGTGGGAGTGCCTTCCATGAGGGGGGAAGTGCTAGACTGGTGGTCAGAGTCATTCAGCTTCTTTACTAATTGACTTCGTTTCTGCAAAGGCCAAAAATGTGGGATTAAGGCAGGATTAAGTCTTTTTTTCATCACCTGAGCTACTGAGTAACTCTGACTACCTCCAAATCACCTCCTGCCAATCCACCCAGATCTCACATTAGCCTTCATTTTTCATTAGCAATCAAAATAGATGACTGCCAAATTGCCACAGATACAATAGCAGTAATAACAATAACCTATTAGTTTTGATTTGTTTTTGCAGTGCTGGGGATTGAACCCAGGGTCTCATGTATGCTAGGCAAACGTTTCACCGAGTTATACTTGCAGCCCTCTGTTTTTGAGATTAGCATTTGCCTATTCTAAAACTTCATGTAGTCAGGTATGATGGCCCATGCTGCCGGGAGACTGAGACAGGAGGACATTGAATTTGAAACCAGCATGAGGATACAGCAAGACCCCATTTCAAAAAATATATTTTTTAAATTAAAACTTCATGTAAGTATAATCATCCAGATTGCGTTGTTTTGTATCTGTCAAAGCCTATTGTTTTGTATACATTACTATTTTTCTGGCATAATACTAGAGTTGGCTAAGTTCCTGGATTCCCAGTGTCAGTGGAGAAGGCCAGGGAATAAAGTGTGTTCAGATTCCTAAAGCTAAGACACTGGCAGCAGAGGGCCTTCTGTAGCACCACAGGCCTTGGGAAATATGTTCTAGGAGGTTTTTCACCTGGCACAGGGCTGTGCACTGTGCATGCAAAGGCAAGGCTATCTGCTCTGTGAGGCTTCCAGTCACAGGTGAGTGGCTGGAGCCTAGTATCAAGTACATGCCAAGGCTAAACCTGATCAGACCTGCAGGTGCTCACTGACCCAGAAGCAGGGAGTAGAAAATGGTATTTCCAGCAATACTTCTCAGAGCCTACTGGGAGACCTCTTACAAAGGTCTGCAGAACACTTGGGAAGAAGAAAATACTCCTAAGTTCTCCAACACTGAATGCACAGGAAATGAACAAAAGTTTTCAGTGACAGAAATTGTGGGTTAAGAGGCTTTGAGAGGACAGTTTCAGTGGTCATTTTACAATTTTACTCATCTGTCTATAACAGTAAATTGAAAAAGTTTAAATACCTACCAAAAAACATGGTACAGAAGGATATCTATCGAGGGGGTTGGGGGGAGAGGGAGGGGGCAGAGTGGGTGGTAAGGGAGGGGGTGGGGGCAGGGGGGAGAAATGACCCAAGCATTATATGCACATATGAATAATAAAACAATAAAAATTTAAAAAAAAAGAAGGATATATATTGTTAAAGAAAGATTTTCCCAATATATGGCTAAATTTTTAAAAATAAGCTATAAAGCAGAGTATATAGTGTGAAATCCATTTGCAATAAATATATATAAGAATGTAAAAGGGAAACACTAAAATGTCAGTTTCTTATCTCTGGTGGTCAAGTTATTTGTATTTGTGTCTTCCACAAAAACAGACATTTTCTCTCAAAATTATGTCTGGTAAGAAAACGTTTGTTAAAGACCTTATTCTTTGCTATCAACTAAAATTTACCCTTTTTAATTGCTATATCAGCTTACTGTGACTTTATCAGGAATTGAGTGTTTCCTGGTATGAAGATTTGGTACTGTTAAGTTGGAAGAAGTAGCAGAAAGACGTCACCAGCGTTTACTAATGGAATGTCTATCTCATTATCATAGGCCCTCAATTCTCTACCATAGAGAAATAGGTTCTGGAACTTCCAGTTACATGCTTCATACACCTCTGTATTATACCTACCTACCTGTGTCAGGTAGTCAATCAGAGCTAAGTGAGCCTTCTCCAACTCAGCCCCAGAGAGCACAGGCAGCGGGTTAGGGTACTGCAACTGCTTCCTGTAGTCTGTGGGCAGCAGGTCAGGGTACAGGCCCATCACGTGAGTGGGATCTGTAAGAAAGGTAATCCTTTTTGGAAAGGAGCTCAATAAATTAAGGATAAAATAAAACATGGCTATTACTATAGCAAAATAAGCCCCAGACTGATTTAAAAAAAAAAAAAAAGGAAATGAGTCTAAGTTCAGAAAAACTCCATGAACAACATGCTTATGATTTGAGCATTATATATGTGTACATTATATTTCACTAAAATGTCACAAAAGTGGCATGACTCTTCTAAGGCACAAACATATACAGAATTAGAACTGAATATTTATCTCTACAAGTACAGGATATAAATTTCCAAAGAAAAATTGATGGTATTAAAGTGAAAAACATAAATAGACGTAATATATTTGTAATATACTTGGCAAGAAGCTAATATGTTGATTATATAAAACAAATTCACAAAGTGTAAGACTTCACTTGATAAATGGGTAAAAGAATTAACAGGAATAAAAAGTAGAACTCTCCAGAACACATGTTAACCCTTTGTCACTGTACCTGGCCATGTACTTCTGCCCATCTGAGAAGGAAGAAGATCCTGTTCCTCAGAATCAGAGAATCACTATAACCTGTAACCTGTAACCGTTCACAAGAACGGGCGACTGACCAGGGCAGGAGCAGTGCTCCTGGGAGCCACATTGAAGCCAGTCTGAGGGAAAACAGCCGCTGGGATAGTGAAGTGAACACACAGCCCTCACTGAGGGCTCACCTGCCTCCTGCAGCAAGGTTCATGTCTGTAAGCATGTATCGAATCACACTGTTCTACTTGAAGCCTTATGATGAGGGGCTGGGAGTATAGCTCAGTGGTAGAGTGCTTGCCTAACATGTCTAAGTCCCTGGCCCAAAGAGCCCATGTGATTTGTCACCTGATATTATCAAAGTCCAAGATACCTGTGGCATTCAAGGTCCTTAGAAATCACCCCAGTGTATCTTTGATCTCTCCACATCAACCATCACAGTGGGCTCTGCTTCACAGGCCCTTGGATGCAGGATGTGAGTTCCCTACCTCTATGCCTCCCATTAAATTCTACTTCTTTTCATCCTTTGGGGCCCAGCTCATGGGCAAGCTTCCTCACTTACTTCTGCATGCTCCTGGAGAACTTTACCACACAGATTCCAATGTTTTACTGAGTGGTTTTACATACAAGTACTTTGTGGACCTATGACATGCCATATTTTTCTCCAAAGTCCAGGATCAAAAGCAGAGCTGGCACTGACAATGCTTATCTAATTTGCTTTGGAGGCAATAGGTTCTTTTTTGTTCTTTTGGTGGTACTGGGATTTGAACTTGGGGCCTCAAGCTTGCTAAGGAGGTGCTCTACCACTTGAGCCAGCGAGGGAGTGGTATAGTCCAGGACTATACCACATGTAGAAACCCAAGTATGATATCAAACATACAATCAATAGTGAAATGATATCCCTCATGCAGAACAATGGATAAAAGTCAACTTGGCTTTGGCCTCACTGCTCTGGCTGTTTCCCCAACTCCCAGACACTCTTCCTTCCTTTCTGCTGCACTGCACTAGCCATGCCCTCAGCTTTCAACGCTCTTTCTGCATGGCTCATGGAGCCACCTTCCTCAGGTCATAACTATAATGCCCCCTTCTCAGAGATGCCTAGCCATTTTATCTTAAAGTATAATCCTGATTCCTACTTGCTGTATACTTATCTTCTTTACTTTCTCATCACTTATTATTTCCTGAAGTATATAAATATGCTTATTTGCATATCCTCTTCCATTAGAATACAGCCCCACTACTTGGCATCTAGAATAGTCTCAGCACGTGCAGAAGCCTGATAAACACATGATGAATGAAAGAACAAATGAGTACATAATGGATACAGCACTTACACCAATTCAACAGTCTCAACCTCAATGTCAAGATCTAATGTGAGTTTTAAGAAATTGAAGAATTATGTCCCTCACACTCTTGCCATTCCACAGCACCCACTCCATTCCCAAGACCCTGAACTCCCAGGGCCTTGGAGTAGTGAGTCCTCTCATCAAACCTCTGGCAAGTCCCCATAGCCTGGCCTTTCCTTCTTGCATTTGAGCTTGCCATGTACAGGGCTGCAAGAGGAAATAACCCTAAAGTAGTGATTCTTAAACACTGTTAAGCTTTTAGACATCTCAGAGATTGTGATGAAAGGTTTTGATCCTCTCTCTAGAAAAACTCGTATTTGGTCAAAATTTTACATTGAATCTCAGGTGGTTCAAGACTTACTAAAGTTCAATCAAGAAATGTGACTGTAGCAATTCTATTAGGGGCCTGTGTGTGGGAAGAGAAGGGCAGAACAGTAAATCTGCACTGCAGGAAGGGCCCTGGGCTTGGTAGATAAGCTATTTCAGCCATCTTCGACTAGTCTTTGCTGTAGGGCCTCCCTGTGGCTCACATGAAATGTGTCAACACATGACTTCTTTTTGTTCCAATGGTGTGCTTGCAAGGCAGTCTCTGACATGGCATCCCAGACATGCCTGGTTCTGCTACCTGCTGAGTTTCATTAATGTGAATTAGCTCATATGCAGGTGATAAGTGGGGGAATGATGTCAGTATTAGGCAATATTGTATTGGTTTGTGTGTAATTTTCCCAGCTTGTTAATGTTCAGAAGTGACCGAGGACAAGCTTCCTCACAATTAAAAAGAAAGCTTTAACTACACATGAAGAACTAAAGAAAAGAACAGAAGAGCCTATGAGAAATGTACTAATGGCAGTTATTTAGTAGCTTTAAGGACTACTATATATCCTGCTAAGTTAAGCCATTTGGGAAGCCGAAGTACATACTAATTTTTTTTAGTCTCATGAAGTATACATTTGAGTTCAGATTTTAAATTTAGGTAAATCTGGTTTCTATTAGAAGCAAAAAAGACCCTTTTCAAAAAAAAAAAAAGGAAAAGCAAGCGAGAACAAAAATAAATAAAAGAGGTCCATGTTCCCTTGCCTTGAGCCTAGAAGGACCTTTGTAAATCAACAGAATATGGGAGTAGTGACAGTCAGAAAAGACACTGAGGCTTCTACCTAGGTCTCTTGGATTGTTCCCTCTGGGAAAAGCCAACTTGCTACCCATGAGGACATTCTAGCAGCTCTGTGAAGACCCACTGGACAAAAACTAGGGCCCTCCCAGGAAGCGCCAACTTGCTAGCCATGAGAGTGAGCCTGTTGGAAATGGATCCTCTAGCTCAGTCAAGACCTCAGTGATGGTAGCCCAGTGCACATACCACTCACAACAACTGCATTAGAGACCTGTAGCAAGAACTGCTCAGACGAACCTTTCTCAAATTCCTGACTACCACATAGGAAAAGAGACAACAGATGATTGCTACTTTAAGCTATGAAGTTTTGGGATGATTTTGTTACATGACATTAGACAGCTGATATGCAGATGGGGGCAATTTTTTATTGAGGATGCAGCAACAGGAGAGGCACAGGGACAGTTGTAGGAGGTGGCTATTCCAGAGTTGGGACTGTCTAGCCTGTCTTTGGCTACAAAGTGATTCTGTTCTGCTTTCTGTTTCCTGCCTGGAAAGGCCTCCAGAGCTCCCTGTGTTACCTACCTGTCTCCAAGTCTACTCTCCCATCAGTTTTATGGGTCCCTCCAGCTGTCATTCTAACAGTCCAAAGAACCCTGCTTATTTTGGTTAAATTATTCAGAATTGGTTTCCAAGAACCTAAAGTTACCACGGGGCATTACTGGCCAGAGTTGAGAGATAGTAGATTTTCTATTCTCTCTCAACCCTGGCCAAAACTAAGAAGAGGAAGAAAATAATAAGATAATATTGAAGAAAACCAAGTACATATAGGTTGATCCAAATGAAGCAAAAATGACACACAAAGAGTTTAATAATAGTAGTAATAGCAGACACACAGTGCCACACTGTTCTTAGCAGCTTGTATCATCGTCACAGCAAGGCTCTAAGGTAAGCATTATCATTATCCGTCTTGTGTGGAGGAGAAAGCTGAAGCCCAGAGTCCAGTAACTCTACCTGAGTTCTGGCAGGCTGACTCCAGGGTGCCTGCTTCTCACCAATGTGCCCTAGCATCCAGAGAGGTCTAGGATACCACAAAAGGGGAGGACTTTTTGTCACTACTCTGTATTGGTTCTCAAAATATCCAGGACTTTTGTTTAGAGCAACATCCAATAAGCACTAAGTGATCAAATGCACATTTGTTAAATCGAGTAACTTTCTATCACCTTTATTAGCATAGGTAAATGACACTGGAAAATTGGAAGCCTATATATGGAAGAAATCAGATTCGGAAGATAAGGTCTGTAAATAGGTAACCACTGTGGCCATTCACAAGATTTTGCTAGGCAGGAAGATCAATTTTGATGACAAATTACCCTTATTCTCAGAAGCCTGGCATGGTTTCACCCATCCTCTCCACTCTGCCCCCAGTTGTTAGTTCATAGCGCAAGGCCACATTGTGCTGGTTACCTGTGCCAAGCTTAGCAAAGACCTGCATGGACTCGTCAAAGCGCTTCTGGCAGAAAAGGTTGAAGGCATACAAGTTCTTGATGTGATGGATTTGTTGCTGCTTTTCACTGTCGGAATCATCTTTCATTTCCTAAGAAGAGACAGAATAGGAAAAAGCTTATTCACCCAACAAATATTTTTTCAGTACATTCTAGATGAGACAATATCCTAGAAACCACAGATGCCAAAATGTGCAAGACAGCAACAATGGTGCCTGCCCTTACAGACTGTCTGACAGTCTAAGCATAAGCTTGCTAAGTCACTATGTAATACATATTCACCAGGGTTTCTACAAAATGCCTACCATCCTCCTAAAAACTATCAAGAGCATGAAAAACTAGAAAAGATGAAGAAATTGTCACAGGCCAGAAGACAATGAGGACACATAATTAAAGGCAACCAGATGTCTGAATTTGATCCTGGAACAGAAAAAAAAGGGCATTAATGGAAAAACTGGCCAAATCTGAATGAATAAAGCCTAGAATTTAGTTTAAAATCAAAAAATCAAAACGAAATAGGGTAAGACTGATGACAGAAACAAGGGGGAGGGGAACCCAATGCAATCTGAGTGTGTGGGGGTGGTGTTCAGGATGGATTCTAAGAGACATAGGGATGAGCTGGAGCTGTCCAAGCACAGCCAGGAATGTGACAGAGGGAGGGAAGAGGAGTGTGTACTCCTGACAAGGGGAGAGCACATGTTCAACACCCTAGAATGACAGGCAGCACGCTGTGCTCAAGGAGTGGAAGACATTAATGTGACCAACACAGTTCACCGTAAAAGGTCAGTATATGTGGCTATTATCAGCTTTGCTGCTCCTGATAACCTTTTCTTCCTTATCTCCTTTGACCAATCTTTCAAATGCCATCAATTTCTCCCTTCCCTTCTGTTCTGCCCTCCTGGTCCTTCTCCTCTCCAAGTTTTCTCCTGTGTGGTTCTCCAAAACTTTCAAAACGTGGCACTGGCCTCCTTATCAAGCTTATTCTGAGACATGTAAGGCATACCTGCTCAGATCAGTATGGGTGCCAAGTGTTTTAGAAATATACCATATCTGTTTTCACTTTTTAACTTCCTTTGACCTTTGACACTGCCTGTTCCTGATCCTAAGGACCAGCTCAAGTATCCAACCTTTCTTTTCCCAGCTCACAGAGAACTGTCTCTCTAACACTTACACTTCACTCATGTTAGGTGCAGCTGCCTTTGGGTTTCATGTATGTTCTCTATTAATTTAAATAAAAGAATGGTTCCAGCAAGACCCAGGTGGCTCACACCTATAATCCTAGCTGCTCAGGAAGCAGAGATCACAAGGAACACCGTTTAAAGCCAGCCCTGGGCAAATAGTTCAAGAGACCCTATCTCAAAAAAACCCATCACAAAAAGGGGCTGGTACATGAAGAAGAACAAAATGTTATCATTTGCTGGTAAATGGATGGAATTGGAGAACATCATTCTGAGTGAGGTTAGGCCTGGCCCAAAAGACCAAAAATCATTATGTTCTCCCTCATATGTGGACGTTAGATCAAGGGCAAACACAACAATGGGATTGGACTTTGAGCACATGATAAAAGCGAGAGCACACAAGGGAGGGGTGAGGATAGGTAAGACACCTAAAAAATTAGCTAGCATTTGTTGCCCTTAACGCAGAGAACCTAAAGCAGATACCTTAAAAGCAACTGAGGCCAATAGGAAAAGGGGACCAGGAACTACAGAAAAGGTGAGATCAAAAAGAATTAACCTAGAAGGTAACACACATGCACAGGAAATCAATGTGAGTCAATGCCCTGTATAGCTATCCTTATCTCAACCAGCAAAAACCCTTGTTCCTTCCTATTATTGCTTATACTCTCTCTACAACAAAATTAGAAATAAGGGCAAAATAGTTTCTGCTGGGTATTGAGGGGGTGGGGGGGAGAGGGAGGGGGCAGAGTGGGTGGTAAGGGAGGGGGTGGGGGCATGGGGGAGAAGTGACCCAAGCCTTGTATGCACATATGAAAAATAAAATAAAAAAAAAAAAAAAAAAAAAAAAGGGGCTGGTGGAGTGCCTCAAGGTGTAGGCCCTGAGTTCAAGTCCCAGTACCATTAAAAAAAAAAAAAAGATTGGTACCTCCAGGACTAAAACGATGTCAATCAACCTTCTTGTGGTATAAAAAGGGAACATAGTACGTATGGGCCTAGAAAAGAGGAAGTGCAATGGGCACTCAGACAACCTGCAGATCACTGAAAATACTCTGACAACTGTCTATTATTCAAAGTTAGACAAAAAGAGCTGGGGGAGTGGCTTAAGTGTCAGAGCAACTGCTGAATAAGCATGAGGTTCTGAGTTTAACCCCTCAGCACTGCAAAAAAAACCTAAATACATTATTCATATATACTGAATATACATGCAAAGGATTAATCGAAAAAAACATTGTTAATAGCAGACTGGTGTACAAGCGTAATCCCAACACTCAGGAGGCTAAGGCAAGAGGATTGCCAGTTTGAGTCTAGCCTGGGCTACCCAGCAAAACTCTGTCAAAAAAAAAAAAAAGGTCGGCAGGGGAGACAATGACTGCATTTAAAGGGGAGGCAGAGGGATAGGACAGGGAAGAGTAAACATTATTCTTCTGGGGCAGGAAGGTAAGTTCATAGGTTTTCATTATATTGTTGCAAAATACAAAAATGGAAGTAAAATAATACAGAACAATACATGACTGGGATACTAATGATGTTTAACACTTAAGTCTGGATTTTTGTTTTACATTCAGAATTCATATATCTGAAATAAATGCTGCTCTTCAAAAGTAGCCACCATAAGTGACTAAGAAATATTTACTTAAAAAAAAAAAAAATCCAAGCATGATGGCCTATACCTATAAATCCTAGCACTTGGGAGGCTGAGGTGGAAGGATCAAGAGTTCAAGGCCAGCCTATGCCACATAGCAAAACAAAAATTTGTTTGTCTAAAACAAACAAATAAAAAGTGGTCACTGTTCTTCCTTCAGAAACAGTTTACAATATACTACAGAAATAAATTTTACCATTACTATCATCATCAAATTTTAATACACTGTCCAGTTTAGTGATGAGCCTCAGAATGACTTCTGTCTGTCATCCTGCTGAAATCAAATCTACCCGCTACAGATGATAATAATCATCCTAAGGATGTATAAAAGACTGAGATACAGACTCTGAAGGCTCTCTCCAGAATGGTTTTTGGCAACGGGAGCATCATGGAATAAGAGCATGGTCACTGCCATGCTATGGACAACATTCAACACAAACATAACGGAACGTACCCACTATGGTTTGAATATGGTTTGTGTCCCCCTACAGGTTCAAGTGTTGGGAACTTTGTTCCCAGGCTGGCAGTTTTGGGGAATGCTTTAACCTCTAAGAGGTTGGGTCTAGTGGGAAGTCCTTAGGTCACTGGGGATATGAGGTAGTACTTTTTAATGTTTTTTTTTTTTTTTTGTAGTACTGAGGTTTGAACTCAGGGCTTACAAACTAGGGTCTTGCAAGCTATTTGCCTGGGCTGGCTTCGAACTGCAATCTTCCTGATCTCTGCCTCCTGAGTAGCTAGGCAAAGTAAGGTGCCATTTTAGATTTTTTTTTTTAAGTGGTACTGAGGTTTGAACTCAGGGCCTCATGCTTGAGCACTCCACCAGTGCTCTTTTTATGTTTTTTGAGACAGGTTCTTGCTATGTAGCCCAGGCTGCCCTCAAACGCTCGACCTCCCTGCCCTCAGCCTCTCAACTGCTAGGATTATAGACATATACCACCATGCCCAGCTCTGGGGTAGTTCTTTAGAGAGGGTTGTTATAAAAGGAGCAAGCTCGCCCCCTCCCCTGTTCTCTGCTCTCAGTTGGGTGTAATTGCTGCCTTGCTCCTGCAAGGGTTCCTGCCAGTGCTACCCCAGGAGGTGGTGCACTTGCCACAGAGCCATGCAATGCCATTTGGATTTTGAACCTCCAAAAGTATGGGTTAAATAAACCTCTTTTCTTCCTAAGTAGTCTGTGTCCGGTATTTTTTATAGCAATGAGAAGCTGACTAATACAGTAAGATCATAACTATAAGACAGCAGCTTGGCCAAATGTAACAACTTGAGGTGATTTCAGAATATCTAAAGAAGGTCTACTTATCCAAACATAGGAGGTCACTGGCTTTTGTTTTTTGGCGGTGGTACTGGGTGGGGCTTGAACTCAGGGCTTCAGGCGCTCTACCACTTGAGCCACTCCACCAGCCCTTTCTTCTGATGGGTTTCTTTAAAATAGGTTCTCACGAACTATATGCCTGGGGCTGGCTTTAAACTGTGATCCTTGTGATCTCTGCCTCTTGAGTAGCTAGAATTAAAGGCGTGAGCCACCAGCACCCAACAGGAGACCACTGTTCAATTTTGAGGGGTCCTTCAGTTACTATATCCAACTAGACTGCAATATGATATTTATGACTATTATCTGTGTTTGCATTATCTTTAATTTTCCAAAACCGTCTACCTATTAAATTATTTTATTCTCCAATTCATTCTAGGAAATACTATTAAAACTGGCATTCATTCTACATTTGAACAAATAAAGCAAAAAGTAAAATGACTTAGTTACACAGATATTTTAAAGTAGAACAAGACCCTGGTTCAAAGCTCCCTGACTTTCAGCTCTGTGTTTATTCTCCTAGTCTCAACTAAATATGAACATCTGCACCAAATTGACCTACTTTTGAGAACAACAAGGAAGGCACACTCACACCCAAATTTGAGGAACATGACTTACTGCGAGCTGCAGAGCCAACTCAAACTGCTTGTCCTGGAGCAGCTGCTGGATTTGGGTCGCCATGGGGACAGGAATGAGTCTCCAAACAAAATGATTGCTGGCCACATAAATAATGTTTAATCTGCAGGCAGGGTTAAGAACATTGGTAAGGGAGCATGGGATTTACAGTGACATGGTGACTCTAGGATAAAACGGAAGCCACAGTGAAGGAAGAATTTCCTTACCCCCCCGAGGTGATGAAACGTGGTCTTTGCAGCTCAATGCTCTGGACCAAAAGCCGTGGTTCCAATGTCCGGATCTCCACGTATCGAGGCAACACTGCAATGATGTACGGAGGCTGGTGCTCTGTGCAAGAGAGAACACATTGAGCTGTACTTCTGGCTGGAAGCTTTTGCCTTAGTATGGGCTCAGTTTCAGTTGTCCATACTAAACTGCATTTAAATGAATCTTCAAAAAGTCCACTAATCAAACACCAAGCCAGAATCCTACACTGTGATAAAGAAAGAAAAAAACATTCCTTTAGCCAGGTAGGTTGAACACACCTGCAATCCCAACACTCAGGAGGCTGAGGGAGATCACAAGCTTGAGGTAGCCTGGGCTACACAGCGAGATCCTATCTCAAAGAAGAAACAACAAACATTGCTTTGCCTGAGTGATGCCAAAAAACATCTCTTTACTGACAGAGACTGGATACTACTCCTACCCTTTCCACAAAGAAATGGAAGGAAGTGTGAAGTGTCACCTGTCCCTTTAGCAGTCACAAAGCCATGTCAGACAAAAGTTGTATGCAGCTGTCCCTCCCATGCAGCAGTGGGAGAACCTGACTGCAGAACTGTTTCCATCACTATCTTAGAAAGGGAAAGAGGAAAGCAATCTATTCTTCTCTACCCATACTCCTAGCTAATACTGTTTCTGCTTGAGGTTTCCACAGGGAAAAGACGTAAAGCTCCACTTAATGGTTGCTGTGTTTAGAATGCTTTTGTTCTCACTAACACCCATGTATTGGAAGCTTAATCTCTAATGTGGCAGTGCTGGGAGGGTGGGGGCTAACGGGAGGTGTTTTGGTCACAAGGGCTTCACTCTCAGGAATGGATTAGTAGTGCTATAAAAGGATGTGGGGGGTGCTGGTAGAGTGGCTCAAGTGGTAGTGCAAGTGTGAGGCCCTGAGTTTAAACCGAAGTATTGCCAAAAAAAAAAAAAAAAAAAGACAGAAAAAGAGTGGGTTCCATGTCTTCAGCTCTTCTGTCATGTGCCTTGATCTAATTTTAATAAATTACTCAGTCCTTGCTCTGCTATAGCAGCACAAATGGACCAAGATAGTGGCCGAGAAGGGAGCAGAATGGAATTCTTAGTATAGCCATTTTGTTTTATTTTTTATTTATTTATTTATTTTTATTATTCATATGTGCATACAATGCTTGAGTCATTTCTCCCCCCTGCCCCCATCCCCTCCCTTACCACCCACCCTGCTCTCTCCCTCTCTCCCCTACCCCCTCGATACCCGGCAGAAACTATTTTGCCCTTATCTCTAATAGTTGAGATAAGGATAGCTATACAGGGAGTTGACGCACATTAATTTCCTGTGCATGTGTGTTACCTTCTAGGTTAATTCTTTTTGATCTAACCTTTTCTCTAGTTCCTGGTCCCCTTTTCCTATTGGCCTCAGTTGCTTTTAAGGTATCTGCTTTAGTTTCTCTGCGTTAAGGGCAACAAATGCTAGCTAATTTTTTAGGTGTCTTACCTATCCTCATAACTCCCTTGTGTGCTCTCGCTTTTATCATGTGCCCAAAGTCCAATCCCCTTGTTTTGTTTGCCCTTGATCTAATGTCCACATATGAGGGAGAACATACGATTTTTGGTCTTTTGGGCCAGGCTAACCTCACTCAGAATGATGTTCTCCAATTCCATCCATTTACCAGCGAATGATAACATTTCGTTCTTCTTCATGGCTGCATAAAATTCCATTGTGTATAGATACCACATTTTCTTAATCCATTCGTCAGTGGTGGGGCATCTTGGCTGTTTCCATAACTTGGCTATTGTGAATAGTGCCGCAATAAACATGGATGTGCAGGTGCCTCTGGAGTAACCTGTGTCAAAGTCTTTTGGGTATATCCCCAAGAGTTGTATTGCTGGATCAAATGGTAGATCAATGTAGCTTTTTAAGTAGCCTCCAAATTTTTTTCCAGAGTGGTTGTACTAGTCTACATTCCCACCAACAGTGTAAGAGGGTTCCTTTTTCCCCGCATCCTCGCCAACACCTGTTGTTGGTGGTGTTGCTGATGATGGCTATTCTAACAGGGGTGAGGTGGAATCTTAGTGTGGTTTTAATTTGCATTTCCTTTATTGCTAGAGATGGTGAGCATTTTTTCATGTGTTTTTTGGCCATTTGAATTTCTTCTTTTGAGAAAGTTCTGTTTAGTTCACTTGCCCATTTCTTTATTGGTTCATTAGTTTTGGGAGAATTTAGTTTTTTAAGTTCCCTATATATTCTGGTTATCAGTCCTTTGTCTGATGTATAGTTGGCAAATATTTTCTCCCACTCTGTGGGTGTTCTCTTCAGTTTAGAGACCATTTCTTTTGATGAACAGAAGCTTTTTAGTTTTATGAGTCCCATTTATCTATGCTATCTCTTAGTTGCTGTGCTGCTGGGGTTTCATTGAGAAAGTTCTTACCTATACCTACTAACTCCAGAGTATTTCCTACTCTTTCCTGTATCAACTTAGAGTTTGGGGTCTGATATTAAGATCCTTGATCCATTTTGAGTTAATCTTGGTATAGGGTGATATACATGGATCTAGTTTCAGTTTTTTGCAGACTGCTAACCAGTTTTCCCAGCAGTTTTTGTTGAAGAGGCTGCTTTTCTCCATCGTATATTTTTAGCTCCTTTGTCAAAGACAAGTTGTTATAGTTGTGTGGCTTCATATCTGGTCCTCTATTCTGTTCCACTGGTCTTCATGTCTGTTTTTGTGCCAGTACCATGCTGTTTTTATTGTTATTGCTTTGTAATATAGTTTGAAGTCAGGTATTGTGATACCTCCAGCATTGTTCTTTTGACTGAGTATTGCCTTGGCCATTCATGGCCTCTTGTGTTTCCATATAAATTTAATAGTACATTTTTCAATCTCCTTAATGAATGTCATTGGAATTTTGATGGGAATTGCATTAAACATGTAGATTACTTTTGGGAGATATCGACATTTTTACTATGTTGATTCTACCAATCTAAGAGCATGGGAGATCTCTCCACTTTCTATAGTCTTCCTCAATCTCTTTCTTCAGAAGTGTATAGTTTTCCTTGTAAAGGTCACTCACATCGTTTGTTAGGTTTACACCTAGGTATTTGATTTTTTTTGAGGCTATTGTAAATGGAATTGTTTTCATATATTCTTTTTCAGTTTGTTCATTATTTGTGTATAGAAATGCTAATGATTTTTCTATGTTGATTTTATATCCTGCTACCTTGCTATAGCTATTGATGGTGTCTAGGAGCTTCTTTTTTTTTTAAATTGTTTTATTATTCATATGTGCTAACAAGGCTTGGGTCATTTCTCTCCCCTGCCCCCACCCCCTCCCTTACCACCCACTCCACCCCCTCCCTCTCCCCACCATCCCCTCAATACCCGGCAGAAACTATTTTGCCCTTAACTCTAATTCTGTTGAAGACAGAGTATAAGCAATAATAGGAAGGAACAAGTGTTTTTGCTGGTTGAGATAAGGACAGCTATACAGAGAGTTGACTCACATTAATTTCCTGTGTGTGTGTTACCTTCTAGGTTAATTCTTTTTTTTTTTTTCATTTTTCTTTTATTATTCATATGTGCATACAAGGCTTGGTTCATTTCTCCCCCCTGCCCCCACCCCCTCCCTTACCACCCACTCCGCCCCCTCCCTCTTCCCCCCCTCAATACCCAGCAGAAACTATTTTGCCCTTATTTCTAATTTTGTTGTAGAGAGAGTATAAGCAATAATAGGAAGGAACAAGGGTTTTTGCTGGTTGAGATAAGGATAGCTATACAGGGCATTGACTCACATTGATTTCCTGTGCATGGGTGTTACCTTCTAGGTTAATTCTTTTTGATCACCTTTTCTCTAGTACCTGTTCCCCTTTTCCTATTGGCCTCAGTTGCTTTAAGGTATCTGCTTTAGTTTCTCTGCGTTAAGGGCAACAAATGCTAGCTAATTTTTTAGGTGTCTTACCTATCCTCACCCCTCCCTGTGTGCTCTTGCTTTTATCACGTGCTCAAAGTCCAATCCCCTTGTTGTGTTTGCCCTTGATCTAATGTCCACTTATGAGAGAGAACATACGATTTTTGGTCTTTTGGGCCAGGCTAACCTTACTTAGAATGATGTTCTCCAATTGTCTAGGAGCTTCTGAGTAGAATTTTTTGGGTCTTTAAGGTATAGGATCATGTCGTCTGCAAATAGGGATATTTTGACAGTTTCTTTACCTATTTGTATTCCTTTTATTCCTTCTTCTTGCCTAATTGCTCTGGCTAGGAATTCCAGTACTATGTTGAATAGGAGTGGAGATAGTGGGCATCCTTGTCTGGTTCCTGATTTTAGAGGGAATGGTTTTAATTTTTCTCCGTTAAGTATAATGCTGGCTGTAGGTTTGTCATATATAGCTTTTATAATGTTGAGGAACTTTCCTTCTATTCCTAGTTTTCTTAGAGCTTTTATCATGAAATGATGTTGGATCTTATCAAAGGCTTTCTCTGCATCTATTGAGATGATCAAGTGGTTTTTGTCTTTGCTTCTGTTAATGTGGTTTATTACGTTTATTGATTTTCGTATGTTGAACCACCCCTGCATCCCTGGTATGAAGCCTACTTGGTCGTGGTGAATAATCTTTTTGATGTGTTGTTGAATTCGGTTTGCCATTATTTTGTTGAGGATTTTTGCATCAGTGTTCATTCAGGAGATTGGCCTATAGTTCTCCTTTTTGGAGGTGTCTTTGCCTGGTTTTGGGATAAGTGTAATACTGGCTTCATAAAACGTGTTAGGCAGTTTTCCTTCCCTTTCTATTTCGTGGAACAGTTTAAGGAGGGTTGGTGTCAGTTCTTCTTTAAAGGTCTGATAGAATTCAGCAGAGAATCCATCAGGTCCTGGACTTTTCTTTTTGGAGAGACTCTTGATGGCTGCTTCAATTTCATTTTGTGTTATAGATCCATTCAGGTGATTAATATCCTCTTGGTTCAGTTTTGGATGATCATATGTATCTAGAAATCTGTCCATTTCTTTAAGATTTTCAAATTTATATAGGTTCTCGAAGCAGTCTCTGATGATTTCCTGGACTTCCATGGCGTTTGTTGTTATCTTCCCTTTTTGAATTCCTGATTCTGATTTGAGTTTTTTCTCTCCTCATTTTAGTCATGTTTTCCAGGGGTCTGTCAATCTTGTTTATTTTTTCAAAGAACCAACTTTTTGTTTCATTAATTCTTTGTATGTTTTTTTTGTTTCTATTTCGTTGATTTCAGCTCTTATTTTTATTATTTCTCTCCTATTTGTTTTTGGATTTGCTTGTTCTTGTTTTTCTAGGAGTTTGAGATGTATCATTAGGTCATTGATTTGGGATCTTTCAGTCTTTTTAATATATGCACTCATTTCAGTATAGACATTTTATATTTGCTATGAGTCTTATGATTCTTTTCTTCTATACAAATCTAAAAGAAACACTTTTTTCTTTTTTGGAGATAGGATCTCACTTTGTTGCCTATACTGCCAGGTGGCTTCAAACTCATGATTCTCGTTTCAGACTCCTAAGTAGCTAAAACTACAGGTGCATGCCCAAAATGTTTTCATTCAACTACCCACTATCCAAAATTTGCCCTTGTTGACCAAGTGTAAATTCCTGGGTTATACCCCTTTTCTCCATTCAGTCTTCCTCTACTTTTTTGGTGGGGTGTGGGGGTGGTACCACACCACCCTTTGAACTCAGGGCCTTGAGCTTGTTGGGAAGCGCTCTGCTATTTGAGCCATGCCTCCAGCCCTTTTAGCCTTAGGTTATTTTTAGATAGGGTCTCATTTTTTAAATGGGATGCCCTGGGACCTCAATTCTTCTACCTTAGCCTCCCACCTAGCTGGTATTACAGACATGAACCACTATGCCTGGCTTATGGATTGAAATGGGCTCTTGTTAACTTTTTATCTGAGCTGGCCTCAAGTTTCAATCCTCCTGATCTGGGGTCACAAGCATTTTTGAAAAAATAATATTGACTCTATCCACTCTTTCCTTCCTCTGCCTTTTTAGCCAGGCAGAGGACAATCCAAAGCTTAAATTGCTAGATGAAGCAAAACAGTCCCACAGAAGTTCTAAACAGTATGTAAAAAGCCTAAATCCTTGCAAGGAAAGTCTTCCATTGTTTGAGAGGCTGCATGGTGAAGATTTCACATAAATGGAGTGATTAAAAAAATAAGCAAGGGCTGGCAGAGTGGCTCAAGTGGAGAGCGACTGCCTAACAAGCATTAAGGCTGTGAGTTCAAACCCCAGTATAACCAAAAAAAAAAGCCAACATAAAACCTATCTTTTAAACATACAAAAACTCAGAATTTCTAAGACTGAATAAGGATCAGCTTTAGTTTATACTTAATTTTGAAATAAATTTACTTCTTGTACACTACATTAAATATAATTACACCAACTTAAAATATAAGGACGTGGGGTGTAGCTCAGTGGTGGAGTATGTGCCTAGCATGCATAGGTCCTGGGTTTGATCACCAGCACCACCAAAATAATAAATAAAAGAAATACTTTAGGACTATAGTCTATAGTACACCAAGAATTAGTAAAGAAACACAATGAGTTATCGCATACTCATTAGGATGGCTACTATTAAAAAAAGAAGAAAATAAAGTTGAGCATGGTAGTGTATACTTGTAATCTCAGCACTTGGGAGGCTGAGGCAGGAGGATCCTTAGTCAAAGCCAGCCTGGACTACAAAGCAAGACCCATTCTCAAAAACAAAATGCCAATGGAAATACAAAATGGTACAGCAGCTATAGGAACAGTTTGGTTGTTTCCAGAAAATTATAAATAGAAATAGCACATGATCCAGCAATCCCACTTCTGGGCATACAGCCAAAAGAACTAAAAGCAGGATCACGAAGAGATATTTGTATACCGATGTTCATAACAGCATTATTCAGTGACCAAAAGGTGAAAGCAACCAAAGTGTCCATGGATAGATGAAAGGAGGAAATCATGTCAATGGTACAACCTGGGCAAACCTTGAGGACATTACGCTAAATGAGATAAGCAAGCCACAAAGACAAATTCTTAAGATTCTGCTCATATGAGCATTTAGAAGGAATCTAGCAGAAATCATGGAAGTCGTACAAAAGTGGAAAGTAAAGTGGTGGTGTTGGGGAAGGAACTGAGCAGAAGTTATTTAGGTAGTTTCACCTCTACAAGATGAAAAAGTTCTAAAGATCTGTTATACAGTGAAAAAACATACACTTAACAAAATCATAAATTTAGAAATGGTTAGGATGATAAATTTTATATTTTGTGTTTTTACCGCATTTAAAAATAAAAAAATTAAATGTAAAAATTAGTAAAAAGCAAACCACTAGATGGCATAATTATATAGAAATTTAACCTCAAAGAATAATCTCTTGGTGTAGCTAACTTGTTATGAATTTATATTCTTAATTATCTAGTTCTGATTTTAAAAAAGTTCTTCCTGAAATTCCAGCACTTGAAAGACAGAGGCAGGAGGCTCAAGAGTTCAAGGTCAGCCTGAGCTATACAGCCAGCTCCAGGCCATCCTGGGCTACAGAGTGAGACCCTGTCTCAAGGAAACAAAACAACAACAAAAAGGTTTTTTTCTATTATATTTGCAATTTATACTCTGAATGAGGAATACTGTAAGATTTGAAAGGCAGAAGGGAGCTACAAAAGAAATAACTTGAAGTTTAAGAAATATTTCCATCAGTTTGAATGCTCTTCCTTCCTATTGTTTGGCTTTATTTATGTAAATCAATAAAATTCAAAAGCATGCTATTTGACATTGGAGTCTCTCTTGTCTTTACATGCTGGCTTCATTTTGAAAAATTAGAACAATTTTCTTTAGTGCTAACTTGCATAAAGATGAAAATCTTCTTTCTCTTTTTAAAATCTGGCCCATATGACAGGGGGCCATGACAGTGATATGTCAGAAGGGCTGAGGCTGGGAGAAGTGACTGACTATGCCTGGAGCCCAAAGAGGACCTGGTATGTTAAGACAAAGAAACATTTCTGAGAAGCATGGTGGAAGCACGGGGCACTAGCAAAGGTTTTCTATCAGGAGTTGTCGTGCTGGGGAAAGGAAAACACACTGAACCACATTACATGCGTCTTCACCTCACCTGCCAAGCGAGATTCCTCTCCTGAAGGGAGAACAAGGTCCCCTGGATATCACGCGCCTCTCAGGAAGCGCTCAGCCTTCTCCTCTACACATCAAAACACTGTCCTGATTTACCTTCCTGTGGTCTGTTCACCTCTACCCAGAATACAATGGTTTTAGAAAGATGCTCCACTGTTGAAGGCTCCTAGCTTCTCAGATGTCCCAGACCTCTAACAACGGGCCCTATCTGAGTCCTCCACAATTTGGCCCCCAGGTTCACCCAGGTCCATCTCTGTAACTGTAACAAATCAGCAGATCTTCTGCATTTTCACTGATTTTTCAAATTGTTCTTTCTGCATGGAATTAAACCAAATCCCAATCTACCCACTTCGCCTAGTCCAATCTTACCTATGCAGTGAAGCTTCTGACTCAGTAAATAATGAACTTCACTCTGTCAACTATGAATTTTATGTGCATCTAAATGAACACAAGCGGAGCCTTGCTTTGTGTCTTTCTTGGAGAGGTAATCCTGATCTGTTGGTCCAGAGTCCTCAGAGGCAGAATGCATGGCTCTCTGCAGTAGTAATGATAATGCTCCCACCTCTGACTGCAAAGGAGCTTCTGTGAGAGTGGTCGCAAGCTTCTGTTGGGAGCTGAGGCAGGTGGAGCAACAGAAACACCTAGAGTGCTGTGTAGGACAGGGACTGACACTGAACGCAGTCCGTGTCTCTAAGTGACAAAAATGATGGCAACAGTAACCATCAAAAGCCCTTCAATATGGAGTTACACTAATTTCCAAATGTAGACTATTTGGCAGAGGACATGATAAAGACTTTAAAAGGAAGATGGAAGAAAAGGAACTAAGATGTGAAAATAGCAGTAGACAATCACTTCCCGAAATATACTCTACTGTTTATATTTTCCCCTCCTCTGAAGCACAACTCAGCTCTCCCCTCCTTGCTAGGTAGATGCTCTACTACTTGATCCAGCCCTTTTTTGCTTTATTTTTCATAGGGTCTCATGATTTGCCTGGGGCCAGCCTCAGACCGAGATCCTCCTGACTTAGCTGGGATGTGCCCACCACACCTGGATCATTTATTGAGATAGGATCTGGTTTTTTTTTTTTTTGGTCTGGGCTGACCTTGAACCACAATCCTCCTAATCTCCACCTCCCAAGTAACTGGGATTTAGAGGTCCTAAAAGAATCTACTTATAAGGAGAACTGAGAATGAGTGACAATGTGAAGCAGTCTGTTAAAGCTATGAATGGAACTCCATTCCACAGGGATGACACCCAACCCCAGCCCAAAGTAGGAAACAGCAGCTACTGCTGGGCTCACCCATGGCCACTGGTATGTCTGTCCAGTTCAGGGCACACTTCTGTGTGCAGATGCCTTCCTCATTGAGCACCACGGTGAGATCGTCCTGACCCACCGCCACTTTTCCATCTGCCAGAGGTGCAACTAAGGGCTCCAGCTGTTTTCCTGTCGGAAAGAGCTCTTTGATGGACCCCTTTCCATCCACCTACAGGAGGACACAAAGTGACTCACCCACTATTCCCCAGATGGAGGCATGAACACAGTCTGGAAAAATTCAGAAAAAAACCCATAACCTAGAGCCAATAATATTCCTTGTTTGACAAAAGTATCAGAGTGTCCATTATGACAGGAGACTGTTGGGCAAACACAAGTGGCCCTAATTATCTGTCCCAATAATTAGATACACACTGTGAATAATTGTCATGTACAGAATTGAGAGCTGACTACTTGGCTTATGCTACACAGACATCTTATTTGTGGAAAATGCTAAACGAACAAAAAATGTGCAAATACAAGAACATTATGCTGAAAGCTTTATTTAAGGTGGTCTTCTGACCTGCAGTTCAGAAGCTCACTATCACCTGCCCAAGGTAAACTCAGTCATCTTCCCCAGGGTAAACTGAGGACACTGGAAAAATCAAAAGGTTTACCCTTATCAGGTAGTAGTCCCTCTTGAAGCCCACACAGATAGAGTTTTCACACCATGCCATGGACTTTGGCACATCAGGCACACTGAAGTCCCCCTAAAGAAAGATGGCAAGGGTTCAATTTAAAATTAAAAAAAAAAACAAAAACAAAACAGGGCCTTTCTATTATTCTACTTTGATTCTGCAAAATAACCCTAATCTTCATTTGAGCACAATTCTCCCAGAGCAAGGCCAGGAAACTACCCTTAGTAGAAATGCAGGTCATCTAGGACCTAGACAAAGTACATTGGTGAAAGACACCAATCTAGATATGGAGAATTGTGCCACAAGGGCCAAGCAAGCTGCCTGGTACTTTGCCCCACAGTACCTGGCTGGGGAGGGCTACAAGCTGGGGGTCCTGAGCTTCTCTAGAACTGGACAGAGGGTCTTTCAAGATGTGGACTGATTACAGCACCAGCTCCCATCCAACCCATAGGCCAGGCACAAGTGAACTTTACCTGCAGTTCATGAAATTCCCTGTCCTTCCAGAAATAGAGCTGCAGTTTCTTTTTCACTGCCACACACATCCGCAATACCTCCTCACCAGTCTTAGTGTGCTGGGAAGAGATACCCAGATTAAATAAGGGTGTACATACAATGGTTCCACAGTACAGTGACAACCACAGTACAGATTTTCTAAACTGAAATGGATGGTAATCTGAAAACCCATTGTATTATAAAGCCATGATGCCAGAAAAGCTGGGCAGAAGAACACCATTCTCTATGATGTACTCAGAACAATTGGCTAAGGAGCACTTCATCCCCAAGGCTAGCCAGTCCCAAACCCCAGCAGCACATGGGCATTCGCAATCCAGAGGAAAAATCCAGGGAAGGGCTTCCCCTGTGTAACTGCTTCCTCTTTTTTTTTCCCTTCAGTGCTAGGGATTGAACTCAAGCCTTGCACATACTAGGGAAGTGCTCTACCACTGAGCTGCACCCCAGCCTCCTTTTTTAAATTGAATGTTCCTTGACCATGGTTGTTATGAGCTAGGTCACAGCCAGTATGTGCCAGTGATAGCAAGCTCACTCTCAATCCTGTGAAGGAATTGGGAAAAGAAAATTCCTAAGCATAAAACAATGCAGTGTCAAAGTGAACCACAAATGCTAAAGTGTGATCAGAGCTGAGTGGAGGTGAGGGGGAGGCAGATTTTGAAATGTGTGGAAGATGAATTGGCAAAAATAAGGAGCGATGTCTTTTTTGAACGAAAACTTCCAAAAGACAAAGACCATAGTAATCTGCATGTCGATTTAACTTGTTCTATATAATAATTGTCATTATTGCAATGTTCATGACAATGTTTGGTCTTGCTTTCCCACCAACAGTTTGTCTGGGCAAGTGTTTTTACACTTGGTTAGTTGCCTCCTGTCATACATATGTCCAGCACTCTAATTTGCAAACACACAGTAAACACAAACATTTCAACTTCACACTACATATAATGGGGGAATATATAATATAATCCAAAAGAAAATATTCTCTTTGGAGTCTTCTGGGTTTGGAGCACCAGTGCCATGGAACGGCAGGAATATAAGGAGACTGCACTGGTTAAGCACAAAGCCATAGTTCATCTTGTGTCCACTTACCTGGAGGTCACATGTGAACAGTGATGCTCCCTTTGCCTTTGAAACTGTAGTGATCTGTTGAAATGTCAATAGGTCATGGACATAAATGTTGCTTTCTGTTTGGGAGGAAAAATTCCAGTATTACCATTCTCTAATATAGTCACTTTCAAGACAAAAAAGTAATTGTGTAACATCTAGAGGAACTAGATGGCAGATGTTGGTTGAAGATGTACTTCAGTTTCACTAACAATGATTCATTCTGGGATTTATCAGTACAAAACATTTCAAGAGACCACCTGATCTTCTGAACTTGGATAGTTTGTTCCTTAAAAATTTGGGCTGACTTTAATAAAAGAGCTCTTTCACTTCCAAAGTACTCCTATGTCTGCCTTCTCAAGTCTGGAATTGTATAATACAGTATTCGTACAAGAAATGACTTTCAAAGCTCCAACTAGGAAAAAGAAATACTCAGTGGATTTTGTACAAACCATGGCAAGGATTTGATGCAGAGCTAGCTAAATAATACAGTGGTCTCAGATTACTTCGTTCTAAGACCCCCAGGGGATGACTGAGTCAGAGTAACACTAAACCCTGTATATAAATTTTTCTTACTCATATGTATCTATGAAAATTTAAGTTATAAATTAGCTAGAGAGGTTAAAAGTGTAACAAACAATAAAACAAAACATTATAATAACATGCTGTGATTAAAAAATTTATGTGAATGTAGTATCTCTCTTTCTTAAAACAGCTTATTGTAAAGTACTTGCTACCCTCCTTTCAAACCTGAGGCTAACCACAGGCAACTGAAACTGGAGGCAGTGAACTGTGGCTAGGGGGACCATGGTAACTTCACCTTGGCCTCATGCCTAGTTTTATTAACGAAGACTGAATTGCTTAAATGTTCATCTGTGGACCTAGGAAAAAGTTTACAATGATTCTGCTACATCGGCCCCGGGCCAAACAGAAGAATGTGAGACAAATTTCCAGTCCGCCTCTGCTTGCCAAGAAAAGGCTTCTCTAGATGCCTTTTGTGAAACTATGGCTTTTCAAACAAGGCCCTCAACAGTCTGGCCTCATCTGCCTCTCACCTGATGGCTCACAATCCTCCACCGCACATTCTCAGTCTACTTGCCAGGCACTGCTACGTGGTGGGAACAACTTGTTCAAGTTCCCTCTGGCTATACTGCTCTGCCTACTTCTCTCTTTCTGTGGGAAGTCTCACCATCCATTAGACTTTGCAGTCTCTCCCACTGCTAAGATCCCTCAGCTCTTACCACTTTGTATCACCGTCACTTTCTGTTACTTTGATCTTCATAATCAGTATATAAGTATCAAAGATAGAAACAATGTTGCATGACTTGGCATTCCCAAGGGCTAGTTCAGGTCTTACACAATAAATGCTTGATCATGAATGAATGAAGCAAGAAGCCTTGGGGAAGAAAGTTCAAGTTTTGGGGAAGCCTTTATTACCTGCATACCTTGCTGCACTTGGTTTAGAATATTATCAGCTCATTGTTAACTACCATCAAAATAACCATGAAAGGGCGATTTGTGTTTTGACACATGAAATACAAATGCAACCCCTTTTCTTACCTAACAAGCTGACTAGAATCTTAAACTGGGAAACCACATGGATCTGGAAAATAACAAATCATTAGATTCAATTAAACATTGCTGACAAGGTTTAGCAAATGCTCATTTAGCAACAGTACTAAAAAGGAACTGAGGAGCGTATATCAGTTACAGGCATCTGACTCATGTTTATGTGCAACCACAATTTCTGCTTGTGAAAGAGGATCTCAGGCACATGATACATGGGCTATGATCCCTATGCAAATGAAAGGGTAGAAAAAGAGGGTTCAAAGAGTTAATAAGCAATGTTATCAAAGTTCTAGCACTGGCAGATGCTATGGTTTAGACATGGTGATATGGTTTAAATGTGCTCTGCAAGGTTCATGTGCTGGCAGATTGGTCTCCAGTGTGGTGATATTAAGAGGTGGGGTCTGGTGGGAGGTTACTGGGAGCATGGGATCTGAAGGGATATGATAGTTCTATGGAATTAGCTCTCAAGAGAGGGTTGTTATAAAAGAGCAAGTCCCTTTCTGAATCATTCTTTTGCTTCTTATTTGGCAATATGATTTCTCCCTCTTGCATGTGCTCCTACCATGAGGTCGTTACCAGAGCTGGACTGACACTAGCACCTTTCCTTGAGCCTCTAGAATGGTGCTAAATAAATCTCTTTTCTTTACAAAGTAGCCTGCTTCTGGTATTTTGTTATAGTATTGAAAAGCAGACTAATACAGCAAGGTTTCAGATAAGCCAAATATTCATGTAGTGACAATCATCACTGCTTACCTGCTGAATCTTTTTGGAGAAGTTCTTATTGGATTTCTCTAGTGTCACTTCAAACCTGTTGCAACCTATGGAAAAGAAATAAAAATTTGTAGTTCCAAACCTATGTATACATATTAAAAACAACAAAAATTCTGGTTCACACTGTTCTACGTTAAGTCCTTAAAAGTTCCTAAAATACCGCAAGTCAGAGATGTAAAATAGGCAGCTGTTTTACTGAGCAGAGTAAGCTGCTTTCAATCCCAATTTTAGAACAGAGGGCTTCATGCACTTCTGGCATTATAAGAAAGGTTCAAACAAAGGTGACTCAAGTAGAAAGGTACCTATTAGTCTGAAGGTCTTACCCTACAAAATATACCTTGGCAGAGTGTTTCATAAGGAAGAGTAGAAATAGTAAAGGTCAAATATATGAGCCCAAGCAATGAAACCTAGCCAAAAGCATACTTACATGTAACCCAATTCCCAGTAGCTACCCTGTGTCTATATAACAGAGAAAACACTCATCCCATCGCCAGAGCTAGAGCAATGTCATGCTTCTACACTTACTGCTGCTTTCAGGTGATGCTACAGCTGATGGCACTGTTGCAAAAAAGGGGAAAAAGGTAATATACCATAAAAAAATGTAAACTCAGTTTTGCTGGAGATGATAAAATATTCAGTCTCAGAAGTCACCAAAGAATGAAACAGACAGAAATTATCATAGAAACAGCATCTATCATGAAGCAGGAATTAGATACCAGCTTCTGGATTAAAATTTTTGCGTATGTTCTCTGCATCTCATGTCCAATGAGTAGGCATCATTATCACAAGTTCATATTTGAGGGGCTGATGGGTTATGCTGCTAGGAAGTAGCTAGTGAGAGTCAGGGTCTAGAAGCAAACTCAGCTGACTCTGATCCTGTGCTTGGATGCTGGCTTCCCCTCATCTCCGCTGGCACCTAAATTCTCCTTTACGGAGGGAATGCTCACCTTTGCTCTCCTGGACCACTCCTCCCAGCTCCCTGTGCCCATGCCCCCTGGAAGTCAGTGTGGACTCTTTGAGCAGCCACAATGACTCGTGTCACCATGCCAGTCTTCCTTCCTCTATGTGTGCCCCCACAGAACAGATAAAGATGGGGCCCTCAAGTTGCAGAGACACTCTAGAACATGTCTTGGTATTCTGTCATTACATTTCATAAGAAAAAAAAGCATTCCTGTTTGATAAAAAGTTCTACATTTGCAATTTTCTTTATAAGCAAAATTCCCTAGGGCAGACATTCTCAAACTTTTTGGTCCTAGGACCCCTTCATAATTAATCTTAAAAGTTACTGGGCACCACAAAGAACTTTTATGTGGTTATTTCTATGAATGCTTACCAAATTAGAAATTAAAATTGAGAAATACTTAAAATATATACTTATTAACTCATTACTATACTGAAAACGTATACTTTTTATTAACATATTAATAACCCCATCTCAGTAGAAATAACAGTTTAATGAAAGATAACTATTTTTCCATAACAACAAAAATCTGCATTGTTTTACACTTTTATAAACTTGTACTGCCTGGTTTAATAGAAATCAGCTGGACTCTCATATGTGTCTCTGCATTTAATCTGCTGTTTTTGTGGTGCTGGGGACCAAACTCAGGGCCTCGGATTCTAGGCAAGTGCTCTACACACTACTGGGAGTACCACATACAATCTGGTTTTTTTTTTTTTTTTTTTTTTTTTTTTTTGGTGGTACTGGGTTTGAACTCAGGGCTTCATGCTTGCTAGGTAGGCTGTACCACTTGAGCCACTCCACCAGTCCTCAATCTGTTTTTATAAATTTTTTTGGTTGAAGTGTTTGAGACAAATCTACCCTTATATAGATATATAGTTGGAAAACAAAGAGATATTTTAATAGTTTTTCAGATAATTGTGGATCATCCTCTTTGGTACTGTAGCAAAGTTTGGCAAATGGAGTTTCTTGTAATGGAGAATCAACGTCAAACCTATCAATGAACTATTTTCTACTATGTTACATTAAAACCCACTGGTGTATTGCATACTTTGAATGGATCTTTTATTTATGCCTGATTTAGAAACTGCATGCACTGGTCAGCTGGAAAACACTGTTCAATAGTCATGCAGTTTTCCAACTGCTGGCACATTTCATCATAGGACAGTAAAAACCACATTCATTACTATCACTCCAATTTCACTGGGAAAATCTTTAAGCATTAAGAAGCTGTCAAGTTCATGGAAGTAAATGCAAGTAACTCTAATTTTCTCTTGACAACTCAAACTTTATCATTTCTAACAAACACTGCCAGTTGTTTTCTTTGAAGTGACTTCATTTTTGAAAAAATGGTCTGAAAAATCAGTGTCATTCTTTCAAGTAAAAATGACACTCTATGAAAAATATTGGTCAGTTCATAATGTAACTCAACCACAAGTGCTTTCCCTGAGATAGCCATGCACACCTTGGCACCTCGCACAAGTTTCATGTGTATTTCTCATTATATCCACACAGGATTATTTAAAACATACAGTACCAAATATAACACACAATAAAATTACAACTTTTACTGTTTTAGCAAGAACATTCTTAAGTGAAACTAGCTTAAAGGAAAAATAAACAAACAAGCAAATAAACAACAACAAAAAAAAACCCTCTACCACTGTTAGTGAGTGCATGGTAGAGAAAACCATGGCAACCACCAGTACAGTTTGTCTTAATCTGGGCTCAGGGCCAGCAGTCTTAATTACCATTACTCTTGTATCATCACTGAAAATGTTGACACAATAAAAATAAAACAAACATTTTAGTTATTGTGAACTTAGTTTTAAGTTTGCAGGGTTTCTAAGGACCTTGGAGATACTCAGTGTCTAGAGATCTCTTATAACTATTGCTCTCCAGTGACAACACAACTGAAATAAACCTATAGTTGTTAATGTCTTTGATGCGAATTACTCTTACCCCTCTTACCTTACCACTACTTACTAAGGAAATACAAGTTAGATTAAAAACTATGAAAGCTGTGGTTTTGTAGGTCTAATATGGTTGAATCATGACAAGTTGGTTTGACCTACTTTGGCATTAACAGAAGATATCTATAGACTAAGGCTCTAAGGCATAATATCCAAACATCAATTCTCCATAAAGGCAACATAAGGTAATAGGTGCTTTTTTTCCCCAATAAAGGATACCCCTTAGCAGGATTTCAAGTACTTTACTTATTATTTTACATAATTATTGACAGAGTTACATTTGATTAGATATTATTATATCTGGTCCCAACAACCTTGTGAAACATACTACAGAAGAGAAAACAGACACTAGAAGGATCTGCTCACAGTTACAAGGCCAGGGAGAACCAAAACTGGACACAGACCAGATCACTTCCCTCATGAGTTAATAAGATCCTCTATATCAATGGTTCCTAGTTTTTTCTCTTCCACTGCACATCATTTATACAGGAATCTTATTTCCATCAGTAATATTTCTCACTACTGGAGTGAGTCTCCAATAAGTGAGAAGGGAGAAATATTCAGCCCTACCTCCCAGCTGGGAGTAGGGAACATTTTGTGGAAAAAAACAAATCCCTAAAGATTCTTACATGTTCCTCCCCATTTTCCCACCATACTCTCTCCAATTCCCAATCACTCTTTTAATGGTCCAGGTATACCAGCTGGCTATCAAACTTGTATTTTGCATGCACAGCAGTCCGCATCAGTTCTGGAAAGCTTACCAACATCTTTCCGAATCCTATAGAGAAGAAGATGTCCTTGTTTGGTTCCAACAAGAAGCCATTCCTCTGGAAAAGAAAAAAGCCAAGAGAAATGTCAATTAGTTTTATATGGGCTTGTAATAATCAATGATCAAGAGAATGGGTTGCTTTCAGCAACAACTGTCTTGCAAAGCTAAAGAGTGTTTATTATGTCCAAGGCTGGGGGTGTGGCTCAGTGGTAGAGAATTTGCCTAGCATGCACAAGGTCCTGGGCTTGATCCCAGCAGGGGGGAGGGGGAAGGAGAAAAAAAAAGGAGACGTATCTGAGAATGAACTGAAACTATTTATTGAATAATTACTAGGTTAGAGATATTAAAGAGTCCCTGCTTCACTGTTTCAAAATTAAACTGACCAAAAAGATAAAAGGACCTTTTACTGGTATTTTCTGCCCTCACTTCTCCTTTTACACAAAAAACCCCAACATCTGGGTTACCATCCCTGTCAGTGGCCACCTCAAAAATGATCACCAAATTCTGCCTGAAGCAGAGGGAGACAGTGCCTGCATAAGGGCAAGAACATCCCAGCATAGGCACGAGTACCTGGAACTTGCTGAAATATCCTGTCTTTCTTCACCTTGCTCTTTGGTTCTGGGACTGTTGCACTTTGGGCTTTGGGAGGTATATGGTTGATCCATATCAACTTTGGAGTGCTCTTCTACAGCCTCCCATTGCTCAGGCTCGGCAATGTACTTGTCGTAGTGGGCTCCATTATCTTGGTGGTCACCATTCTGGACTGCATGGGCTCTATCAAGGAGAGTAAGTGCCTGCTGATGTCATTCTTTGTTCTGCTGCCTATCACCCTCCTTGCCGAAGTGACTTTGGCTATCCTGCTTAGTACACCAACAAAAGTTGACAGATATGCAGCTGAGGGTCTGCCCATAGCATCAAATGTTACCACTCAGACAACAGTGCCAAGGCAGTGTGAAACTCCATTTAGTCATCTTTGCACTGTGGTGTAAATAGCACAGGTGACTGGACCAGCGGCCAACCAGCATCTTTCCCCTCATATCCACAAGTTAAGTGTTGCTATACAAAAGCCCAACTGTGGTTTCACTCTGGTTTCTTGTGTATTGGAATCATTACCTTCTGTTTATGACCCAGGTGCTGGGACTATCCTATGCACTCACTCTGAAACTGCCAGACTGATAAAACCAATCAGGCCCTAGGGCTTAACTGCTCTGTGCTGGAGCCTTGTTTCATCTCTGGAAACACAAACCACTGACAGCAAGAAGCCCCAAATGATGACCTCCTGGATTGGCATCTTTGTTGTCCTCTCAATTCTTCCCTGTTTGGGTCCCTGTCTTATACAATCAGAGGAGAGCCTGGTACTTCCCATCTCAGAAAGCACAACCATTCATCCACTAATGGTGGGAGCCATGTCTCGCAATACGGTATAATATTCCTGGTGATTGTTTTAGACATGAGAGGCCAAGAGAAGCTGTGGTACTAGTGGCTTCAGATCAAAGAGTAGGTCCAGGATTTGAACGTTTGATCTTCCCACTGCCTGAATCATGCCCAGTCTGCTCTACGAAGTCATCCAAGAGACAAGCTAAAGGGAGTTCTAGAGCCAGACTCACTAGATCATTGTCATAACCCTTTTGAGTAGAGTAGTCCTTCTTCAAAGGCAAGGTTTCATATCAATTTCCTTATTAAAATGCCTTATTGATTTATTCTTCCCAGAAAAGACTATCCAGTGATTCACAACCTGACTTCAGTCAGTCTCTTAGCCTTTGAGTTACATAGCCATAGAGGAGCCCAGAAGCACTGGTATCTCTGGTGGGTTAGCTGATAATCACATTCAGAGGGGCTTTGGTATTATTTCTATATCATGTAAGGTTTTGTTAAAGTACTATTTAAACTCTTCAATAAATAAAATAGTTTATAAAAAGGGTTTTGGGGCTGGAAGTGTGGTTCAAGTGGTAGAAAGCCTGCCTAGCCAATTGTAAGGTCCTGAGTTCAAACCCCAGTACTGTCAAAAAAAAATAAACGGGGGGTGGAGGTGCTTTTTACTTTTATTAAGATAAAATAATAAGATTTTAATTTTTATTGCTTGTATTTATTAAGATATTTTATTTTATTAAGATATATTTTTGAAGCTGGGTATGGTGGTGCATGCCTATAATTGCAGCTATGTGAGAAGCTGAGGCAGGAGGATCATGAGTTCAAGTCTAGCCTGGGCAACACAGCAAGACCTCATCTCAAATGAACAAACAAAAAGATATATACTTTTTAGTTCAGCTAAACTAATAATAAGCTGGAAGTTTATAAAATCACAAAAAGGATAATATAAACATGAAACTAGGAATCCAATGTTAGAAATTAGCTAAAAGCCTTAATGATTTTACTTTAGGAATAAATACAGAATTCACTCAAAAGATGGTCTAGCAGATAACAATAAGTGTTAACAAGAATGTGAAGAAATTAGAACCCTCACACATTGCTGGCAGGAATGTTCAGATGCACATTCCTGGTGCATCTGATTTGGAAAATAGTCTGGCAGTCCTCAAAGGGTTAAACATAGGACTGAGACATGGGTTAAGTGGTAGAACATCTGTCTAGCAAGTGGAAGACCCTGAGTACTGCCAAAAAAATTTTAAAAGGTTAAACATAGAGTATCCCTGTGACCCAAAATTTTCATTCCAGGGAATATTTCCCAAAGAACTGAAAACATAGGTACACACAAAAATTTGTACACAAATGTTCAGAACAGCATTATTTATAATAACTAAAAGGTGGAAAAAAAAATCAAAATGTTGGCCAACTGATGAACCAATAAGCAAAACATGGTACATCCATACTAGCCAGGCATTAGAAGTAGCACTGATGCTTGCTACAACATGGATAAACCTGAAAACATCATGCTAAGTGGAAGAAGCCACACACAAAGGCCACATGAGTCCATGTATATGAAAGTTCAAAAGAGGCAAATCCACAAAGTCAGAACGATCACAGTGGTTGCCATTCACTGGGGTATTTGATAGGAAGTGAGGAGTGAATACTAACGGGTACTGGCTTTCTTTTGGGAGTGATGAAAATGTTCTAACATTAATTACGATGATAGTTATACAACTCTGTGAATGTACTAAAAAACATTGAATTGTATACTTTAAAGTATACAACTGTATGTGATATAAATGACATCTCAATAAAGCTCTTATTTAAAAACAATGACCGAGGTCAGTGACTCTTAATCTTTAGTGCATAGGAGAATTATCTGAGAGCCAGGCACTGGTGGCTCATGCTTGTAATTCTAGCTACTCAGGAGACAGGGTGGAATGGCTCAAAGTGTAGTCCCTGAGTTCAAACCCCAACACCGAAAAAAAAAAAAAAAAAAAAAGAATGATTTGAGGTTATGTTAAAATACAGATTTCTAGGCTCCGCCCCCAAAGCATTTGATTCAACAGATCTAGAAACAGGTCCAGCGATTTTCCTTTCTAAAAGTTCCCCAGTGATGCTTATACTGTTGGTTCAAGGGCACCTGGGAGCATTTCAAAAGGATTTAAATAATTACTCCATCAGATTCATATTACCTCATGTGGGGAGCTTAAGAATATAAACATACATCTCTCAGCTTTTGATATTGCAACAGAAAGGTCACTCATTTCTTTCATAAACTTGTTCTTATTATTTTGCTTGTTTTGTTCCTAACCTCTCTCTCCTGATCCTCTGCAAAATGAAATACAGTCATGTGTAAGCTTAACAACAGGGACATGGTCTAAGAAATGTGTCCTCAGGCAATTTCATGGCTGTACAAACATCATAGCATGTACTTATACAAACCTAAATGGATAATCTACTATATACCTAAGCTATATGGTATATACTATTATATATATGGCCAGTTGTTTACCAAAAGATTGTAATTTGGCACATGATTGTATTGGATAATAGTACAAAGAATCTTTACTGAGCATGTGTGGTATACCAGAAAATGTTAAGCACATATCATATGTTATTTCGCTAACATTCAACTATCCTTTAAAGAAGGTTCTTTCTTTTAAATCCTCATTTTATAGATGAGGAAGTGGAGGGCAAGGACATACACGATTTGTCCACACATAGGCAGCAGATGGCAGAGCTGGGATTCCAGCTCAACCTATCTGATTTCTAACCACGTTGTGATACACATACTAAGGCATCCCACATCAAAGGATGGGTGTTGGCCTGAGGTTGTCTGAAAGGCAGTAGTTACATTTACAAAAACAGGTCAGGCTCCACATTACAAATATTTCTCCAGGTTCATATCCCTAGTCGTCCAGAAAAAGAGAGTGATTCTATTTTCTATTATTTTATATTTTAAAGGAAAGGGGGGATGCAGAAAGAAAGACACTGGTGCTCTTAAGGACATATGTTAAAATCAGAAATCACACAAGCTCTAATGGAACGCTGTTGACTTTGCTGGAGCAGAACACAGGAAGAAATACTTCAGCTCACAATGTTCTGTAAAAAACATTGTATCTATTTTTTGTAAAACACTATATCTACTTATAGATATCATGACATCAAGCAATCCAGCAAAAAGTAAAGTTGATTTTTAGGATACCCTTTAATAGTTTAGATAAAAATTATATTGACTGGAAAAAAACCAAAACTCACTCATCACAGAAAAACCTATAACTCAATCAAAAGGCAAATATAACACCCACCATACTCCCCATCCTTACCTCTACAGTCTTGCCCTCCAACCCCTGTCAGTTCCTGTTTCCTTATCTCTCTTAACAGCCTCAGTTTCCTCCTAAGTTTGCCAAGGTCTACTAACTTGAGTTCCAAAAGGTACCCTGACACAGTCCATTCCTCCAAAGGGTCCCTGTGACAGCCTCAACTAGTCTCTTTCTGCACAGTCTTCCACATTTGTTGACAGTTATCATATAGAAGCTCCACAATGTGGTCACATTGTGGCTAAACTCCCCATGAAAATGCACTAACAAAATTCAATTCAAACTCCTAAGCATGACAGCATGACATTCAAGAGTCTACTTCTGGACTGGGGGGTGTGGTTCAAGTGGTAGAGCACTTCCCTATCATGAGTGAGGCCCTGGATTCAATCCCCACTACTGAAAAAAAAATTCTGCTCCCCATTTTTTTTTTAAGTTTTTTTTCTGCTTCCCATTTTACGGAAACACTTATTGCCAATACATATTTCTTATCAAACTCAGTTCCCTATTCAATTGGTCATAAAAGAGAATCAGACAGATTAAATTCACTGAAAAAATTTTTAAATGCAATTTTATTTGACCCCTATAAGCTTTATTTGAAGATACTGAGGGGAAATGCATACATCATATATGCAAAGTACTTGTAACAACCTCCCTTTAAAAACTAAAGGTATCACACACATATTCATTGTTAATCTTCAAACTCATAAGAACAAACAACATGTTATTCAGATGTGCTAATGGCAAGAACACTGAAGGGGTTTGGTTTGGTTATGGAAGTCAGTCAGGGCTTGGGTGACCAGAGACCTGACCCATGTGGAGTCCTTCACTCTGTAGAACATGTCATCACTTCTATGCAAGCACAATATAGCGAACAACAAGCCTACAGAACAAGCACAGTATGGGATGGACAGTCTTCTGAAACTCAGTATTACGTATCAGAAAGTAGAACGCATTACACAAACAGGTAACACATATACAAACGAACCAGTCAGTCCTTAGAAAACTCATGATGGCCTATGATTCCCAGTGAGTAAGACTAGGACCTCTTGCTCACAATGACACTGATGAAACTTCTGTTTAACAATACAATGCAGTCCAACTCCATGTAATAAACAATTCCACTCCTGGCCCAATGCCAGGAACACAGATATGAATAAGGTAGTGGTCACCTCCCTTCTTTGGGTCATATGGCAAAGAACAAGGTTTCTCAAAGGATAAGCCCCTGAATAGCTATATCAGAATCATCTGAACTCATTAAAATTGTAAACTCCTGAGTCCTGTACCTCGAGATTCTGAAATATGCATTTTAACTTAGAAAACGTTTATGTAGCTTCAAGTTGAATCTATGAGAGGTCTAGCGTCCATCCTTGTCCATTCCGTCCTCTCCTGTCCTTTTTGCTATAGGTATGGTCTAATAATTTTTGGTTTATCCTTCCATTGTTTCTTTTGGAAATATGCATGTATACTCACAAATACACAAACACACACTCACACACAATCTATATGTTTTTGTTTTGCTTTTTATTTTTGAAACAGGGTCTCACTATGTTGTTCAGGCTGTTCTTGAACTCCTAGGCTCAAGTGATTCTCTCATCTCAGTCTTCTGACTAGCTGGGATGCAGAAGTGTGCCACTGCATCTAGTTTGAAATATGCATTTTTTTTTTTTTTACAGTCTCTAAACATAAAGTTTGGGAACCAGACTGTAGAATCAGACATAATTTGCTGGAGATGTGACATTAGAAAAATTCCTTAAATTCTCTAAACCTCAGATTCTTCCTCTATAAAATGGAGTTAATTATTCATAAAAGCCTAACACAAATTAATGCTCAATAAATGAAAGTTATTGCTATTAATATCATTGCTATTCATTAATTAAAAAAATACTGACCAGATACCCATTGTGTAAGGAAACTGTCCTAAGCACTGGGTATATAGCAACATACAAAAACCAAGTTCCTGCGGGGGATGTGGCTCAAGTGGTAGAGCACATGCCTAGCAATCACAAGGCCCTGAGTTCAAACCTTAATACCACCAAAAACAAACAAAACCAACAACAACAAGTTCCTGCTCTGATTATGTAATTGTGGAGAGAAAGAAAATAACTAAATACATAAAATAGCACTGGGTGGTGATCCATGATAAGAAGAAAGGTAAAGTTGAGTAAGAGAACAGCACATTGGTGGAAATGACCTTCTCTTTTATACAGGATACTTAAGAAAGGTCTTCCTGACTTAAGAGATGTGAAAGAACTGAAGAATGGGGAAGAGAAGAACCGAGGAACGGGGCAAGAGCGCCAGGCTGAGGCACCAGCTAGTGCAAAAGCCCCGAAGTAGATATGTTTTGTGTGTTCATGGAACAACAAGGAAGACTGCATGTCTGGTACTTGAAAGAAAGAGTGAGTGTGTAGAAGATAAAGCCAGGGAAACAACTGGGGTCCAATCTTGCAGCCACAGTAAGAACTCTAGAACTTATTCTAGTTGTGAAATGACGCCACGGCAGGGTAGCGAGAAGAAGAGAAATATAGTCAGAATTAGGTGCTCAAAGATTCACTCCATCTCTGTTTAGATAAAAAACTGAAAATGACACAAACACAAGGTGATCGATCAGAACACAACAAACTAATTTAGATGAGAGATGATGGTGCCCTAATCAAGAAGGGTGACAGTTTCAAGCCCTTGCACAACCTGACCCATGGAGGTTCCTGGATGAACTTTCCATCTGAGGATCCAACGTAATAACTAGATAAAAAAGGTATGACTAGAAGTAGCAATAATTACTGTTGATGAAGTAAAAATAAAGTTGCTTTGTTACAAGAGGAAGTAAATAGACTCTTATAGCACAGTAGTAAGGTAGGAGACAAAGGGCATTTCTCCTGTTTGGTGAGTGATTAAGTTACCTATCATTTCTAAACTGTGTTCCTAGAAAGCACAGGTAAAAGGGGTCTTTACTGTGACAAAGTGGAGTTAATGAGAGAGTTTCCATAGAGAATCAGATGATTCTTGTCAATGATGCTGGCAGGCTAAAATGCAGTGTGACAGGCAGTATCACACTGCCTTAGGCTGAGTTGGGTACCCCTCCTACATGTTACAGTAATAGGCAGCAATATGCCCCTGTATCATTATCTGTTTACATGTCTTTGTTACTCACTGTTCTAAACACAGGCTCTGTTTTTTATTCATCCTTGTATTTCTGGCCCTGGCAGAGAGAATGGCCCACATAGATACCTAATACATATTGGAAAAGCAACAAAGGAATGAACCCTTCTATGCATTGCCTCAGGTCTTTCATTTTGTTAATTTCTGTTTTCCCTCTCTATTAATTTTTAATTTTTACTGAGAGCATTTTCCTCCAGGAAATGGTTTTTCTTGAGCTGTCTGGAGGAAATAAGATCTCTCCTCAATCCAGTGGACTGGGGCAGCTTAAAGTAAAGGTGTAATTTTAGAGGCTTGGGAATGCTAAAGAAGGAGGGCACACATTAACATGAAGATTTGGAGTGAAGGAACCCAGCTGAAGGGCCATGAGGAACTCTGCAAGTATGGCTGGGTGACACTATCAATTTATGGTGCATAGTATGCCAGCCACCACCAGTCTGTTCTGGGCAACTTCCTCAGTATAAAATTTGATTAAGGGTTCTACAAGACTTTTTTTTTTTAGGTCCTTAATTTCTAAGACTTGTACAAAATAGGAAAGATTGAAATCTACTCTGCCTTTAGGAACTATTATCAGAAACAACAACACATAAACAAACACACAATGTTTGCAGTTGAGAGCCAAGGTTTATCTCCTAAACTCCAGAACACACAAGAGATGCCCTATCCTGCTTTCTGCGCTAGTCAATTCCAAGAGGATTGTACAAGGTTATGTAGGTTAAGTTCATGACAGTCTGGTACAATGCTCTTCCACCTACAGAGCTGGGTAACAAGAGCATTTTTTGATATAAAGCAGCCACCACTTGGCCAGATTAAGAAAGTCTATCTACGGCAAGAAAAAGTGAACGATGAGTGATTGCTAGGGGAAAAAAGCATATGGTGTGAGCTTGTTCCATGCCCAATAGAAAACAACACAAACATTTGGCCGTCTAACAACTTCCCACTGCTTTGTCCTCTACATTGAATACTTTTTGGGAATCCAAATGCGCCAAGGCTGAGCACAATTAATAAGGAAAACTCAACCTCCACCTGCAGAGCACGCGAGAGGGTGGAACGTCCCTAAAAAGGCCGGGTCCGTAGGATTCGCCCAAGCAGCTCCCATGAACATCGCTGATCACCAAGGGTGATCGCCTCTCTGCCCTCCCTCACCCCTGAGGCCCCCACACAGCCCACTTCCCGAGGCCCAGCGGCCCCTCGGCTCACCCCAGGCAGCCAGACAGTCGATCTGCAGAGGCAGCTTTTCTAGGATCGGCACCGGCTCGAAAGCGTCGTGCATGGCGGCTAGGAGAGAGTCGCTGCCGCAGTCTCGCCCCAAGTGTGCCGAGCAGGGCTTGTGGCCGGAATCAGGCCGCGGAGAAGGGTAGACCGGGATCAGGCCCGGGACCCCCCACTACAGACCCTTCAGCATCACAGCCATCGTCAACACCGGATTTCCTCCTGGCTGAGCCCGCCCCTTCCGTCAGCGAGGTCCCGCCCCTTCCGCCCAGTCACACCTGCAGCCTGGGTTCCCATCTTTAACCTACCCACAAAGCAACTTGGTCTTAAGTCTGAGTTCCCGCGTGCTTGAAAGGTGGGGAATAAGTATCTTAATCTTAGTACCGTCGTACACAAGGAGCGTGATGGTTAATAACTCGCGCTTTGGTGCCAGACTTGGGATGAAGATCTGCCATTTGGGAAATTGTGTTTTTTTAAGGATATTTAATCCTTCCAGGTCATAACTTTCCTAATCTGTGAAACGGTTTTTATCTAAGTACCTATAATTTACTGTCGTGAACTCCTAGCAACGTCTGATGTATTCCAGTCAATAAATAACATCTTCAGTATTACCGTTACACATCAACGAAGGGATTACCACTTACATCTTTAAAGTTGTGCAGACCAGTGGTTAGAAATCCAGTCTCAGGCCTCACTCCAGTTTTACTGAATCAAACTCTAGAGGGAACAACAATTTGTTTTAATAAACTCGCAAGGCTGAGTCCAAGTACTTAAAAACTTGAAAACCATCATGCTAGGATAGGGTTTCTCAGCGACAGCACTATTGACACTGAGGGCAGGATAACTCTTTAGGGAGGGGCATTCTGGGCATTGTAGGATGTTTGGCAGATAGATATCAGTGCACCCTCCCTCTCAAGAGATCAAGATATAGCCAAAAATATCTCACAATACCAAATGCCCTCTGGTTGGCAAAATTACTTCTGGTGAACTACTGTCAGGCCAATGGTTCCTAAATGTATATACAAACCACCTGAAGATATTTACAAAAATCGATTTTGATTCAATGGGACCAGAATGAGGCCCTAAATTAAGTATTTCTGACAAGCTCCCTGGTGTTGCTTGATGTTACTGATCCCTGGACCACATCTAAGTAGTAAGGGTGTAGGTAAGAAGAGTTGATTGACTAACTTCGGGGAATTAGTAACTCTTTTAAAATTATCATATTACTACCAACTCAACTCTCCCAATCTCCCCTAATATTCTAATATTAATATTAGTTAATATTCTCCTAATATCCCAATCTCTCCTAATATTCCTTGTAGGAAAGCAAGTGACATGGCTCTTTCCTCCTATGAGTCCTTACTGTCTGAGGTTATCTTCGTATTCCCCCTAGAGACTTAGAATACAACAAAACTGAATCTGAGTTGCAAGAGTAATCTGTAGCTAGTAAAACATCCAGGATGTCATAAACTTAAGTGGCTGTGTTTAAAGCAAAACTCTAAAAGGATGAATCTATGATATGACATCAAAACAACTGGTCTGGGTTACTTGGTTTTCACACACAGTATCAGTTTCTTCATTTGTAAATGAGAAATATTTGTCTCAGCTTTACCAAATGCTGTTCTGATAATCAAATGAAAGAATATTTTCAAGTGGTTAGAGACACAAAAATTGCTAAACTCATCTTGTGTTATGGCTGATTTTCACTGTGGAAGCTGATCTCTGATCACCTTCTTGAAAATTTAGAATTAGCAAGCTGCCATGATGGGAAAAAGGTCTGTCTTTTCGTTTCAGCCTCAAAGCCAAAAACCAATATAACCAATACACACTAAAGAAACAAGTCAATGTGAAATGATGAATTCCTTCTTAACCTGTCCTAAGAAATGACACACTATATCCTGTCCCAGTAACACAGAAAGGCTGTAGGCTATAAAGTTTGTACTATGTATCTCTGCTTAAAACAACAGTTTCTTTTCACCCCACCCCACCCCCAGCAGTTTCAAGTAAACATCAAAACTAGCCTAAAAAAATACTTACAACCTATTACATTGTAATTATTAATTCCATCTTCTGAGTTTTAGTATGCAACACCAGTGCATAATATTACTAGTCTTTTGCTAATGTACTAGCATGAGATAGTTAGTTACTTTTTCATGTTCTTCATGTTGTTCTTCCTTAGGGATATTGCCTGAGTGGCTTTTTTTTTTTTTAAAGTCACCAAAGCAAATGCTACCCAAATGTTAACATTTTCACTATAGTATGAGTTAGTGAAGAGTGTGGTCATTGTGTTTCAACATAAAATATGACAATCTACAATAAATGTCATGGAAAGAAAATTTCCACAAGAAAGAGTCTGGGAAAAGGAAGGGTACTTAGAGAAAGTTTGAAATAAATGAGAAAAATATATTAATTTTGTTAAAATTTTTTATATTAAAAAGTGGCATGAACTCTTATGTAGAACAAAAATCTTGGGAAGGCAAAATTGGATAAAACCATTAAAACAGAAATATAGTGCTTCAAGTGAATACCATCACCTTGTGATGTCCCTTAATAAACAGTTTCTAAACCAACACCAGATACTAAACAGTTGATCCTAAAAACTGAGCAGCAGTCCAGGGCCTCCACACTACTTCATGCAAAAGTAACTTTGAAAAGGCCAGAAGGACCTATGTCCTTTCTATAAGCTCCTCATTCTGAAGCATTATAGTCCTCTAGGAGGGTGCTCAATCACAACACTTAGATGGAGTGCCTCTTGATATCTACTCCAACTCCCAAAATATGGCATGAAGGCAAATCAAACATTGCCTAGGACTCCACAGCGCCGCCCCTGGGGGCTTACAAAACAGTAGTAAAGTTTTGGAGTGTGCACCACATTGCCAGCAATGGGATGTGTCACAATAGCAGATGTGAAAATGGCTGAGCTAATATTTTTCTTTAAAGTACATATGAAATAGAAAAATCTTTAATATACACCATTTGTAAACAAAATTGCACTTGATTTTGCTTTTTAAAAAAATGATCTGAATCACATGTTCCTTTCCTTTCTTTCCCTATTGATCACTAATATATTAGAACCGTGGCTCCTTAACTCAGAAAGGACCATTTTACTCAAAATCATCTCTGCAAGATGTGACCTTGACTTCCCAGGAAACTGAAAGATAATTAATAATTTCCGCCATCACCTATGCAACTCCCTAAATAAATAAAAATTACAGGCAGTTGCTCCTGGAGATTATACATTACGGTGTTGATGACATAGTCCTTTAAAGACATTACACTTTTTTAGTTTGACAGATTAAACAACTGAAACAGAGAGTTCAGGAACAACACAAAAGTTGCATACACATCCATGTCAGGGTTGGAGAGGGAAAGGGTATCAATGTTGTAAATAAGAAGCGAGTAGATTTTTCTCATCCTATGAAGTGTTTTCAATAAGATGTTCTCCTTGTCTGACACCTCTCGCCAGCTCCCATGCACAAAGATCAAGGAACAGATCAGGATGCCATTGTCTCCTTTAATCCCATGGAGCAGTGTAGAAGACTGACACAGAAGCTGATTTCTTCCCCGATGTTAGCCATCTTCAACTGCAAAACTTCCCATCATTCACTCCATTTTGGACCTTTCAAAGTGTGTGATCATCCGTTCCTAGGGGGCAAAAAAAGGGTTTATTCTCCGTATAATAAATGTAAAATAGTATACATTCCAAATATCTTCTATATGAACTACCCAAACAGATATTTCCCACAAGTATTTGTTTATGTTAATTAAATGTTTAGAGCAATAGTTTCAGTTTATGAAGATTTTGAAACATACAAATGTACCATGACTCAAAATGTCCAGCTTTCTGGACAATAAACCATGACTCAGAAGAAAATGTGTATTTTAAACCCAATTAAGATGACTGAACAAGTATCATAAGCCTTAACAGCATTTGTACCTCTTCTAATTCAGGATCTTAACCTGAATATTCAATGAAGGATATGGACAATGATTTAGTCAGAACCCTTAGTGTTACAACAAAATACTATAAAGAACCAAGAGCCCAAAAATAGAGGGTATGTAAACTATGATATGTCTTTACAATGAAATATTAAATACCCATTACAATTACATTTGATTAAAAAGTTGTAGAAATGTGTTGTACAATGTGTATCCAGTTAATGTCCTGCACTTGAGACTACTCAGAAGGGTAGATTTAATACGTTTTTTATGCTTTTAAAAAAATAATTATAAAACAGTATTTACCTTATCCCATTTCAATTAAGAAATTAATGTGATACCATCAAATTTCATTTCTTTTGCAATTTTTTAATTATAAAACAGTATTTACCTTATCCCATTTCAATTAAGAAATTAATGTGATACCATCAAATTTCATTTCTTTTGCAATTTTTTAACATTGCAAAAGAAACTGCATATTTTTCTCATTTTTCCTTTGCTTCATTTGCTAAGTGCCTATCATGAAGATCTCCCAAATGACAGAATTGTAAATACTTTCTGAATATGATTAGTCATACACCAGATAATCTCTTTCTTCTTTTGCACCCTTTCTTTCTTTCCTAAGGTCTTGTGTGGGTCATTGCATGTTGGTCTCAAACTCATTACCCTGCCTTCTGTCTCCTAAGTACTGGGATTACAGATGTGTACCACCACAGCCAGTTCCTTTTCACTTTTTTCTTACATATATTCTTCCCCAAATTCGCTGTTTCCTGGTTTCATTCTAGCTGCTTTCCAATTCTGTTGCCCAGATGTTAACCTCAGAGTTTCTTATATCATCATACTGGGAATTAGCCTTGCCTCTCTATGCTGGATCATTTTCTGGATGTCAATTTTTTCCTCTTTCTTAGTTTCCTTATGTTTGTGGAGAACATTTTCTAGGACTCTCCTGAGAAGTACATACAGCATGTCAATTCTTGCATGACTAAACCATCATTACTTTGTCCTAATATTGATGGTCTGGTTGGATACAGAATTCTAGGTTCAAAATAATCATTCTCAGAATTCAAAACCAGAGTTCTAGTCTTCTAAAGTTGCTGTTGAAGAGTCTGGTACCACTTGATTCCTGGTCTTCTATGTAATTTGTTTCTCCTGTGATTCATTTAAGTCCCGTTTCAGTTTGAAAAAGAAAAAAACAAAGGTCTCGGAGAAAGTGATGCCAACATGATGAACAGAAAATCTTGGGTCTCTTCACTCCATGAGCACATTATTTAAACTATATACAGAACAATTCCCTTGGTGAGAAATTCAGTTGAGGGGCTCCTGTACTACAGAGAAACACTAAACTAGCTATGTCAAAGCCAACAGGAAAATCTGAGGTTAACTTTTTTTTTTTTTGGATGGTATTGCGTAAAGAGCCTCATGCTTGATAGGCAGGGGCTGTAGCATCATAAGCCTCTTTGCTAGCACCCTTGAGGTACCCTTTTGCTATAATCTACAACCCAAACCTAGCACGGTGCTATATGATCTGGAGGCAACTTTTAGCTACCTGGGGAGGGAAGAGCTGGAACAGACATCTAACATCCTGACTTTTCTAGAACCTGCATGAGGGACTGGGTTCTGTCTGGCTATAATAATCTGAGCACTAGAAGCAAAGTGCCCCAGATTGAAAGTCACTGGCAATAAAAATGGGGGTTTGAACTACCAAGCACACACTTGCCAGAGCCTTGTCTGACCTGCTCAGCTCACTGCAGAGTAAGCAAGGGGAATACCCTAAATCTCAGCTTTCCCAGGGGAGGAAAGAAACTGTGAATCCAGCATTCCAAAATTTCGAGGTTGCTTGAAGGATGGCTTCTGTCTCAGAACACAGTAGAACACCCCTACTTTAGGCGACTGGGGCCAGTGTGAGCAAAAAGAACTAGAAGCATTCTGCTGCTCTGAAAGAGTACAGCAGACAGAAGCCAGGGGAAGCAAACAATTATTAATTCCTGTGGGGAGGGGAGAAGCAAATCCCTGGGACTGGGAATTTACAAGTATATTTACAATCACCAGAGAAGACTAGAGAGGGCTCCAGACTCTCTGGCTAACTGATTAGTGAGGGTCATTTGTACAAGGCAAGTCTGTAAACAATGAAAGTGGTGGTTGTTTTTTTTAGACATAGATACCAACACAAAGAATGAAGGAAAATGGAGAAACAGGGAAGCAGGGCTCAAACAAAGGAACAAGATGAAACAGAGGTATATGATTTTCCCAAGAGCAAATCTGAAATAACCAGCTCAAGAAGACAAGCTAGTTCAAAAAGCTCAGAAGAGCAAAGTAAAAATTTCAACGAAGACAGAAAATGTTTTTTAAAAATATACCAACAAAGTGGATGACCTATAAAAATGTTTTAAATTCCTGAAGCCATACAAGCCATCATGAATAATAAAGAAATAGAAAATCTGAGTAGACTTATAACAAGATTAAGTAGGTAATTAAAAAAACTACCCAACACAAAAGCCCAGAAGCAGATGGCTTCATTAGTGAGCTCTATTGGACATTTAAAGAAAAATTAACACTAATTCCTTTAAAATTTTTCCAAGTAATTTAAGATAAAGAAATTCATTTTGAATGAACTTCCAAATGCAATCTATAAAGCCAGCATTACAATGATGCCAAACAAAGACACTACAAGAAAAGAAAACTATAGGCCAATAAACCTGATGAACACAGAAACAAATATATTCAACAAAACATCAATCATCAAACTGCATTGGACCCCACATTAAAAGGACTACAACTGAAGGACAGATTCCCTGAAATGCAGGGAAGATTCAGCAAAAAAAAAAAAAAATCAATGTGATACAACACATTAACACAATGAAGTATAAAAAAACACATTATCATTATCAATTGATACAGAAAGAACATCTGACAAATTTTACCACCCTTTTATGATAAAAAAAATCTCTGGACCAATTAGGAATACAAGGAAATCACCTCAACATAATAATGAATCGCCTATAATTAGCATTAAAATCAACAATGAAAGCTAAAAGCTTTTCCTCTATGACCATGAAGGATACTAGGATACCAAATCCTGCCACTTCTATTCAACATGGTTCTAGAAATCCTAGCCAGAACAATTAGTCAGGAGAAAGAAATAAAAGATCTCCAAAACCAAAAGGAAAAAAGCAATCTGTGTTTGTAAATAACACGGTCTTATATGTGTTATACACATACACGCACACACACACATCATTAGAATTTATCAATGAATTCACTAAAGTTTCAGGATACAAAAATCAACATAGGAAAACCAATTACATTTCTATACACTTATGATGAACTATATAAAAAAGGATACTAAGAAAACAAATCCATTTACAAATATACCAAAAAGAAAAAAATACTTAAGAGTAACTGAACCAAGAAGGTACAATACTTATACACTGAAAACTACAAACATCAATGAGAGAAAGTAAAGGAGACACAAAAAAATAGGAAGCTAAACCAATCTCATAGATTGTTATTGAAATATCCAAAACAATATACAGATTCAATGCAATCCCTATTAAAATACCAATGGCATTTTTTTACAGAAATAGAAAATTATAAACTTCATAAGGAACGACAAAGGACCCCAACAGTCAAAATAACCTTGAGAAAGAATAAACAAAGCTGGATGCATCACACTACCTGACTTCCATATATAGACACAGTAATTAGAACAGTATGATACTGGTATAAAGATGATCAATATAGACCAATGGGACAATAGAGAGCCCAAAAAGAAACATACACATATATGGTCAACCAACTTTTGAAAAGGCTGCCAAGTCTACACAATGGGAAAAGGGTAGGTTCTACAACAAATGATTCTGGAAAAGCTGGATACTCACATGTAAAATAATGAACTTGGACTGTAATTGTACAGCATACATAAAATGGGTTAAAGACTTAAAAAATAGTATCTGAAACTACAAAACTCCTAGGAGAAAACATAAGGTTTTAGACATTGGACATTTTCTGGATAATGACACCAAAAGCATAGGCAACAGGAACAAAAATAACCAAGAGAACTTCATTAGACTGAAAAGGCTCTGTACTGCAAAGGTAAAAAGAAAATTAACGGAAACCCATAGAATGTAAGAAATTATCTGCAAACCATGTATCTCATGAGGATTAATATCCTATATACACACAGAGGTCCTAAAACTCAACAGCATAAAAATCGACTAATTCAATTGAAAAATGGGCAAATGGCCAATAGAAAAGAATGCTTATCATCACAAATCATCAGGAAAATGCAAATCTAAACCACAATACCTGTTAGGATGGACACTATAAAACAATAACAAGAGTTGGCAAAGTTGTACAGAAAATATGTCCTTGTGCCCCTTTTGGTGGGAATATAAAATAGTATAGTCATTAAAGAAAACAATAGGTTCCTCAAAAAATTAAAAATAGGTTATGTGATCCAGCAATCCCACATCTGGCATATATTCAAAAGAACTAAAAGCAGGATCTTGAAGAAATTTTTAAACTCCTAGATTCATTGCAGCATCATTCACAGCAGCCAGGATATGGAATTAATCCAAGTGTCAAACCAAGAGATAAATACTAAAAATGTGATATACAGACCCCTCCCTCCAACACATATGAATACTGCTTGGTTTTTTAAAAAGAAAGAAATTCATCTTGCCACATTTGATGACATGGATGAACTTTCAGGACATTATATTAAATGAAGTAAGTCACAGAGGACAAAATACTGCATGGTTGAACTTTAATGGGGTATCTAAAATAAACTCATACAAGAAGAAAGTAGAACAACGGATGCCATGGATGAGGGGAGGCAGAAAGGAGGAGTTGCTATTCAAAGTTTCAGTTCAACAAGACATGAAGTTCTACAGATATACCGTATAATGTTCAGGTTATATTTAACAACTCTGTAATGCAGACTAAAATAAAACTGCAAGGAGGACAGATCTCATTGTTATATTTTTCTGCTAAAAAAAAGAAAAGACCTTGATATTTATTATGTACAGTTACAAAGTCTTGCATAGTTTTTTCACAAAGGAAAATATAAACAAATGCTACTCTCGTGAGTGGAACAGTCAGGTTTCATGTAGTCAGCCCTCTCCAGGTAGAATACAGCATGGCTAGGGAGCTGAACCCGAAGGATAGCCCTGATGACAAATAATTAGCAGAGACAACTGCAAAAGGGAGATCTGGGAGCTGTAGAATACACCACAAAGCAGTGGTGTGTGGACAGGTTCAAATCTGAGTGGAAGAGTTCTCAATTGTTTCAATGCACAGAACAACTGAGGAATTGGACACTGTTCAGCGTCACACAGCATGCCAGTGAGAAATGAACAAATCATTTTTAGCAGTCAGTTCAACAAGGGTGAGTCAGAATTAGGCAAGAGGCTTCCAAAAGACTTTCTGAAATCAAAAACCTCTAGAAAAACCTAACATTCAGAACATGTCTAGAACTAGCTCCCATAAGCCCAGGTCACAATTCTCATATAAGACTCCATGTGAAGCCTTCTCAGTGAACTGTATGGAACCATAGTAAAAAATTAAAAGCCAACATAAATATTAGAGGTACTAATTATATCCTCATTATCTAGAAAGGGCACTTATACAGGAACATTAGATATAACCTTAAATAATTTAGATTTTGTTTTGGCCTATTATATTCCGTTTACTTTTGCCAAGATTAAATGAGCTTAAAATTTGAGTTTTTTTTTTTTTTTTGCTAAAATTAAGAAATAAGTGTTTATCAAACGTTATGATAAAAATCATAAACCAAAAGGCAAAGTTAAACAAAAAATAACAGATTACCCTAAGAATAATGAGTATTGAATTCATAAGACAAAATTTAGACAAAATTACCATCCAATGAAAAAATAAGCAAAAGATGGTAAGTCACTCACTGCCCCTCCCCCAAAACTTGAATTTCTTAAAGACAAAGAAACTACACAGTGGAGAGTACAGTATTTGTTACCTGATTTGAAGAAAAACATTCTTAACTCTGACCATATTAACTCTGGGAAAGGGAGAAATGTATTGACAGAATAAAGAAAGGAAATAATGTTAAGTATTCAAGCCCTAGTATTAGTGTTTCCATTCTTATCCTTTTCAACCATAAACTATAATTCTTCAGTCTATTACTGCTATTATAACTCATCAGATCCACAGGGGTTACAAACATAATTTGATTACTAACCTCATCTGAATCCAGAAGGGCTGGAAGTGCTCTGCAGAGAGAGAGAGAAGTATTAAATTGAATAATGTAAAACAAAGTCATAAATGGTTCATAAAAGGCAGTGGAATAATGTATACAATTAAAAGCTTTTTGTAATTTATCCAAGATCTACATCCTATTGACATTCCTTTCAGGGGGAAAAGACCAGTTACTAGAATTGTATAGAAAAAATACAACATGTTCAGCAATGTCACAGGATCATTGCTTCATTAACATTATGGCTCTGGAAAGGAGTTCAAAACTTTCAAAAGGACTATCTCATGAATTTTAGGAAGAGCCAGAGCTCAATCTTTCTAAGGAGAAATGTCACCTGAATGAATAATCCCAACTATTTTTGTTTGTATATTATTACTGATTTTTTAATCATTCTTTGCCATCTTATACTCTCATTAATATGCATTGCAGCTCATTCATTTAAAATAACAAAGTAGTACCAATTTTGAAATAGGATTCTTGCAGTAATGATTCAAATACTTACACATCTGTCACAGAAGAAGGAACATTCTCTTCTACCCACTTCAAATCATCTTCCTGATGGAAACATAAATACTGGCTGTTATTAAAATGCACCACATAATACATCTTAAGTAAACACCTAAGGGTCTTAAGACTTTTAGTCTTTTTGGCTTAATCTTTTATAACTCTCAAGTAGTACATTCACGTAACAAATGGGACTGCTGACAGAAAAGCCAAATAATTTTTTAAAAATTTTAAATATCTTAGACTAACATCTCCCCAAAACACCCATCCCTTAACCCCTTTATTTCTAATTTAACCACCTAATTCCATATTTCTAATATATTCTAATATATAATATATTTCTAAACAAACAATCTACTTCTATATCTAAACAACACCACTCTTTCTGTGAGTTCAGCAGTTTTGGACTCCTCATATAGGAGAGGTCATGTAGTGCTTTCTTTGCCTGGCTTATCCCAGGCTCATTAATACTGTTGAGAATGCCAAGATCTTCTGTTCTAAGACTGAATGATACTCAGTTGTGCGTGTGTGTATACAGACTTTTGTATACAACATTTTTCTGCATATGTAATTCAGTTTTCACAACACCATTTATTGAAGAGACTGTCCTTTCCCTATTTTGTATCCTTTGTTGAAAATCAAGTAAGCATAAATGAATGAATTTATTTCTGGGCTCTTTATTCTGTTCCACTGGTTTGTGTTTGTTATCCAAGTACTATGCTGTCTTTATTATTATAGCATTTTTTTGGGAGGGAATCACACTTTGAACTCAGGTCTTCACACTTGCAAAACAGGCATTCTACTGCTTGAACCATACCTCTAGTCCATTTTATTTTGGAGATGGGATCTCTCAAACTAACTGCCTGGGCTGGCCTCAAACTGCAATCCTCCCGATCTGTTTCCCAAGTAGCCAGGATTACAGAAACAAGCCACCAGGGCCTGGCTTGATTACTACAGCTTTATAGGAGGTTTTTTAATTGTTGTTGTTGTTTTAAGTGCTGCTAGGGATCTTACCTAGGGCCTCACTCTAGGTGAGCTATATTCCCACCACTACATTTTGAAGTCCGTGCAGTATGATACCTTTACCTTTGTTCTTTATGCTCAAGAATACTTTGGCTATTTGGGGTCTTTTGTGGTTGCTTACAAATTTTAGTAGAGCTTTTTCTATTTCTGTGGAAAATGTCATTGGAATTTTGATAGGGATCGCACTAATCGCTTTTAGTAGTATGGACATTTTAATATTATTAAGTCTTCTGATTCATGAACATAGTGTATCTTTCCATTTATTTGCATCTTCAACTTTTTTCTTCAGTGTTTTATAGTTTTCTAAATACAAGTATTTCACTTCCTTAGAAAGCTTACTCCTATATAGTTAATTTATTTTGTTGTTGTTGTTGTGCTATGGCTTACTGAAACAGGGTCTTACTATATAGCCCAGGTTGGCCTCAAAAATCATGGTTCTCCTGCCCTGGTCTCCCAAGTGCTGAGATGAGAGTCATGCCATGATGACTAGTTCTAAGTAGTTAATTTTTGAAACTGTTATGGGATTACTTTCTTAATTTCTCCTTTGGATTATTCATTGCTTGTGTACTGAAATGCAATTGATTTTTGTATGCTGATATTGTATCCTGAAATTTTATTGAATTAATTTGTTAGTTCTAACAGTTTTGGGTAAGAACAATTTAACTTCTTCCTTTCCAATTTAGATGCCCTTTTTTTCTATCCCTTGCCTAACTGCTTGAGTTAGGGTCAAGTAACTTTTAAAATCATATAGAAGAAATATAAAATAATGTCCTATACCTTAACTACTCTCTTGCTGGCCTAGCACCTAGAGTTTCCTTCACACAGGCTTTTTGAGGCTGAGATAAATTCTCAAGTCCTTTAATGAAGAGTGAATGCTTTTTCTAATAAAAAAAAAAATCTCTTGACTGAAGTCACTGAGGGCTTTTTCTTTCTTTTCTTTTTTTTTTTTTTTTTTTTTTTTGTGGCACTGTGATTTGAGCTCAGTGCCTCATGCTTGCTAGGCAGGCACTCTTAACACTTGAGCCTCTCCACCAGCAGCACTGAAGTATTTACTACAAAAAAGATAAATTACAACAGTAGCAAATCATCTAGTTAAAGATGACTCAAACTTAGACTCACTTGCTAACTGTTTTGTTTTGATTTTGAAACAGAACTCTGCTATATATAGCCCAGGCTGGCCTCATATTGTTGATCCTTCTGCCTTAGCCTCCCAAGTGCTGGGGTTACAGTCATGTGCCCCATATCAGCCTTTGCTGTTTGTAAAAATGCAAATGTAATATACATTAAAAGATTTTTATACAGCAAGCTTAATTACAGCACGGGTATAAAAATAATATATACATTACTTGAGTTTCACCAAGGACAGAAGATCAGGCAAAGATTGAAGAGGAAAGGAAAAAAAAGCCACACTTACTGCTTTGTTGACTTTACTATTTCCATTTGGCTCTTGTTTGGTACTTCTCATTTTCATTCCCTCTGCAGAAGAGTAAAACATAGATTGGTTAACTTTGTCAACAGACAGCAATGACAGCAAAAACAGATGCAGAGCTTTATTTTAAGCTGATTGACTGTGAATTAGCCAACAGATGTTTCTTCATCTTTACATTTACGCTGGGAAATTTAAATCTACATTTCCATCTCCCTTATACCAAGAAAACTGAACTTAAATGTAGAATTACCTACTCAATTAGTCATGGCTTCATCTTAAAACATATACCCTTATTTTCTCTTCATCCTGACTTTACCATGCACCAAGATAAGGAACAATACTGCAATAAACAATGACTTAAGTGAAAAAAATATGTAAAGTGAATTTTATCTCTACCAAAACTTTCTTTCAGCATAGGTTCCTTTTGTTCATCTTCCTCTTCTTCCTCTGACAATGGTGAAAAAGCAAACCTGACAGAACAAAGACAGAAAAGAAGGAAAAATTAGAAAACTACAAAAACAGCTCTACTATCTATATCTTATAGGACTTATTATTGCAGTAACTCACAAAATGTGTTTAGGGAATAATTCTGTCCCTTCAGAAAGCTCTCAAATGCCTCTATAAGCAAGAGAGAAGCAGCACAGCATCATGAATGCAAGTTCAGCCACATACCAACTATGACCTTAGCCAAGTTACTTAAGCTCTCCACACTTCTAGTTTCTCATCTGTATAGGGGACAATAGAACATTACTCAAAACCCTTATAGCAAGGTTTTGTCAAAAGTAAAGTCAAGCTAGATATGCTGGCACACGTCTATAATCCCAGCACTGGGGAGGCTGAAGCAGGAGGATTGCCAAGTGCATGGCCAGTCTGGGGAAAATAGAAAGACATTTTCTTTCTTAAAAAATTTAAATTGAAAAAAAACCCAAAAAACTCCAGAAAAGTGAAGTCATTACAAAATACTTAGAATAGGGCCAAGCACAATAGCTCATGCCTGTGCTACTCAGGAGGATTGCTGTTCAAGGACAATTAGGGCAAAAAGTTAGTGAGATTCCACCTCAATTAATAAGCTGGGTATGACAGAGGAGCACGCCTGTGATCCCAGTTACAGGGGAGACATAGATAGAGGATGAAGGTCTGAGGCTAGCCCCTGGCCAAAAAAAAGTGAGACCCTACTTAAAAAAGTAAAAAAGGGCTGGGGGTATGGCTTAAGTGGAAAAACAGCTGCCTAGGAAGCATGAGGCCTTGAGTTCAAACCCCAGTACTACAAAAAAAACTATTTAATGAGAATATCTAGAAATTATCAGAACAAGATAACCTAAGAGGGTGGGTGGTTATGATAAGTATACAAAAAAGAACCACATTCCTACATATCTGGAAAAGCCATATGTAGTATTTTTAAAGATTAAATTCATTAGAGCTACAAAAAATTAAAACATAATTGAAGTGTTGAAAATACTAAAAGAATGGAAGAGATAACATATCCAAAGACAGAATTATCAAAAGTTATACAATTTCCCTAATTAATTCATTAATTCAATTAAATTCTAACCAAATCTTAATAAGGTTTTCCTAGAATTAAAAAAAATGCCTAAATCTTTATTTATTAAAGAACAAAGATGTAATAGCGAGCACTATTTTTAAAAAAAGAAGATTAAGGGCAGAGACTTAGGAACTCTAGATTTATCAGGAAGCAAAATAATTAATCTAGTGTTTTACTGATGCAGGATCAAAACAACAAAAGGAAACAGAGAGCCCAAAACTAACAAAGCTTGGTGGATGAAAGCCTTGACTGGTGAATTATTTTTTTAAATAACAGAATAGCTTTCTGACCTCACCTCAGGCTACAAAAGGTTTATGTTGTTATTGTTGTTTTTGGTGATGGTACGTACCAAGGTTTGAACTCAGGGCCTTGTGCTTGCTAGACATGTGCTCTACCACTTGAGTCATACTTCCAATCCTACAATCTTTTGGCAGGATGGGGGTTTTAATTGAGGGCCTTGCGCTTGCTAGGCAGGCACTCTTACCACTTGAGCCACTCCACCAGTCCTTTTTGTGTGATGAATTTTGTGAACTATTTGCCCTGGGCTGGCTTCGAGCTGCAATCCTCCTGAATAGTTACGATTATAGGAGTGAGCCACTGGCACCCAGCCAATGGATTTCTTAAAATAAGACATAGAATGTACCATCCATGGAGGGAAAGAAAATGACAAATGTGACTCTATGTTTCTGAGTTTTGGTTTGGCCAAGATAGCATTGAAAAATTAAAAGATAATGAACTACATAATCACTAGATGTATCTTCAATTGTAACAACAGAATATTGGCACACACAAAACATATTAGAAATTCCTATAAATCCATACATAAATGGTTGTTATGGTCTGAAATGTTTGTCGTGTCTAAAATTCATGTGGAAATTTAATCATCAATACAACAGCATGGGAGGGAAATGGGGACGAATGGGAGGTGTTTAGGTCATGAGGCCCCACCCTCATAAATGGAGAAATGCTGTTATAAAGAGCTTTGGGGAGGGGGCTCTCCCTCCTCCCCTGTCTTCACCATGTGCTGACACAGCAAGAACACTCTCACCAGATGCTGGCATCTAGATCTTGGACTGAGTCAATAAATTGCTGCTTATTATAAATTGCCCAGTCTGTGGCACTTTATTTTAGTAGCACAAAATGGATTAAGACAATGGTGAATAAACGAGTAAAAAAATTAGCCAAAGATTAAAAAAAAAACTGTTATCTACATGAAGTAGTTGTGGCTCGTTTACCATGAGGATGGATACTGTGTCTGAATGGGGAATACTTCCCTGAACTAGAATTAAAAGTCAAAAGACATAAATCTGCCCCCTGTCCATACTGACTCAACATGCTAACTGTGAACCAGAGTGCCTGAGCCCACACAGGTCATCAGTTTCTAACAGCATAGAATAGAAGCTGGGGTGCTGATGCACATGCTCTTTATATAAAAAGCCTGTGAGCACCAGCAACAAGTTTCATGATTTTGAACCAGTTATGACTACTCCTAAGCCCTCCCCGCAACCCCACAAAGACCAACTAAAATAAGACATTTTTTGATATAGTTAGCAATGACAGAGAAACTACTCTAAATGTTCCCACTGTTCTCTCCATCGGAGGGAAGTAGGCCCTGCTATATAACAATGGCAACCTGAAAAAGCCTAAGGACTTAGACAGGATCACTGGCTTTGTTCCCAACTAATCTGGAACCCAGAAATAACCAAATTGTAATAATGCTCCATATAACATCTGGTATATGAGCAAGAGTCAATTCTGATAGAAAGGCATAGCAGATACCTCTGTAGAACGCATTGACTTGGTTGGTAATGAAACTGAACTGTATCATGACTATACTTTAGCATGACATACTACTGTTAAGATTTAATTACCTCAAAAAAAAAAGATTTAATTACCTCACATAAATAAGTCTTAATGATAATATGGATATTGGCAATCAAATGTATTGTAAGACTGAGCTAAAGAATCTTCAGGCTCTAGCAATGATAGCAAAGGGCTGTCAAAGAAGAAATGGATTTACTGTCAACTAGTTTATATGCTACATAGTTCTGCACAAGTTTATACTAAGTACAAAGATTGGTACATCAAGTGGATAAGTGAGTAATTAAATCAGTATAAAAATATAAAAATGTATATAATGGCTTTAGGAGACAGATTAGATATTTGAGTCTATCCTCCAAATGTCAGGCTTATTCACAGCTATTTCTGTGTCACATAAATGCTGTAGCATTAAATGTAGATGCTCAGACTTATAACTCTTTTGCCATAAAAAAGTCTGAGTCAAAGGCCAAGTGGTGGCCTGTATAATAATAATTAAAAAAATCAACCTCACTCAAAAAGAAGTCCTGGCCTTTGCCCTTGAACACTGAGAGGTGACCTCTATACCCCATGAATGTCTTACCTGATATAAATGACTTTTTTTTTCTGGGGGATTGGCTACCAATGTCTATGGTTTATGTTAGGAGCTCTGGGCCATGCCCTATCAGCTCCTAACCACCCAGGAAATGGGAACTAAAGGTATTCATCTGACCACCAGGCAAAGCTGGAATCTAAAGGTTAGCCATGCAGGCAATATGTAAATGTGCCCCAACAAAAACTCTGCACACTTAAGGCTCAGATGAGTTTCTCTGCTTGGTAATACTCTGGATAGTTACACGTATGGCTGGGGGGAAGTAGCACTCTCCACAACTCCACAAAAAGGACAATTGGAAGCTCTACATTTGGACCCTCCAGACTCTGCCCTATTAATCTCTTCTCTTGGCTGCCTATAACTTATACCCATGCTCTGAAATCACAGCCATGAACATAACAGCTTTCAGTGAGCCTTGTGACTGTTTCTAGTGAATTATTAAACCTGACAGTGGGAACCCATAAATTTGTGATTAGTGTCTGAGTGAGGGCAGTTTGGTTGGTCAAAAATAGTTTTTTGCCTGTGTGGACTTCATATTTAAGGATTTATTTGGGGTGTGGAGAAGGTAAGGCAGAAACTAACCAATAAATAAAATTAAAAACATAGGATTTAGAAGTTGGTACCTGCCAAGTGGAAATAAGGCAAGGAGATACTGGAGTATGTAAGAATAGACATACAGGGTATTTACATTCTTGTATTTTATCCTATTTTTAATTTCCAATGGACATAAAAGAGTTAACACAAGATTGGCTAGTGTCTAGAACCATGGCACCTGACCACTAAGGGTGGACCACTGACCGGGACTCTTTGTAGAAAGCAATTCATAATAAACATTTGCTTTCTGTCTGGGAATATAGAATTTTGCTGTAGCCCAGGTCAAGAGTGCTTACATGACCAGCCCCATTAAAAACCTTGAGTGCTGAGTATCTAATAGGCCTCCCTCAGCAGAAGCAATGCACATTACTGCATGTTTGTTACAAGAGAAAGGGGCACACATGATGTACTCCCTCAAGTTCTTGCCTCAGGAGACAACATAAGAAAAGAAAATACGGATTTTTCTAGACTCTACCTATGACTTTTTCCCTTGCTAATATTTTGTTGTAATAAACCTTAGTTGTAAAGACAAGTATATGCTGAGTCCACCTAGTGAATCACTAAGCATATGGGTCATCCTAAGGACCCAAAACACCTCAAACTACAAATAGCCAAACCCCATTAATAGGGGAATGAGTTAATGTAAGTGTCTCACATCTATACATGTAATATTATGCCATTCATGAAAACAGATGAGATCCATTTAAATCAATTATCTTGGAAGTTATCTTTACAGTGTACTGTTAAGTGAGTAAAGGAAGATTCTACATTTCAAAGGGAAATAAAACATGGAAGAATACACCACATTAGCCTGTTAACATTGAAGTCATAGGGAATGGAAGTATGTTTCAAAAAGAAAAAAGGAGAAGGTAATACAAAAAAAAATTGTCAAAGACTAGGGAAAGAGAAATATTTTATATATAAAGATAGCTAGCAAGTAACCAATAGCTCAACAGACAAATGTAAAAGAAGGGTGCTACAAAATGTTTATAGGTTCTTTCTGAACAGTGTGGCTTCAAATCTCCTTTGTTTTATTTCACAGTTTTTCTCTATTGCTTGACTTTTTTTTTTCAATGAACACATATTAAGTGCACAGTCTGATAAGACAATAAAACTATTTTCACCTGTTTTCTTTCTCAATCTTTGGTATGTCTGATTATAAAATTAACAGTTCAGTTATACCAGCTTAACTTTTTCCTTTTTCTGGTGGTGTAGTGGTTTAATATAGGCTCTTAACTATCTAAAGGCAAAAGAGAGGGATAAAAGAAGGGCTACAAAGGCATGGATATTCACAAAAGATAGATAGGTGGTTTCTAAATAATTGAGATTTGCCTACAATTGAACAAGTCAAATTCACGTATGGATTTTTAATTTCAAAGTCAGCAACATAAGTTTTCACTTTATCATACTGTTACATAGTGAGTTTGGCTGACCCTACAGAAATTTTTCCTTCCTTCCTGACACTAGACAGAAGACTCTCATTACTAGCAACACAATATACATACCTCTTTTATTTACCTATACAATCTTTTATATTATCAAAGATGTCAGAGTTGAAAGGGACATATCACTTGATTTTATTCCCCTTCACCATATGAAAAGGAAACTAAAGCCCAAATAGTTAAAAAGAAACAGCATGTCAATAATCACAAAGCTGTTAATAGAAGAGCTGAAATAGGAACCCAATTCAATTGAGTGTTCCTTCCACTGTATGACACATCCCTAGCCTAGCACTATCCCCCACCGTACCACCAATTGATGACTTAGCCATTTAATAGTTAGCAGAGTAAGTAAAAGAATTCAAGAACCTCTGGTTATTTGCTGATGGTCGCCAGAGTACCATGATGACAAAGAGGATCATGGAAAACAGCAACCTCCAGATGGCATCGTCCACCCACAGTTCCCGCCAGTCCTACAATAAAGAGGAAAATACATTTTACATGTTATCTGAATACTGTCCACAAATCCCTAGGCATAGAACAAGAGTCACTTATGCACTCAAGTTATATTATCTAGAAATCCTGCTGAGTGCCAGGCACTGTGCTAAGAGCCAGAGATACAAAATGAATGAATGTGGTTTCTTCCCTTGCTTATTGTTAAAGGAAAGGCACCATCTGAACAGAGCACTTGTCAAAGCTTCCTAACAGCACAGAAATTAGGAAAGGATTTTACAAAAAGTAAGAGAAAGTAACACTGGGTTGTTACATTTTATAATTTCCATTTTCATTTATTTATTTCTACCAAAATAGGGCCTCAGGTGCCCAAAGTGGCCTTAGCTGGCCACCGTCTTTGTGCTCAGATCTTAAGGACATGGCTTCTACTCAGATTAGTATTATTCACACAAACTTAATGCTGAGTACTATGGACTTCTTGAGTTTTTAGCTAAGACAAACTGAGTTATGATACAGATGTGGTTATCATTCACAAAATTCCCTCCCATTACCAGGATATATATCATCAGCTAAAACAAATAGGCGCTGGGGGTATAGCTCTTGCCTACTATGGGTTCAATCCCCAAAACCACAAAACAACAAATAAATAATAAATAAAAACCAACCATGCACCACAAAAGCACAGAACACTTAGGAGAAGTATATCTAGTCTCAAAGTGGAGATTTAGCCCTAATTTCTCATACCTTTCAAGAACCTTACCACTATAATCAACATCATCTTGGTGTACAAAATAGCACACTATTCACAACAAATGCACGTATAACTTACCGATTGGCAAGTCACTATCCTGAACTTCATGGTTGTCCAGATGATAAACACAATAGATGCTAACATAAAAAGAAAACCACAGTCAGACCATGAATTGGTTTACATCCCAATTACATTCCCTGACCTTGGTTAAGTGGAATTCCATACACTCACAATCCCTAATACATCACAGTCATTTTCTGTTAGCTTTTTAATATAAATTTGCTGAACACCTACTACAAACAAGGTCCATGACACTTTTTTTTTTTTTTTTTTTTGAAGTACTGGAGTTTGAACTCCGGGCTTCGAACTTGCTAGGCAGGCACTCTATTGCTCGAGCCACACCTCCACCCCCTTTGCTTGGTTAATTTTTGATATAGGGTCTCACTTTTTGCCAAAGCCAGCCTAGACATGACCGACCCTCCCATTTTCTGCTTCCCACAATAACTGAGATGACAAGCGCATGTCATCATGCCCAGCTTTTTCCTTTGAAGTAGGGTCTCACAAAATTTTTTTGTCCAAGCTGGACTGAAACTGTGATCCTCCAAATCTGGCATAGCTTGAGATGGCCCAGGCTGGCTTTGAACCGTGATCCTCCCAATCTCAGCCTCCTACGTAGCTAGGATTGCAGGCGTGAGCCACCAGCGCCTGGCCATGACGTATATTCTTGCCAATCCTTTCTGTACTTAAGAATACTACTTCAATAACTCTCAGAATTAGGACTGAAGCTACTGGAAATGTTTTTTTCCCAACATTAATGTAATTTTTTCCTTCTTTCATCTTTAGCATATGGTGCTAATTTTTCATTACCTGTTCAGATGAAAAATATGACTGTAATACAAACAACTGGTTTTAAAAGGTCAGACTTGGCTAAGATGCAGGGACATTAGCCCAGTTTGGCTATAGTTTGTATGTTATATATGCTTAATGACATAAGAAACAGCATTATACAGCAGTGTACCCTAATCTAAAATAAGTAGGGACTGGAGATGTAGCTCAGTAGAGCACTTGTGTTGCATGTGTGACTCTGGGTTCAACCCCAGTACCACGAATTAAAAAAATCAAAATCAAATAAATATGTAGTATTGTCTTCTAAAAGGAATATAAGTACTATCTGGCATCCAAGCTAACATACTTCAAGAAAAAGAATGCCTCAGAAGAAGGATGGAGACAGAAGAGGGATACACTAAAAATACAAGGTTGATTTTTAGCTATATGCTTTAAAAAAAAGTGGTTCTTATTAAAAAAAAAACAACAAAAACGAAATAACCCATAAATTCTTTTGAGAATGTGATTAGAGCTAAGAACCCATTCACCACATAAAATACACAAACATTCTATGCCTCTCCATGGTCTCTCAGGTTAAGACTATTCTAAAACATTCACAGGATCACACTTAAACCACCCAAAGTCCAGACTTACCTGCCACTGCCAAGATAAGCGTATTGGTGAAATGCCGGTACAAAGAAAGCTTCACAATGTTCCTCCGAAGCTTTAGTAACTTCATTGTTTGAGTTAGACTAATAAATATGTGTTTGCAGGTCAAGGAATTAACCATTCAGAAAGCTAAGCAAATTAATCCTCAAGTTTCTTTGAGGGTCTGGGGTTATACCCATAAGATCATGGATCTTAAGAGATCTTATAGCTCTTTTATTTTCACTTTAAGCTCACAAATACTCCAATCATCACTATGATTAATAACAAAAATTATCATGTTCAGTAAGACACTGAAAGATAGACTGATAAAGTAAGAGTGCACAACATAAGAGGAAAAATGTGAAAAAGAGAATAAAGATAGGAACAGGCTTTCTAGAAAAATAAAAAAAGATAAAAAAGAATAGGCAAATGGAAGTGGTAAGATAAAAATGAGTAACAGGCAAGGCATAGAAGTTCACATCATCTCCTTTCTTAAGGGTGAATGACTCTGTTCTCACCCTGCCCAGCTAAGCCAATATAGGATCTAATTGGGCCAAAACCCATTCAGAATTCTACACTCAGCTCTCTCGTGCCATCTATGCAACTACATCAGCTGCCTGTACTACCGTGAATTAAGAGGACCAGACAACTGTCTGAGAACCCCAGGAAGTTAGACTACAAAAGCAATGACTATCTTCAAAACATTCCTGAGTAGAAGTTCCTACAGGACAAACGCAAGAGAAACTGGTCACTACTACAGGTGATAGCTGTTCTCATGGCCAACTTTCAGAATGAGGCACAAATACAAAAATAAGGGACTTGGAACTTGCTCAGCCCTTTATCAGAGACTTCACTATTACCTAATCCCACCTCCCTCTCCAGTCCTCCCAACACTCACAGAAGATCACACAACATACTAGATCAGTAGATCTTGACAAGTCTTGGTCATTTGAACCCAGGATACTTTAATTTCAATCTTTATTGCTATATGGCAATCCATTCACATTCACAAAATTATGTTTTTTTACATCTTACTTTGTCAAGACAATAATATTACACAATTGCACAGAGAAGCAAAAAACATAAAAACCAAATTCAAAATAAAAACAAAAAGATAAAGTCCACAAACTTGAATCCTTCACCCAAGAGGCCAAATTCCTAATAAACAAATGTTTAATTTTAAGGATCAGGAGGAAAAAAATATTCAAATTGTTTTCAGCTGGTTGACGCTGCCTGTGAATGAATCAATATTTATTCTGAAAAGTGGAAGTCTTCAGACAATCCCATCAATTTTTGAATGAGAAAAAAATAAACAAACAAAACAACCATTCACCTCTTAAGAGATGAAACCTCATGTAGTTAATAAAACTACATTTTAAGGATCAAGCTCTTTTCATAAGTTTCAAAGCACTTAAAGGCTAAAAGTAAGAGCAGGACCAGCAGCCAGTGATTATAAGAACCAAACTGAGGTACCCAAAGAACAATTCCAAAATCATTTTAAAAAGAGAAAAGCCAGATGCTTTTATCTTCTGCTCAGTTACCAAATTCTATGATTTTAAGAATTAAAAAAAAAAAAAGAAAGAAAAACCACAAACAAAAAACTGCTTACCTGAACCCCCAGGCTGTAAATACTTAAATATACCATTTACAAATCAATGAGAAATCAATAAAACAGGAAAAAAACTCTTTGCAGAAAGATTAATGGAAACCCATCTCCAAAGGGAGAAAATGGACCACCATCAAACAAGCCAATGAGAAGGATATCCACCAGCACAGGGCAGTGTCTAGGAAAGCCAAGGGGATAAAGGCCAAGGAAGCAAGATCAGTCTGGGCCTGCAGACAAAGAAAAAAGGGTGGTGAAAAACAGATAGCTAGAGAGGCACAGAAAAGAAACAAGCAACAATACTGCATTCACATAATCATCTCGAATGATTCTGCATTAAAACCCAAAGAAAATAAAAAGGACTAACACTTATCTAATCATTCCCTCCTCTGGTAAAGCATGTGTAGAACATATCTGCAAGTGTTTGACACAAATTGTTGATTATACTCTCAATACAATGAAACTACCACTAACCACCCAAGGTATCTACCACAAAGTTCCTAGCATACTAAGACCCATATAAGAGATGACAACAACCAAAAAGTCTTAAGTGCTTATAACCCCCCCCCATCCCATCCTGATTTCCTATTACTGTGATTTAGGCTACCTAAATCTCAAAAGACATTGCTCATATTTTAAAACTATTACTGCATCATTAATATATTAAGATTTTTTGCTAACTAGAATTGTAACATAATGAAATTTCATAAAAAATAGCTCTAAAATAAAATATAAGGAATTATCTGTCCCTAAACTATCCTACAAGTTTCTATAAGCTCATATATAAAACGCTTTTTAATCGCCAGGACATTATTGAAAGGATATCCATAAAATAATACAGGCATCAATTGCTGAGAGGACCAGGCTTACTATCAGAGCCAAGGAATAAGAAAAATACTACAGCAGCAGCAGAAGGAAGAAAGAAAACAAAATGACAGAGGGTTAAAGTTGCTAAAGTCTAAGGAAATTACATACAGAGGACAGTGTGATTTGAAAAACAAATCTGCAATTTGTGTTTTATTTAAGGGAAGACATTATTTAAGAGGAAAATATAGTGTTCTATGAGCCTAATTTTATTGAGTGCAAAGCCAAGTTTATAGGATTTAACACACTGATCTAAAAGGTTATTGTAGAATCTCATTTTTAAGTAAGTTAAAAAAAGTTGGCATGATTCAGAGAGGCCTCCTTCTTCATATTAATCCAACTCTAACATTAAGTTCTTTATCATTTAGATCTCAGTGCTTTGGTTTCCTTCTTTTGCAAAGAGAACACTTTCACAATACTCAAAGATAGTATGAACCATAATTAAGGAAGTCTTTAAAACTTAAGTGCTAAGTAAACAAAGAGCACTTTTTACATTAACCAATGCTTGCCACTTAAATGGGAGGAGGAACTAAATAATTATCAATCTGGAGACAGGTGGAAAGCATTCAGTATGGGTCACATATCAAATTTATAAAGCGCTAATAGGTAAGACTAAAAAGAAAAAAATGAATTATACAGGTTGAGCATCACTAATTCAAAACCCCAAATCTGTGACACTCAAAAAGTTTCAGATTTTGGAGCATTTCAGATTTCGGATCTTTAGATCTGGGATGCTTGACAACAAAGTCTATGTGGACATTTTGACAACAAAGTCTATGTGGACATTCCAAACTCTGAAAAGTTCTTAAGTCTGAAACAGATTTCAGCAAGGGATATTCAACCTGTACATACATTTTGAAAAATAAGACCCCACAGGTGACAGAAGAAATAGCAAAGCTGCCCACAGATAATTTTAATTCACTCTTTCAAGGCAGAAAAAAAAAAAACTGATCTGACCACAAAAAACTGAGACTAAGCAGTACTGACCCCTGTAACTCTGAGGACCCCTTCCATGCCAGAGAACAAAAGATAAAGGGCTCCTGCTACCACAACTTTGTGAAGAGTGACTCCAAGGCGAGGCCTACGAGAAAGCAGAGACAGAGGAGTGAGAATACACAGGAGACAAACCTCAAGACAAGCTATGTACAGGAACTCATGTTAATTAGTGCAAACCAACAATTTAGTGATAACCAACACATACCTGATTCACCTGAGAGGGAAAAACTCTTAAGAATATAAGGTCTTAATACAGGGAGCTTAAGGTCTTCAAAAAAAAAAAAAAAATCTTTATATTACAGAAATTTTTAAAACATATTCAAAACTAGTATAATAAACCCCCCATATATAAACCCATCCCCAAGTCCCAGCAACTATCAAACTATGGTCAATTCTGCCCCTACACACCCCATTCACTTGCCATTCTTTCTTTTTTTTTTTTTTTTTTTGGCAATACTGGGGTTTGAACTCAGGGCTTACAAGGCAAGTGCTCTACCACTTGAGCCACACTCCATCAGCCCACCTTCATATTACCTTGAGAGTACTGGGGTTTGGACTCAAGGCTTTACACTTGCTAGGAAGGAGTCTTTTAACAGGACTTTTAACAAACATTAGCAAATCCAAAAATTTTTAACAAGTCCTTTGTGTAACTAAATTACCTACTGCAGTTCATTAAATAAAAAGTACATTTGCAAGCTCAAAACCCAACAAAATATAAGTCTTTTGAGCAACTTCTGTTTGAAGGAGGAAAAGCCTTAGATTCTTACATTAAAAATCCTACAGAATCAGAATCTGCATTTTAATAAGATTCCCAGGTGACCCATGAGAGTAGTAGTTTGAAATGAACTGGCTTATATCACATTGTGAGAAACTACTAAATTAGGTCTTTTCTGTCAAAGAGCTAGCTCAGTCAGTACAGCATGAGACTCTTAATCTCGGGTTTGTGGGTTTGAACCCCTTTCTCCCCCCACCCCCAGTACCACACTATGGAATATGTCTGTCATTGTACGCATATGAGCTAATTTCCCCAGTTGTCTCTGTGCTTGGAGGAACACTGCCTAGCTGTAAAGTTTCTGCCTTTAAGCAGAGAACTGTCTGTCATTGGATGTCCTAAACTTCAAACTAGATAATCATTGTCCAAAGGAATCTCTGCTTCAAGGTCCCCTTGCTGCTTTATGGGCCACCTTTTTGTCTTTGGGTACAGTAACCAAATTAAGTCTGGTGTCCATGCTCTCCAATCATGTCTCCTCTTCCCCTGCGCCCTCCCCTAAACCAAGGTGGTTCTTTCACTGTGTGTGTATATGTAAATGTATGTGTCTGTGCTGGCTTGCCTGACTTTGGTTGGAGGCACACACACACCCTTCTGCAGAAGTAAATTTTGACTTGCCCATCAACTTTCTAGCATATGTTTGATTTGTGATCGCAGCAGTGCCCTGATATTTTTAGCACCATTTGCCTAAGCCTTAGCATTTTTGTTGTTATAAACTAGGTACAGCTACAAAGGGCAGAGAATTTGCCTCTACTGATGTTATCTTAGAAATCTTATATATTTCTTTGCACACAGGATGTACGTAAATATTTGTTAAATGAATAAATAAATTTTAGGAGTTAAACCCCCCCTACTCCATTCCTCTAATCCCACTTAAGGCTAAACTCCTTGAAACAACTGTCAATACCTGGCTAACTCCAATTCCTCTCCTCCTGTTCTCTCTTGAGCTCTCTCCAATTGGGCATCTGTCCCTACAACTTCACCAAAACTGTGCTTGTAAGGTCACTAACACTGTCCATGTAGTTAAATATAAGAGTTAATTCTCAATCCCCTTACTTAACATATCAGGAGCATCTGAGAGAGTTAACCACTCACACTCTTCAGTTTTCCTCCCACTTCAGTTTCCTCTGCTAGCTCTACTTCATTCATTGACTTCTTAATAACAGAAAATATCCAAGGGCCCAGTTTTTGGACCTTTTCTCTATATATATTCACTCCCTTGGTGACCAAATCCAGTCTCAAGGCTTTAAATAACATCCATATATTGATGACTCCCAATCTTGTATCTCTGCTCCAGTCTCTCCCCGAGTGATATCTAGCTGGCCCTCCCCCAAACCTGTATAGCCTAAGGTTAGTAAATGTCAATCCCCTTCTGCCATCTGATCAGACCTAGATAGTCAGCATCATCCTTGGTTCTTCTCTTTTACACATCTGATTTATCAGGAAATTCCATTGGTTCTACCTTCAAAACACATACAGTCTGATCACATCTCAACATCTCTTTCCCAAGGTGTGCACATAGCCTCCTGAGGTCTTGGCTTAAACATCACTTAAGTGATGCCTTCCTTGACTATCTTACTTACACAGCTGCCAGCTACCTACTGCCTAGCACTGCCTCTTTCCCCTCTCTGCCAACAGCACTCTTCACTAACCTACTAGATTGCTAACTCACTTATTTCAATTTTTGTCTGTGTCCCCTTCCTCCACAAATGTAAACTCCAAATCTTATTTGTTGTATACCCAGGAGCTAGAACAAAGCCTAGTTATACAAAAGGTACTCAATGCATTTTTTTTTTGAAAAACTAATTTTCAGAAAAATTACAGTAAGAATGCACTTCTCATAAAAAAAAAAATCTGATTTGCAAAAATATTTTGGAAGAGTAAAGTCACTATAAATTCACTGTAAAGTTTGGTACTTTCACATTTGTTACACTGCAGGTGTCTCTATAAACACCTTGCCTCTCTAAGAAGCAAAACAGTAAGATTTTCCCAACACCTAGAATGCTACAAAACTTCAGACACCTTTTCTTATCTCAGAATTACTTCTTTCATCAACTTCTCAGAACTACTGCACTGGTCCCTGCAACAGTTTCAATTTGGTTAGCTTTTTCACTTGCTTTTCCATATAGAAAGCTAACACTCACTTGACAATGCCGTATCCCAGACTGACTATGATGACCAGGGTTCGAGCCAGCGAGCGTTTCACTGCAGAAAGCAGCTCTGCAAGGATCAAGGCACCTTGGACTGTGGAAGAAGGGGAGAAACAGAGCTATGGCTAAGTCAGAGGTACAATTCCAATACCAGAATGTAGGTCCCTAACACTCCAGAATGAGCACTGGAAGTTCTAAAAAATTTTTTTTAAAATCCTTGTTCTGCAATTTTTACAAGCACATAACCTAATATCACAAACAATCTTACATGTATAGCAGTCTGGATACTAGGTATGCCTACCTCTTCAACCCATCCCACCCACCTCAACTTCACCAAAACTATAACAGAATACCTCACCCATAATGGCTCACACCTGTAATACAGGGTACTCAGGAGGCAGAAATTGGGAGGATCATGATCTGAAGCCAGCCCAAGCAAAAAAACCAGTGAGACCCCATCTCAACAAACAAGCTGTGTGTGGTGGTTTGCATTTGTAATTCCAGCTATTCAGGAGGCTGTAGGTAGGAGGATGACGGTTTGAGGTTAGCCCCAGGCAAAAACTGAAGACCCTACCTGAAAAAATAACTAAGGCAAAAAGGACTCAAGGCATGGCTCAAGTGCAAGGTCCTGAGTTCAAACTCCAGTACCACCAAAAAAAAACAAAACAAAACAGCCTCCTCCTATATGTTCAGTTTGTAGCATCCAGAGAATTTCCATACCATTTTAAAAACCTATAAAATACAGCTAACTTGGGAAAGCACAAAGCACACACGTGCACATGTGATATGTGTAGTTTTCAACTTCACATTTATTTTCAAGCCCTTTCAAAGACCTGGGAAAGACTGAATTAGTATATCTTGCAATAGTTATTAAACAATTAAATGGTCATCAAATCAGAGAGAAAGAGCGAGAGGGACACCTGATGCTATCTCAATAGACAGTACAAAACATGTTGTTATCATCAGTTCACCTTACTAAACCATAACCTCTTCCTGTTTTCTTGGTATTACTGCATTTTATCATTCCAAGATTACCCCCTATGCACATTTTAAGATCTGTGAGTTCCAGGTGTGTCTTACAATCAATAGCACTTACCATGACCTTGGATTGTTTACTTTCTTTCTTAGATGTAGATGATAATGGTGACTTAGATATCAGTGGCAACTGAGATTTAATGATGACAATGATCATTCCCAAAACGGCCACTTACTTTCGTATCTTGTGCGAGCACATTTTGGCAAAATTATTCTTACATCACTGAACCCTAAGTTACAAGATTAAGAAGAGACGTCACAATCATAGTGACTCTACTTAAGTTATCTCAATAATTAAGTAACTGGAATGGTAGAACTATGTAATGACTGACCTGAGGAAAATTTTCCTACATCTCACCAATCACTCAAATGTTTTTAAGATGACATACCAGACTCTCCTTTGTATCTGATATTCTGAAATTCCGCATAGAAGACAGCTTTCTCAAGCATTCCCAGGAAGATGACAGCCCCGATCCAAAACTGAATTCTCAGGAGATCTCTCCAGTAGCAGGCAGACCAGGCCAGCCAAAGAACACCAAACAGGACATACACAATACACATCACCATGAAAAACTGTCACCCAATTGGGTAAGAGATGAAAAAAAAAAAAGGAGAATTAGGGCCAAGAGATAAGTATCTAGGTTTAAAATCAATATGTAGTCTTAACAAACTAGGGGGAAAAAAAAAAAAACCTAAAAACATATCTTCTACCTTCTATTTGAAAAACAATTGTTTCTTTGGAGCTCACTACTAACAAGTGTCAAAGAACCACTCCCTCTTAAGCAGAGGCAGACTACATAAGGACTTGTCCTCAAGAGTGTCATAACAGATTTTTCAGCTCATAATCCAAAATCATATAAATGAAGACAACACAGAAGAAAAAAGGCATGACAGGGTGAGGATACAACTAGAGGCAATAAAACACAACAAAAAGGAAAAACTGTTAAAGGAAAAGGAAGAGAGCAATCATGAACAAAGAAGTCTGAAAATAAATTAAGGATATTCTCAGACACAGGAATATGCACACACACACACACACACACACACACACACACACACACAAATGAAGAGGTAGAAGCTTCATCATTTAGTTGCTTTAAGTGAGCTCAGAAACTCAGAGTCTTATCAAGACAGGCCTTGCTTTGGATCCTAGAGAAAGTGAGATATAAGATAATAACTAAGATACTTCCCCATTCTAAAACTCACAAGTCATTTACCTCTTCATTTTATAGATAAAGCTATGAGGCCCACTGGGGTACACTAACTCTCCCAAGTTCACAGTATAGTAAGAAGTTAAGTTCAGAACCTAAAACATCATTTGCTGAACTGCAGGAACAATTCCTTAAAAAAAGAGTATTGCTACAAAACATGGACAATGTTTCAAGCTAAATTCACTTAAAAGTAGAGGTTAACTCAACGCAGAGAAACTAAAGCAGATACTTTAAAGCAACTGAGGCCAATAGGAAAAGGGGACCAGGAACTAAAGAAAAGGTTAGTTCAAGAATTAATTTAGAAGGTAACACACATGCACAGGAAATCAATGCGAGTTAACTCCCTGTATAGCCATCCTTATCTCAACTAGCAAAAACCCTTGGTCCTTCCTATTATTGCTTATACTCTCTCTACAACAAAATTAGAGATAAGGGCAAAATAGTTTCTGCCGGGTAGCGAGGGGGTAGGAGGGGAGAGGGAGGGGGCGGGGGGAATATGGGAGGGGGTGGGGGAAATGACCCAAACATTGTATGCACATATGAATTAAAAAATAAATAAATAAATAAAAGTCGAGGTTAACAATGTAAATTCACTTACAATCATCAATGGATAGTCTTCAAGTGTGAGATATTCATAGGGACCCTTCACTTCAACAGTCACTGCCAAAACACAGGCCTCAAATTAGCAACAGATTGAGACATTAAAGAAAAACATTCTCTAATATCTGTTTGATGAAATTAATGAAAGCTTCATTGGGTCACTTACTTTTAACCACTTCAGTCCTGGTGAAATTATATTACTTATGTACAGAACTTTGAAATTCATGAACTATTCTCATGGCTTACCCTGTGCCCTGCACCATCTTCCATGCCCCTGCTCTAGTTTGAAGTGGGAAAGCCCTTTTCTCCCATGCTCATACGCTTTAAAAACCAGACTGAATATTCCTCACAAAGCCTTCTCTGAGCTCCCATCTGGAACCATTCCCCATCTCTAAATTACAAAGTATACCTTTCTTACGACACATCACTAATATGCTTTATAGGCCTTGCTTTTATTCTATTACCTTCTTTGTCTTTGGTCCCTTCTTACCTATGTTTTCCTACTGCTGTACTTATTTACTTGCTTTTCTTTATTCATTTATTCATACGTGCATACACTGGGCCATATCGCCCCCTGCCCCTCGCCCCCTTACTGATTTCAGTTTATGTGATCTTGCACCATTATGTATCATTTTCAAACTTTTTAAAAAAATTCCTACAAATCCATACTGACTCACACAAGTAATGTACTCTCTGGTAAAATAAGATGGAAACCAATCTTACTTCCTAACCATGTACTCAGGATCCTCACTCCCAAATGAAAAAAGAAAAAAACAACAAAATACTCTACAGTTCAGTCGGAAAAAAACAATGCACTACCCAATAAAATTAGAATTGGGTTTTACCAAAACTTGCCAGGTAACGTTTCTCAAAAAAAAGCTAATAAAAAGTATTTAAGAAAGCAGAAAAAGAGACAGCAACAACATTACTGAGAAATTTGCCTTATTGAAACAAACCTACTGACTACTACAAGACTGACTACAATTGATGAAACTATTTTAAGATTGAGATAAATTCTAGATATGATTAATAAAAATCTGATCTATTCGGTGGTGTGCTCCTATAATCCCAGTACTTGGGAAGCTGGGGCAGGAGAGATCACAAGTTCAAGGCCAGCCTGGGCAACACTGCAAGACCCTGTTTCAAAACACCAAGGACTGGGGACTGTAACTTGCTGGTAGAGTCCTTATCAGTAATGCACAGGCCTTGGGTTCAATCCCCACCACTTAGAAAAAAAGTCTGACTTTTCTGAAAAGTGGTCATTTCCAGACACAAACAATAATAACTGCACATTTGACCAAAATTTCCTACCAGGTCCAATACTTACATGAAAACAAAAAAGGAACATCCCATAATAGCAATCATAGCTAGTTATTAAATCTAAACCTTTTCCTAATTTAATAAAAGAGCAAACAAAATAACTAGTGAATATTTGTGTCATATTCTTACGGTATGTCAGAGGTCAGCAAACAATAGCACACAGACCAATTCTAGTCATCCACATTTTTTAAAATAAAGTTTTACTGTAACACAGCCATATCCAATCACATATGTTTTATCTACAGCTGCCTCTGATCACCATGGCAGAGGTGGGTAGCTGCAATAGAGAAAACGTTTACTATATGGCCCTTTAAGAAAAGTTAGCTAAAAGGGAGGAGGAGAAAAGGGGAAGAAGAAGGAGAGGAAGAAAAGAGACAGGTTGCTAATGACAGAATATAATATTTGCTGAGCACTATGTGACAGATCTACAGAAAATATAGCAGATAGAAAGATCAGTAAGATGTTTTCTGACATCCAGTGGATTACCATCCAATAGCAGAGGAGGTGGAAAGCAACAGAGAGCTAACCTTCTGACTCAGACCCAAAAACGTGTATGTATTTTCCATTACAGAGTAAAAAGCCTTCCAGACAGAGAAAATAGCATGAACAAAAAGTCGTGAAAGTGCGTAGTATATTTAAAGAACATGTAGTCTGAGACTTAACGTAGTACTACACAGTGAAGTTTTGACATTAAGGCAGAAAAAAGTAAACCAGGGCCAATTGCGGTGGTACAAGACTGTAATCGCAGCTACTTAGGGGGCAGAGGTAAGAGGAGCACAATCAAAAGTAAGCCAAGAAAAAAGCGTTAGACCCTGTCTCAAAAGCAAACTAAAAGCAAAAGGACTACAGCCATGGCTCAAGTGGAAGAGCACTTACCCAACAAGTGCAAGAGCCTGTGGTCAATCCCCAGTACTGCCAACTAGGACAAGTCGTAAATAGTCTTATAACCTTGCTGCAAAATGTGGACATTTTATAGACAATGGGGTCATCAAGGGCTTTGTTTGAGGGAGGAGGTTGTTTTCTTCCTTCCTTTCTCTTTTTTTTTTGAAGACAGTCTTGCTATGTAACCCAGGCTGGCCTCAAACTTGTAATCCTCCTGTTTCAGCTTCCAAGTGCTAGAATCATAGGAGCACACCACCACAGTCAACTGCCATTAATGATATTAATGGAGACAAAGATGATAAAGCTTTTAGAGAGGTAATTCTAGGACTTTCAGAGATATAGTTAAGTCCTGCTTTAATGTCCCTTCTCAACTGAAAACAAGAGATGGATAAGAACACAAAAAATAAAAAACAAAAGACAAAAGGCAAAAACAAGATGATCATTTTCAAGAATCAAAACTGGCTGGTGGAATGGCTCAAGTGGTACAGCACCTGCCTAGCAAGTGTGAGGCCCTGAGTTCAAACCCCAGTACGACCAAAAAAGGAAAACAGGAATCAAAACTGAACAGAAACTTGTAACAGTGCAGGCTGCAGCCATGGTCATGTTAGACTCAGGGTCAAAATCAGGCTATGGCAGTTCAAGTGCAGCTCCTATGGGAATCATTGAAAGTAGGATTCAAAGAAAAAGAGGCAAGACCAAAACCAGGCTTGATGCCTAAATTAGCTGAGGTGGAGTGGAGCAGGGCTTCTCTTCCATCCTTTTCAAAGGAAGGAAGGTTGAAAATAAATGTCAACACTTGCTCCTTGAGACTATCGCCCACTAAAAAGTTGAGAGCCTAGACAGACAGGAGGAGACACATACATTCTGGGATCCAGAAACTGTGCCAGGCCACCCGTTAGTTTGGCTTGATCTGCTGTACCTTCATATCCTATGGGTACCATAAGACCCATTTCTTTGAGCATTCAACTCAAGAATCATATATAAAAGTTTAAAAACAATTCAAATAAAAGAAGTTAATGAAGTAGACAAAGAAATTCTTGGGAAAGTTAACAAAACTAAAAGCTGGTTCATTGAAATAAAAATGTAATATAAACAATTCTAAAAAGGTTTTACAAGTACAGGTTTTTTGTTTTGTTTTGCTTTTTGGTGATACTGGAATTTATACTTGCTAGGAAGGTGCTCTATCACTTGAGGCACATACCAGTCCCAATATTTAAAATGTAAAGAAGACAAAAGCAGTATTAAGGATTTTAAAAGGTTGCAGAAGAAATACTGTGGAAAAACTTTGTCAATAAATTAGAAATCCTGAAAGAAATGGGCAGTTTTCTCAAGAAAAAAACTGATTCAAGAAATACTGAAGAAATAAAATGCTTGTTACTATTAAAGAAAACAATAAAATGACATCATTTTGTCAGGGAACAAAAACAAGATCAGGTTGAAACAGTATTGCCAGTGAGCTCTGGCAGACATTCAAGAAATGGATAACTTACCCTTGCAAAAAATGTCCTGTAAAAATAGGGAACATTCTCCAATTCATTACATGAGACTAACATAACCTGATGTTAGTGGAATACAGTATGAGCAAAGAAAATTCTAAGACCATCTTGCTTTGAAAAAACAAACAATACTAGGAAGCAGAACTGAGCAATGCATGTGTGTGAGAAGGTTAGGTGTGGGTCTGTTTATGTCAAGACCAAGCAGTGGTACCCCAGAAATTCAAGAATGGATAATATGAAGCACCACATTAACACAGTGGATGAGAAAGCCGAGGTCTTGCTATGTATCCCAGGCTAGCCTGGGACTTGCAATTGTCTTGCTGCAGTCTCCAGAGCTGGCTGGGGTTTCGGGTGTGCTCCACCACACCCAGCCAGTGTGATTATCAATTCAACTGGACCACATGACAAAACTGAACATTCCCTTCTAGTATTAAAAAAAAAAAGATAAATATTCAGTAAACTAAAGAATATCCTGAACCAAAGAAAAGAGTATTTTGAATAAGCTATCGTAAACATTGTACCCAAAAGTGAAAAGGTGAAATGTGCTTATATTGCCAATAATGTCAACAGCAAGATTAAGGATGGCTGTCATCACTGTCTTTATTAAAGATCTACTTGAAAAAGCAACATAGGAAAGGAAACTGCAAAGCAGAAAGAAGAAACAAAAATGGAAACCACAGAAAATACAACCAGTTAGGAAGTTACTGCAAAATTCCATCTAAGAGATGAACACTCCATGAACTGGACTGCAACAGTAGAAAGAAGAACACTTATAAAAAATTCTTGAGACATTGAAAAATTACCAATGTTAACTTAAAAATTTTGCCTTGGTGACCAAGCCTTGAGAATTCTAGTTCAGAATACTAAAGACCATGGCACTAGTTAAAAATTTCAACAGTAGGAAGAACAAGGAAATGAAATCTAGTATCTGTGGTACCTGAGAAAAAAGCACATATAAGTGTCTGGGACTGTGCCTGCTAGTGCTGAGTGCAGAAAAACGTTAAAACTTCCTCCAACTTTTCCACTTCAAAAAAAAATACTTACTAAATTGTTCCCTGTTGTGAAGCAATTTTACTCTACCTACCATTCATAACCCAAGGAGAAAATAACACAAACTTTAAAAAGATATGAACTGAACTTACTGGTAAAAAGATTACTTAGTGAATTTTCTTTTGGTGATTCCTTTGAGGATGAAATGCCAACATGTACAATAAAAATGTACGGTGCATCTTGCCATGTCTGCAATGGTTCATGCATTGCCTAGAGAGGAAAAAAAGCAAAATTTCAAGACTTAAAAATTAAGAGCACAAGTTAATAACGCAATATGAAAATTTTGTTCCAGAATGTGCCCTAGAAACAAGGTACAATTCTACATTTTCATTTACTAAAACTGTAGGCACAACAAATAAACTAAGACTACAGTGTAAACAATAAAGCAGACTACATTATAAATGACTAAGACAGGACAGTTTATATCTTATTATACACAAACATTGCATTTAACACATTTTTTTTTTAAAGAAAACCTTGGCAAAAATCATTAAATTCAATCTCTAAGCCATGTTAGTTAGGCAGTAAATCATGTTTTATACAGTTATCATGAAACTAGGCATTTAAAAGATTAAATTACCTAAACACATCCATGATGATATCAGTAAATATGAATATACATGAGTACCTGAATCTAATTCCCTTTGTTCAACGCTCTTCCAAAAACTACCAGAATTTCTGTCCACATGGCCTCAAATGCAATCTTGCCTACTCTAAGTGGGCAAGAGTCGGTGCCTCCTGTCAGGGACGTTGAGTTAACAACCTCCAAGTCCTTGATGCTGAGGGGTAATGACTCTTACCTTCCACAAACACAAGACTGAAATACAAAGATGAAGGAGGTGAAACCATTGGTTTCTTCTTCCTCATGTGAGAAAGAAGGTACTGCTACTTAGACTTGCAATTTATTACTGCTTAGTCTTAAAAGAAGTTGCTACGAAGCTTCACAGACCTATGAAACTCCTCATGGTGGATGACAATTTTACAGATTTATGAATTTCTCTATGGAACCATAGTTTTTCTCAAGTGCTCAATATCTCCTACAACCCAAGAAAAAACTAGTAAATAATTGTTCAAAAATTGTATTCCAATCAGGTGCTGGTGGCTCATGCCTATAATCTAGGTACTTGGGAGGCTGAGATGAGGAAGATCTCAAGGCCAGCCTGGGCAAATAGTATGTAAGACCCCAATCTCCAAAATACCAGAGCAAAATGGACTGGAGGCATGGTTCAAGTGGTAGAGTGCCTGCTTTTCAAATACAAAGCCAAGTTCAAACCCCAGCCCCCTCCCCCAAAAAAGTATTCCATGATACAAATCCAAAGTGTCAAACAAAGCAGAGTAAGCAATTCTTCAACTAAACATTTACTAGGTTATTTCAAGAACTTAGAATATAAATATCAGCTGGGCATGGTGGCACACACCTGTACTCCCAGCACTCAGAAGAGAAGCAGAAAGATCACTGAGTTTGAGGCCAGGAGGACCCTGTCTCAAAACTAGTATCTATATAAAAC